AGGGTCGTAGAGCCTCTATTGTACTCCATACTGACCGGGAAATGGCCAAATGGCACAATGGGCGCAACGGATGGTCTAGTAACCGTAATTTTATTTGACGTACTCTCCGACCTATTTTCCCTACAATTGTTCTTCTGTAACCCTACTGGTCCATTCATGATGTTCGCAGCAGTCGTCACAAGCTGAAATAACACGTTCAGGAAGCTGATAATCGCTTGGACTTGCTCAACGGCCTCGATGGGACTTTGCTGATTAAGCTGCGCGTGTCCCAAGTTGCTTCTATCACTGCGAAGAGGGAGGCCGCGGAACTTCGATAAGCTCGGCGGCCTTCGGGTTCAACACATCTCCGCCCTCCTAGCGTACGCTTGGCACACTCTCAGTCTTGTACACCCATCTGCCCTGCGTTGTTGCTGTTGAAAATGGCCTCACGCACCCGCTCAGCCGCTCGCCAGGAGGCCCCTGGCACCAGTAACAGCGCTCGCGCGAACACAGGCGCCACGCAGATGAACCGTGCGAATGCTGCGGAGGACAGGGGAGCTCCCTCCGACAGTGATGTTCCCGATGAGGACCTCTCTGACGCTGCCTTACACAAGAGAATCGCTGAGCTGACCAAGATGGCCGAGTTGAAGCGCAAGAGGAAGGCAACGACAAAAGCCTCGCTGGCCAAAGAACAGCGCGTGGAAAGTAAGTCGTGTATTTGTTGCAATCGAGGACTCTGATAATGTTGCATGATAGAGATCCGTAAGAGGAAGTTAGAGGCCATGGACGCTGAGCAGCGTGACACCAGCGAAGAGCCCCCCAAGCCCAAGAAGAAGAAGAAGGCTAAAAAAGCTGAAGACGACGACGTGCTTGAAGGTACGAAGAACAATGAAGGCCGATCTGACGAGGGGAGTGGCCGTGACGATGTCCAGGAGCCGATGGACGTGGAGGTCGTTGAAGAGGAGGAGGACACGACTGTCCTATCTAAGGAGAGGAGCAGAGGAAAGAAGAGCACTACGTCGGCTGTAGAGCCGTCCCAGCGTGCGTGCTACATACGCGTTCAGGAACTGACACTGAGTGCGTTCTGTAGCTCAACCCAAGCCCAAGCCCAAGCCCAAGCCCGCCTTCAAAGGGCGAAAGCAGAACTTGGATCAGGACGAAGCCGCTTTTGTCCAGATGCTCGGTGAGGGGATAGCCTTATGTATCCGTAAATGCCAATGGCATATTGTGATCCTTACAACGGTGTAGGGCACGACACTGCGCCGAAGGGCAAAGGGCAGGTCAAGACCAAGGCTGTTCAGTTGACTGAGGAACATAGCGACGACACAGGTGCGCAGCCTGCTCAGAAAACAAAGAAGAATTCGCAGCCCGCTTCTTCAAGTTCGGCGGACGCGACCAAGAAACCGGTGTCCACTGTGTCGACTCGGACAACATCTTCACCTCCCAAGGTACGGTTAGAGCCCTATGTGTTGATACCTCCATGGGTACTGTCATACACCGTTTGTTGCAGCCCATTCTCACATTGCCCTCTGTGTAGCCTCGACCTACCACGAGCACGTCTCCAGTCTCCAAGAAGGCTCAAGACAAGGATGCTGGGAAGGTGAAAGCTTCGGTGACCACGGCCAAGAAGGACATGCGTCCTAGCGGCAGCAGCAACAAGAAGCGCGACACCGAAGACTCTGACGGTACGGAAAGCGGTGAAGACGATGATGGAAGCAACGGCGACGATGAGGACGAGGAAGAGGGAGAGGAAGATGACGAGGACGAGGACGAGGACAAGGACGAGGACGAGGACGAGGACGGGGACGAGGACAAGGATGGTGACGAGTTTGTTGATGACGGAGTAGAGGTACGTGGTTTATCCTTTCGAACGCTGTCCCCACTGACTGTGTAGACCGTGGCGGAGTCGAAGAGCACTGGGAAGCAACGGGCGAAGAGGCGTAGGCGCCAGACACGCGCCAAGGTGACACAGCTCCCCAGGGACATCAAGGCCCTCGTCTCTGCGGCGCAGAACTGCCTCCGTCTGCGCATTGCTCTCAAGAACGCTTGGACGTCTGAGCCATCAGTCAGCAGCGGCCGTCTTCCTGAGAGGGACGACCTCATCAAGAGCAGTCTGCAGGACGCCTATGAACTGGGCAGGGCAGGGGGGCTTGACAAGTCCATAAGGACCGCCTTCCAAGTGCTGAAGGGGAACAAGGGGAACAAGGACACTAAGGAGACTGACAAGCTGCGCAAGAATGTCTACACAGTGGTGAGCGTTTGTTTCTGTCTGTCATGAAGAGTCGCGAGTGCCTGACTTCCATTAGGTCTGGGCGGCCGCAGCGCAGTTCCGAAACGAGCTGAAGAGGAAGGCCAAAACTGTTACCTCTCAGATGTACGAGCTCGACAGCCTGTCTTCTCAGCAGAAGAGGAACCTGGCGACATGGTTGATCACCACTCACCCGACGACCGTCGTTGGTGGCTTGCGTAACATCCCTAACTTTGTCTTCGGTGGCATGACGATTGCCTTAGATGCGCGCAAGCATTTTGATGCCGAGGTGAGAGTGCGAGTTCATTGCAGAGTACACCTTAATGATCTGGGTGACAGAAGAGCGACTTTAAGCGCGGGGAGGTGTTCCTCCACCCGGCTATTTCAGAGCTGATTTACCAGCACTGGGGCCTTGGAGCTCGAGCGGACGCGAACCTGCATGCGGCCACGGAAGAGTTCAGCGAGGTGCCGAACAACCTGATCGCTGTGGTGTGCAACGCTGTGAGTCCAGACCGTCATTCGCATGGCTATCAGAGCTCAATCCACAATGGGGTCTCACGGATTCGTGACGCACAGATCGAGTCCGCCCTCATGGAGTTTGCCAAGCCAGGTGCAAAGAACTTCTTCACGAACAAGCAGTATGCTGCCAAGTACGTTCATCACATATGTCAGAACATCGAGGCTTATCTTTCTTCTTACAGATGGGACGGCGTCATGGCAATCTTGGAGTTCATGGAGGCTCAGCACAATCCGTCCTACGTGAATATGAAGCGTATTGTGTGGAAGTCCATCATGTAAGCTGTGTGCAGTTGCTTTGCAATCAATCCCTCAATGCACTGACTATCTCAGATCGCGGCTCGAAGACACGGACGATGTGGACGAGGTGGGCGTGCATACTGGTTTCCTCGATGTGGCCCTTGAAGAGCAAGATATCGTGGTTTTGGGAGGGAGCAATGCAACGCCGCATGGCTCGCCTGCTGGAAAGCCTTCGAGCACAAGGAAGGCTCCTACTGTCTCGGCAACCAAGCCATCCAGTTCGTCGAGCCCTGAGAAAGGCGGTCAGGAGGGCGACGACAACGTCATCAGTAGAGAGGGCCCTTCTGTGCGCAGCAGCCACAATGCCCAGGCAGATGATGACGTGGCTGCAGAGGACGTCAGCGAGAAGGACGGAAGTGGGGAAGATGAGATCGAGCACGACGAGGTAGACGAGAGGGAGGACAGAGCCGGGGATGCTAAGGAACGTGAAGGTACGCATGTCCGTCATCTCATCACAGAGGATGATCCATAATCTAGTGTCAAATTTCATCCTGACAAGGCGCGGCTCGTGAGGACCAAACAGGGACAGTCTGATAGAGGACTCCTGGCTACGTTGTCATGGTCTATGCTTCAAGGTAAGTTGAGCAAGGACTTGATTGTAACCGGAGGTCTGAGCTCAGTTATGGTCTGCCCCATCTAGATACCCATACTGGCCATGACGTTGCTGAGTCGCTGAACTCTGGGGAAGAATCGTGTGTTGCGCATGTTCGATGTACGATAGTGTGCCGTCTCTCGCTCTCCATCTCGCTCTGTCTCCTGCTCTCCTTCGCCATTGTCTCTGAAGTCACGTCACACATATTAACATCGTCTACGGTTGTCGGTCTACGGTTGTCGGGCGGCAGAGCTGCTTCATTGCTATGCGTTTCCAGTCGTGTATTATCAATAGTATGAATGGACGGCAGTTTATTGTGCATGATGCTGAAGAGCACCAAGGAAGCCAAAGACACCACGCATTGAAGTGCAATTAAGAGAAAAAAGAACACAATGTTTGAGTGCTTAATTAGAAGGAACGAAGTAGCAATAGTGAAAGGGGGCAGAACAATAAGGGTACTTTTTTGTTCTCATTTAAGTAAACGTGTACTTAAGTAAGACAAAATAAGAAATTGACTTACCTTAAGGCTCTTGTGGCACATAGTGACACATAATGTCACTTTTGGCTCTCCACAAGACCACTGAAGACACGAACGTTTTTCCTGATGATCCCATCAGTGAGTTTGCCAGAGTCGAGTCATTACATGTCCTTACGATCGACCTATCTCTGTATAGCTCCCTGATAGTGTACGCTCATTCATGAGCAAGTTTCGTGACGATGCGGGCAAGAAAAGCTCACCAATTCTCACGTACTGTCGCCGCGAACTCTTCCATGCTGTATGGCGACATCTTCTGGACGACGACTTCGTGAAAGCGTACTTTGACGGAATCGTTATCAAATGTGCGGATGGTATCACACGTCGTGTCTTCCCTCGCATCTTCACATATTCGGCCGACTATCCTGAGAAGTGAGTGTGTCGATCTTGGATAACAGTCCTTTGGGCTCACCCTTCTGAACCTTATGACAGAGTTCTCATCGCCGCTATACGGGACAAAGGTCTCTGTCCATGTCCACGATGCTACACGATGCAATCAGATGTATTCAAAATGGGACAGAAAAGGGACCTCGCACGACGCTCAGAAGCCAGATTTGGGTTTCTGCGAAGATGGTCTGAAGGATTGCGTGCGAGGATATCGAAAGCTCGTGAGCTCATCCATAACACTGGCCTTGGCGTTGTCAGCGCGAAAGTAGAGAGACTATTGAAGCAATGGTCACTGGTTCCGACAGTGGTACGTGCTTGAACTCACCAAATGAATGACGATAAAAATGGCTGATTGCTCATATAATACCATAACCCACCAGAACGCGTTCTCTGCACGCCTCGGCGACACCTTCGACGTGTACTCAATCTTGGTACCCGATTTCATGCACGAGGTTGAACTTGGCGTGTGGAAAGCCCTGTTCACGCACCTTGTACGGATTCTGTATGCCAGCGCGCCCACCGGGGTCTTGGTCTTCGAAATGGACAGAAGGTGAGATTGCTGTCTAGCGTTCTAAATTATGCATGCACGCAGCCAACACGTTACATGGCAGATATCGACAAATCTCAACATTTGGCCGTGGGAGTATCCGTCGCTTTGCAGAGAATGCGTCTGAGATGAAGAAGATGGCTGCACGCGACTTTGAGGACTTGCTACAGGTGCGTCGCAGCAACGACTCAGTTGTGTGTTTCTTGTACGAGCATAAGCCACTAAGCTTCGATGTAGTGCGCTATTCCAGTGTTCGAAGGGCTCCTGCCTCAGCCCTACGACAAATCCCTCACGACTCTACTGTATCGATTTGCTGAATGGCATGCTCTTGCGAAGCTGCGAATGCAATCGGAGTCTTCAATCGAATACCTCAAGCTCGCTACACGAGACCTCGGACAAGCTCTACGATATTTTCGTGACCATGTCTGCCCCGCATTCAACACAACGGAGTTACCACGGGAAGCTGAGTCCCGCGCACGCCGAGCCGAGAAGTCCGGCTTGCGTACATCGCATGCGCGGCAGGCAAAGACACTTAACTTGGATACATACAAGTTTCACAGCTTCGGAGACTACCCGTTCATCATACCGTGGTGTGGCCCATTGGGCTTATACTCAACACAGGACGTGAGTGCACGTCACGGCTACTACATTCCTAGCTCATTCTCTCTCGAAGGGAGAGTTCTGTCATCGACGTCTGAAACGGCTGTACAAGGTGACCAATAAGAATGATGCGACGAAGCAAATAGCACGGCACGAACGACGGGAAACGCTGCTACTGCGTGCAACCGACCCTGTAGCCACCGCCGCGGCATCAAACAACTCCAGCAATGATCCTCAGAATCAGGAAAGCCATAGCAGCCACAGTAGTCACGGCTCCCACCACTTCCAGCCGAGTGATTCGGAACCTTTACCCTACACGGACATAAACATGCACCACCATGTGTCGGATTCGAGAGAGTCCTCACATCATCTGGATGCCTTCGTGCATCGTCTGGGCACAGACCCCGCAGGAACGGTAAGCCATGAGCTCATCAGGTTATGCATTTCTTACCCTCATCACGATTGCTTTGCTACAGCGTTTTGTGCCTAAACTGAAGGGCCATCTGTTATCGCGTCTTCTAGGGAAGGACTTCGACGGCGACGAGGAACAATACTCACGTGATGAGTTGGACAGTCTTCAGATTGTAGGCAACAAGATCTATGCTCACCAAGTCCTTCGCGTCAACTTCACAACGTACGACGTTCGACGGGATCAAGACTCAGTTAACCCGAGGACTCACAGCGATGTCATGGTGCATTCCTGCGAGACCGAAGCCGGCGCGCACCCCTATTGGTATGCCCGTGTGCTCGGAATCTTCCATGCCGACGTCTATCAGCACGGACGCAACGTTCGGAACCGTTCGGTGCAGCGCATGGAGTTCCTGTGGGTGCGTTGGTTTGGTATTGACCCGGAACATCGCTGGGGTCGTGCTGCTGCGCACCTGCCCAAGGTAGGTTTTGTTGAGGCGGATGATGCCGACGCGTTCGGTTTCCTTGATCCATCATTGGTGATTCGAGGCTGCCACCTAATGCCCGCATTCGCGGACGGAAAGACGTCAGAGCTCCTCTCCTACCCCAGTTCAGCTGCACGGCCTGTGGGAGAGAACGAGGACTGGCAGTCTTACTACGTTGGCATGTGAGTGTCGACACTTGCATGTGATCTTGATTTGACGTTCAGATTCTTCAGATTTGTTGACCGTGATATGGTCATGCGGTATTACGGCCTCGGAGTAGGCCATACATCTCCACACTCGCAGCACAAGGACCAGGACGCACCTATGGTAGATCCCGAGCCAGACGAACTCGAAGCGGAGGAGGATGGTGACCCAGATGAAGACCTGAGTGAACTTGGCCTGGGAGTGAACACTGCCACAGTCGATGAGTGGGATCCCGAGTCCATCGAGCCTGATGTGGAAGTAGAGGGCGACGAGGAGCTTGACGTCGAGCAGGATGATGAGGAGGTTGATGACTGGGGTGAAGACGAGCCAGATGACGAGGATGACGAGGACACGTACGATATAGACGATTTGTACCTGAATTCGTGATGATGCGGTACACTTCAAATTCAAGTCCAATAGTACTTTGAAATATATTAGCACGCACGCAAAACAAACGCCATACAAAACGAGTACAGACTCACGAAAGTCAGCCTGTACGACTTGGAAATGCGCACAGTGTAACGCAAGAGTGGCTGAGTCACTGCGTGTCACGGAGTGTGACACATGAGTGCGTGGCCTTAGCGCACCTCCAGATCTCAGCTTCAAAGCTAAAGAAATAAGCCTTTGAATATGTGTTCTACTCATATAAAACACGCATTTCGCGCACAGAAACAATGTCGGCAACTCACGCTTCTGCCAAGAGTTGAATAACATTGCTGCGGTCTCGCGCCACTGCGCCGGCGCTTGTGACCGCGTCGCGCTTCATTAGGGCTGCTCAATTCTCGCCGCCCGTTCGTCGGTTCGTCGGGCACCTGCCCCGTAAGGCAGGTAGCATCAGATCCGGATCAAGCCCGGCAGATTCCCGACTAATCCAGCCACCGCCTACCGAAAGCGGCAGGACCAACGAGAGAACGAGCTCAGGTCAGCTCACTTCCCGACTGTACATTACTTACGAGGTGTCGGATGTGTACGATACCCACAGAATATTTGAATCTTGCCAATTGCTATGGGATGCATGTACACAGTGTCGAGGGCTCGCTATCAGTGGGCTTACATAATCACATAGGCAGTCAGCAGTAACTTTCCGTTAACGTGCGCGTTCACTGCTGTCAGTTCACAGTCTTGAATCTCGTTTCTAATCGGGCTATTAATCTCGTTTTTCTTCCCCTGCCGCTCTCTCATCTGTCCCGACACTAACCTACATTGACTGCTAAAAATGTTATGTAATGCATCTTACATTTACATTCTTTAACTTCGAAATCGCCGTTCACAGCTCTGCGACGGTAAACCAACCAGGACGTGAGCGCTTGAGCGCTTGAGCTCCGAGTCACCCTAGGCTCGTCCTCTGGCTGGTGCAAGGTCGTATCGGTCAGTGCTAATTATCGACGAGTCGTTAAGCGTCATTGTCGGTAGGCGGTGGCTGGATTAGTCGGGAATCTGCCGGGCTTGATCCGGATCTGATGCTACCTGCCTTACGGGGCAGGTGCCCGACGAACCGACGAACGGGCGGCGAGAATTGAGCAGCCCTATTGTGATACCCAATCAGGTAACTTGCAACATGTTGACGCGCTGCCTTCCAGCTAGCTTCGACATCCAGACTGCTATATACTCGCAGCTGGCCAGCAATCTCATTAGGAAATACATACGTATCAGCCCATTGCTACGTAGAAAGTAAGCCGTATGCATGCTGACATGACACCGACGGCTAATTACATGGAGTCGGCGCGGTGCTGTATACGATAGAAAGTCGAACCGCAGTCGCGTGACTTTGTCAGCGCCTTATCTCAGCCTTGTATCACCCTGCCAGCGTGATACGTCCTGGCCACATCAGGAATGTGCACCACCTGCCTATTTTGCCTCATCGAGGCAATGAGGCAATTAGACAGTCTGAGACGGGCTGCCTCATTCAAGTCTCATTTGAGTAGATTATCTCTCATCTGAGACGTGATGAGGCAATGAGGCAATGAGGCTCATAGGGCACATAGACACATGAGGTACTTAAGTGAGCCGGAAGACAGTGCAACAAAATAACAAATATATTTGAGCTGTATCTACAACAGCGGTCCTAATTCCTCACTCTGTACCCCTCCGAGATGCGGTCAACAGCCTACCCTATTTGCGAGTTCCGTGAGGGTATCCACATCCCATGAGGTCGCCCGATGCGCACTCATGCCCCGTCATCTCCACATGCCATCCGCTGCTGCTCAATCGCCATGAATATCACCTACGCAATGCTGATCAGCGTCTCCGACATGTCTAGAACGGGGCCACGCACCAGTCCCTGCAACAACCTCGTCCTTGTTTGCGGGCCAGTTCTTATACCAGCGCCAGATCGTCGCGCTGTAGTACACACTGAACACGTCAATATTCTTCACCTCGAGCCCAACATTTTAAACCTCACTCACCGTCCAGCACAACGAGCACGATGCATCGACATTGAGCAAGACGCGCTTGTTGATGAATAGGCCCCTGCACACCGAGTCAGAATCACGCAGGCACGGGAGGACGAAAGCGAGGGCATGGACAGACCATATACGAAATCATATCCGCACTTCGGCCATAGTGTGTTGGAGCCCCCCACACTCTGTACTTCACGAGAAGCTCCCGGTCAGGTGCATATACAGGATAATGAGTCACGAAACGAAACTCACATATTTATTTGCCGCTAACCAGACGCGGGCCGTGTGGGGCACAACCTACTCACGTCTGACGTCGTGCCCCGCCTCGGGAACAAGGCATGCGCACTACGCATATGCTCGCCGTTCTTCGATGTGTTCTTCGTAGAGGCGGTGGATGCCCAAGGGCTGTACCCGCGCCCGCCGCTCGCTCGGCCGGGCCCTCACCCATTGCCGTTCCCTCCCTGGTACCAGCCGTCAGCTTGCTGCACGCTTGTGTACACGGGACTTACATTCTGTATGCTTGTCGGCTGTCTTGCACGTTGAGGTTGGGAGACGAGGTGCCCGCGACTGCGTGATGTGAGGGTAAGTGCCAGCGAAGCAAGGCCGCGCGTGCGCGCCGACTCGGAGCGCCGGCGGTCGGAGCCAGGTCGGAGCTGTTATCTAGTTTAGGGCAGCCATTCAACGATCTTTGGGCTGTGCTGTTGACGTCCTCAATGATCCATCACTTATGGCCGGCCAACGTCGCTCTTCACCTCGTCAGTCACTGGCACCCTCTTGCAACCACCTGTACGACCAATGACGTGCATGGACGACCGACGATGTGCGCGTCACGCGCATCCGCCAGCCGCCCGCCGCCCGCGTGCACCATAACGACCTCCCCGCACGACGCGACCAGCGACCGCTTTGCCCCGCAACGTCGGCAAGCCAATATGCGATAATCTGTCAAGATGCCGCTCACGCTGCCCCGATGTGCATGCAGATAAGGGTGGGATACTGAGGAGGAGCAGAATGAAGGGCGCGATGAGGGCTACAAGGCCAAGCATGAACGTCAAAGGTACGGCCTCGCTCTGCTGTTCGACCATACACCCACTGTCTGACCGGCCTGCTTACCCATGAACCTGCCCGTTTTCCCGTATGCTCACCTGCTTGCCCACGTACCTGCTTGCGAATGCTCCCGCACGCCCGGGCACCTACTCGCCCGCCCACTTGCCCACATTCCCAGATAATCAGCTCATCCTGCTGTCCAACATCCGTCCGACCCGCCACGACCCGCCACGGTGCCACGGCGGGCGGAGGTGCAGCAACTCGCGAGCGAGTGAGTGGTTGGCACGCGCACGATGGGCCCAAGTGCAGAACACCCGCGATGAGTTAACCGCCAACGCCGGCGGTGAACGCGAATTTGATTTGGTGCAGCGGCCAGAACAAGGGTATTGGATCTCAGTACTCAGTAGCGACACAACTGTGTCGGCCTGTGTCGACATAGATAGTATTGTAATGCATTCATTGTATTGTCAATCAGTAAGTTGTATCGTCGATCAGTAAGTACGCAAAACCAAAGCCAGCCAAGTCGAAAATCAGTGAGGCAATGAGACAAGTTAGGCACAAATTAGACAGGTGAGGCCGTTTGAGGCCGTTGAGGCAAGGTGCCACTTTCCTGATGCAATGATCCCAGGGCATACCGGATTTTCCGGGTTTTGCTGATGTTGTCACTCAGCTGCGAAGACTCGGAAAGCAATAGCTCTCGTGGCACCGGTGGAACCGCACTGGCAATATGAAATAAGTTCTGTCACCATATATACCACGCATACATCCCACTGTACGCCACGCTGCAAGAGTCAAGAGACTGTAGAGACGTCCTCCAGCCTCACGTCGGTCAGTAGCCTTATGCCGGTCAACGAACTCAGGTCCGTTGAATCTTGGTATTGCATGCTGGTACTATGCGCGAGCTAATCCGTGCCTCTCTACTGTCCAACTCAGTGACCGATCCCCTTCCGTCTCAGGTCTACATCTTGGGGGTATACACTCTAGCGGGACGAGCGCAGGCCTGGATTGCTTCCATCCGTCCGAGATCGCGCAGCTCCTCAGTCCTGAGCTTTACCTCTTGACAAGAGAGGCACTAGACTACCGTGACATTGCGCACTGGCAGGCGGCTGGCAACGTGCCACACCTATCCATGGGTGCCGTAGGCTACGAGCTTTCGGCTGCTTCGTACTATATGGTCAGCCCGCATCCGTATTGATTCATTGCATGGAACTCACATTGTCATTCAATTCAGCCACTGTCCGAAGGCTTCTTCGATTACTGTACGGTGAGTCCGTCCCCTCATTCGTACTAATTGCTTGAACCAGTGGTAAAGAATGATTACCAGTTCAACGAAGGGCTGCTCTCTGCGGAGTCACCGACGACTGGCCAGTCCCGAGTTCGCACCGAGCAGAACGATGAGACGTTGTTCAATCATGCTGACGACTCATCAACGCGTGCGCAACAAGATTTCCCCGTGCCAGCAGCTGATACACGCTCAATGGCACCATCGGTGGATCCAGGCTATTCGGTGTGTCCCACCGATGTCTTTTCGCTATAACATAATTTGATCGAATGCACGAACCATACTTTTTCGCAGTCTAGTACTCTACCCACACTGTCGCAGGACGCCATGACGCACCTGACTTGCATGTGGAATGAATGTGGAGACCAAGTCCGTCGCACGAAGAATGCTATCCACGTACATCTCAAACAAGTGCACCGCGTGAAAGTACCTGCTATGAGCGACGCCAAGGACAAAATCCGCTGCGATTGGGACGGATGCATGCTCGAGGTACACAACTTTTGGAGGCACCTGCAAGAGCGGCACACACACGTCCGAGCCGTCCGCAAACCGCGATGCGAGCACTGCGGGCAGGACTTCACGAGGCCAGGCTCACTGCGCAGACACCACGAGAATCTGGCCGTACCCTGCGTCGCCGAGCCTGCAGCGTGATTGTGAGTCGCTACCTTGGTCTGACACGCTCAACAACACTTGATGATACTGCCTTCAGTACTGTATCAGACGTACGCGCAACACGGACCGTCCACGCTACTGAGTCTCTTGGCACTCTGGAATCCCGTGTACTTGCAGCGTGTGCGTTGACGTCCCTAAGACTCTGATGGTTGTTTGTGCTTCGTTGTTTTCATTCAATGTTTTGCCCATTGTTCTATCGCGGCCGGTGGTTTTGAAACTCAAGACGCGTACAGAGACGATCTTGTAGCCCGTTGCACTATTCCTTAGCTATGCGGACCTGCGCTGCCTACACCGTATCAAATCCCCCCTCAAACTCTTTCCTGCGTAGACTGAGTATCTCAATGCATCAACTGGACGCGGAGTAAACAACGGGGAGCTGCACGTCAAGTGCACGACGTCGACGGACAACTTAAGCTATACACTCTCGTAGCAAGGAACACCATTACCCTTCAAACGCCATACATGTTCCGTGCATTCTCTCTCGCCACCTGCATCACCCTCTCCACATCCCACGATGGTCGTCCCTCCACCACCTCCGCCATCATTTCATTTGCTACCCCAGCTACGAATTCTGCTGTCCACGGGATCATTGCACTATGACTCAGTGGCAAACGACCTTTGACACCCTTCAACGCGGTGTCGTACAGGTTCGAAGGTACCATGAAGGGCGCGTCTGTCTCTAGGAGAATGCGTAGGCGGGAGGAAGACGAGGCGGCGAGATGGCGGATGACGTTCGCGGTGTTAAGGTTTGACGAGTATGTGATGACGCCTGCAGATGCGCATTGTAGTGGATTCTTCTGATGAGAAGAGAGGGATGCGAGACGTACCCGTGATGCCAATGTAGAGATTGGGAAAGTGATCTAGCATCCGCGCAGTCCATTCAGGCGAATCTGTGTAGCAGTGTATGTGAATCTGCTCGCATAGACAGCTCGGTCACCAATGCTTGCGGAACGGAACTGATATGCGGACGTACCTTATGATCCTTGGGCACTTCTTCCTTTAGAATCCTTTCCGTATCCTCCTCTGCCTCACGCGTGTGAATCGTGAGCGGCTTTCCAAGGCGCACAGCATGCTGAAGCTGCCGTACAAAGACTTGCTGCTGGAGCTCGCGCGGAGAGTTATCGTAATGGTAGTCGAGACCGATCTCGCCCCAGCCTACGCAGCGTGGATGTACCATCGCGTCTAGGCTATCCAACGTTATGACGAGCATGAGAGAGTCCGCGGGTGATAGACGTACATGTCTGCCTCTACTTCATCCGAGTATGAATTCGCTTCGTGGCTGGTAAGCTCGTGAGGCTTCATGTGTCCGTGTAGTCGCGATCATCACCTACGGATGGACACCTGGTACCTTGATGAGCGATGTGTAACATAGACCAGTCTGTTAACCAGCAAATCGCGATCGTTTCCGGATGGCCCGGATGGCCAGCAGCAGACAGTAAGAACGCGGCACTCACCCATAACGAACCAATACTCCAACCCGGCCCACTTACTTCTCCTCTCCTCCTCCGTCAGCGCCGAGTCCGCCAGCTCTCGCCACGCCTGCTTGAGAACGGGGGCCTCGCACCATACGTCCACAATCGCTTCCACACCGCGCCCCTCGTACATACCCCGAACGAAGTCAAAGACGGTCTCATATCGGCCAGCGGGATACTTGCTGCGGTAGGTACTAAACGTCGAGTGTAAGTGGGTGTGCGTGTCGACGATGGGTGCGGTCGCCTTCTCCGAGAGAGATGAGAGAGGTTGCAGATGCAGATGCTGCTCGCCGGGTACGGAAGACTTCTTGTTCTTGCCCATCCTGGTCTTCGATGGTTGTTGATGTGGGTGCGGAAGGGTCTGAGTGCTGCACGAGCGAAATGTCGCTGGCTGACGAGTGTGGAAATGTCCTCGCAGGTTGATCTGCACGAGCCAGCGTGCAGAGCTGAGCATATAACACGACACGGACCCAACAAGAGCAAGTCAGCAAGACTCGAGTCGTTGCTGTCCGGGCCGCGTCACGATCGCGACTCGGAGTCACGAGCTTGACGCGATGTTTCTCCAAATAAGGAAACTGTAGATATTACCGACCTCTGCGAGCAAGCACCACGATGCATGGCCCCCAATGACCCGAGTTATTTGAGTACAGTACACGAGCACACGAGGTGGTACAAAGGTACATAATATATTCAATTCTTCCGATACCTGACCCATCCGCAGGTCGCCTATGGTAGGAGGCCTACTACAGGTTCTTCATAAGGGGTGATATCTGCGCCCGACCGGGGTAGAACGTCGTCGAAATCGTTCTGTATAAGCGGAGGGTCAGTGGCTATCGCAAAGTTCCTCAAGAAAGCTCAAGAACTCACGGCGTCGGGATGATTGTTGTGCTGCCAAAGCCGGCCGTCAAGTCGCCCGACATGGTCGTCGGCGTGGAGTACCCGCTAGGCTGGGTGTAGCTCGTCGTCTCCACCGCGTAGCTTGTATAGCTGCTCCCTGACTTGAGACATGCGCCGCTCCCGAACGCACTCTCGCACTTCATCGTCGCCTCGTCCGTGAGCGACCACATATAGACGTCCGTCAGCGTGATGTCATAGCACGGCGCCTCGTCTGCGCAGATGATTTGGATCGGCGAGCGCTCGACGCCGTCAGCGACGTTGCCGTCCCAATTCTACGAAATAGCTGTGAGCTGCGATAATCGAAACAGTGTGAAGGGAGGAGCAAGCGATGTACCTTGAAGGTGATGTTCTCTAGCGTCACGCCCGGCCCATCCAAGGGACTGATGCTTGCCCAGTACTCATTAATGTCCAGACCGTACGCGGTGTCCCGAGAGATGAAATGCTCGAAGACAACGTTCGACACCGTTCCAGAGCCACCGTTACCTTTGATCATGTATGCCTGGTTACCGCCGACAGTATAGACGTACCTGCAACGTGATGTCCGTGTAGTAGGGATGAGATGTTGACGGGAAAATGGCATCGAGAGACTCACCGGTAGAGAATGTTCGTGATGGAGGTATTAATGGCGAGACTGCCCATCGCACTTCCTCCGCTCTGATTGCACCAAACTGCAATACGTCAGCAGCGTGATCATTGACACACACAACGTGAGGGGCCCACTCTGCTCTACGAGGATATTCGATGCGGGGCTCTGGATGGATGAACTCCGTAAGCCATTTTCCCAATGCATGACCAATAAGAAGGCGCCACGGATAATTGGCATTACACCAAGAGGAGACATAGACACACCTTGACGGTGACGCACTCATCACGGTTCGTCACCTCCACGTCGTGAATCCAATGATTGTCGCCCCACACATCGACGCCATCAGATCCACCGATATCAGCACCTCTGCACAGTCGAACGAAGGCGATACTCAGTTCAACAGTTCAACAAGTCGAGGAAAGGATAAGAGATGTGGGAAGGGAGTAAACACACCGGATAGCGAGGTTGTATACCTCTCCGCTGCTTCCTCCCTGTACCACGAGATGGAACTCAGGTGCTGTATTCAGATGTCGATCAGCACGTAGTCAGGGCAAGAGCAATGGCGAGCCTGCGAACGACAGAAAGAAAGGGCACCGTTGGGAGAGCGCCCCACCTAGCGCCCACAACGTTCCAAATCGATACGATCAATCTCCGGCGATCAAACGCAGTCCGATCGAGGCTAGTGCCCAATCGAGCGGATGTAAATCGCCGGAAGGATCGAGATAACGTGACCGCCGAAAAGATCGGAGAGTCAAGACTCACAATCGACAAGGATGAGGTCGTGGAGGGACCAGTCCGTCGATGTGACCATGCGAATGAGGCGTGGTCTAGACGGGCCAGTTAGTCATGACATCCTGATACGTATGACGCAGAAATCGTGACACGACAAAAGCCGGGGCAAGACTGCAATATGGAGATCAAGCCATGCCAGTGGAGATGTTGACCAGCAGTCGCACCGTTATCGGCATGCCGTCTCGACCTATGGCACAAACCAGGGTCAAGTTTATATAGAGGCAAACTCACCCGTCATTCCGGCACTCGTAGCCCAAACCCTGGATACCGCCGGCAGAGTTCGCGGAATAGAACTCGAAGTCCTCAGCATCCTCGATCGCGATCATGTTTCCCGTCGTCGTAGCTGAACCGTTGCAGAAAGGTGACATTTTTTGATCGAGGGTAGGGTCAGAAGATTGACCACGAGCGCGGAACGAAGGAGAAACTGCATTAGTTGCTCAAGCCGGGGGTTGATGAGCCATGGACGTACATGCACGCGCTATAAGACCGTCGAGCCTGAAGGCCCACTTGGTGCCTCCGTTGAGAGTGACCCAGGTTTGCATGTCATAGTTGCCTGTAGGGGATGAGGATGACCAGTGACGTCAGTCGCAGTGCTGAAACGCAACATACTGTACGAGCCATCGGACCGTATACATGCGACGTCGAGGAGCAGTGGACAATGAACAAACATGAGCAGACTACATACCTTCCGGAACATACAGCGTGGAGGCACTTGAGTTCGTAAGCACGCAGTCGTCAAACGCGCTTTGAATAGCAGGGCCGATGTCGCTGGACCCAACAGATCCGCCATAGTCGAGAACGTTGCACAGGTTCGACTTCTCGCTGAGGGGGGTCGTCGGGCCTACGGAGCCAGAGAGCTGAGCGCGGATACCGAGCGTGCAGGTGAATGAGAGCACGAGGGGCACAAAGGCAAACGTGAGCATAGTCGCGAAGTCTGCAGCGGTGCAAGTCTCGGGCCCGATGCGAGCGGAGAGGACTGGGCAGAGGCTTTATGGGGATCCGTCTTGGTGCATATATATAAAGGAGGACGTCCAGCGGGAGCGACCCAACGTGAGACTCCCGTGAGAGGGTAGGGAAACGTCCGGCGGACATCTTGAATGGCATTCAAACCCAGAAGCGCATCCGCGATCATACGTTGCGAGGGTGCGTCGCTGCGCGGACCGGGCAGTTAAGCTTTTGGGCCTGTGCGTTGCTGCGGAGTGGCGGTCGTGCGGACGAAGAATGGGAGCGCAGGCGCACGCTGTCGATGGCCATGATGCACGACGGCGTGGCGCCGTTGTCCTTCGGCCCTCTTGCAATTTAACAATCTGGCGAAAACGGGCCGTAGGCAACGGGACGGGTGCAGAGAAGGTATGGCGGCCACATGGAGCGATGTATGCTTTCGTGGGGAGAGATACACCACGTTCCTCAGGGTCTGTGGCAGCGATCGACAGACTAGTCACTCACAGTCCCGACCGTTTCCCGACCTAGGTCGCCCTTCGATTCAGTCATAATTGTGTCTGCCAGGAAAAAAGAAAGGAGCAGTGGTAGGACGTACGATTGTTGTCGTAACTCTGCAGCACGGTCGCGATCGCTGCGGGGCTGGGACTGAAGTGCAATCTCACAGCATATACCCTCCGCTGCGGGTCGGAGGCGCGAAGGCTCCGTGGCTGTGGGACTGAAGTGGTCAATCCGATGAAATATTTGCTGAACCGCACCTCGTGACGGAAATAGGCCGGCCCGCGGCTAGACAGCGGCGTGCATGCTGCCGGCGAAGCAGCGTTGGTTCACACGATTGCCAGGAGGGCTCTCACAGGGGGCCCGGAAACGATGCTGTGCAAGCAAGCCACAGAGAGCGCACCTGCTTCTGACAGGCCCAACCACACAGAATCAATAGTGGGATAAATAGTGAATTATAGGTCATCATCATAGCTCGCGCGGACAGCTATCGGAGAAAAGCCAGAACCTGACCGGAACAGCGACAGAGGGCTAAGCTTCATGGGAACGCTCTGTACGGTCTGAGATACACACTTCTATTAGAAGTCGAAGGATAAAGACTCAGTGCGGCCTACCCACCATTCGCTGATACGACCCCACCCACGCGGTGGTCGGTGTCCGAGCTTGCACTGCGAAGGATGTGCTCGACAGAGCTATCTCCAAAATCGCGGCCATCTTCGTCGTGTACCGAGTCGAGGACGTCCGTGTCCGACTCAGCAAAAAACGTAAGCCCGTCGTCCAACGAGTTCCCTAGGGGACCGAGAACCCGCGAGAACCGTGCGTCAGACATCCGTGTATCCTGCGATAGAGAGGCGGTCTCGGAGCCAAGCGCCGCCTCGCGCAAGTTGAGAAAGAGCCGCGAGAGGAGGATCGTGGTCAACCTGATGGATGTGTGAGCCTGCGCTGTGATTTCTCAGCGAACTGAAGTGTGGAAGCGCACACGAGGACTAGCACGGCGACCTCAGAATCGTCGCTGAAGGATACCTATGTGGTAAAGTCAACGAGTGATACTGCACACCAGTGCAGACGGCGTACATTTTGAATGTATGATGTCAGAACGACGACGTTCGCTACTAGGAGCGTACTGAGGTGGACGGTATGCGCCGCATTAGCCGGGGTTGAGAGCTTCTGCAGGCATCTCACCAGAAGTAAATCGTTCCTACGTGGCATCAGCGTTTAGACCCGCAATCTGACGTTCCTGGACAGTCGGCGCACCATCTCTCAGCAGAAGGCTCGTGAGTGAAACGTTGACATTCATCTGTCGGGCGAGCTTCTTGATCCCTCCATTGATTCGCCAAGTCGCAATGAGAACGAGAGCATCCGCGAATGTCGAACACGCCCGCGTGACGATCTCGACTACCGGCAATGCCGCTTCGTCAAATACACAAGCAGAGGCGAGCATGGTCTGGCTTACGTCTGCAACAAACGATTAAGCGCGCGCATACACGGAGGTCGAGGACATGATACGTACATCGCTTGGGCGTATACAGGCGTATTCGAGAAGTACACACACGAGTTGGTCGGAGGAAGGCTCATTTGGACCAGACTTGTCGCATTATACTGGTGTCCAGACATCAGCATGTAAACAGACGTGAAGCCGTGGAACCCCCGTACTATGTTCGCAGCCACAGGCACGAGCGAAAAGAACATGATGACAGATGGGAGGACAAGGTCCAGGCCACCGATTGCATAGACACGCAAGGCGGAAGCAACTGAAGGCAGTTGGGTAAGTATCGCGAACCAGCTCAGTGAATTAGCTGGAAGTGCTCACCACCCCACGCGAGATACAGAGCACATATAGCGATGTCAACGACGACATTCAAAATGAACACGCCCTTGGGTATAGATTATGACAACTCGATATGTGCGAACGAAGGTGTCAGTTTACGCACCTCACAGGGAATGTTACTGGGAACGAAGACAGTGATGATGAGGTACAGTGCCGTACAAATGTGCATTGTTGCATAGATCGCGGGTATGACGATCCCAGAATTCTTGCGACGCCATATGAGGTTCACTTCTTGTTCCGCGGTGAGAATCTTGTCGTAGCAGTACAGCGCTGTGTACCCGGCGGTCAGGAACACCCCGTCGTTGACATGAGCAAGTAGCGCACCTGTGGCAGCGATAGAGATGCGGTTGTCTAGTATACTGACAATACGAAGTGATCAGATCAGATCAGTATACAGGATTGGTGATGGAATCGACGACGTACAGGATTCTGACTGAATCGGCTTCGGACATGATGATGAGAAGGACGAGTGGAGGGGGGAAACCAGCTCGCGATCACTCAAGTCTCCGTTGATAGAGCTAAGTAGCTGCAGCATCCGGCGGCAGCCACGAATTGTCAACGCGGTGTTCATGAGTACCCAATTGGTCGAATTAGGCTGGGAAGGTTGTGGTCCATCAGGACCCGACTGTACCATGCGCCATGATGTGTCTCATAAAGTACGGCATAAGGGCTGTGCAACTCGCCAGTCGTATTGAAACACGACGGTATTAGCGAGCAGCCAAGAGCTACCTAGAGCTATGCCTTGAGTAATACCGCAGCAGCCATTGAAGGCGACGCCTCTGTGAACTTTAAAGAGAGTCGCAGGGCAAGTGCGCGGCAGCCTGTATGGTAGAGGACAAACAGAACACAACAAGCTGCAGTCGCATGACGCGTGGCTGTGTCAGTGTGTGTACGGTGATTCTGAGAGCTCTCATGGGGACGACGATGGAGATCCCATTCATCACCATCCCCCCCTCGGCGCCGCACACCCACACCGTCGTCTTTCTGCACGGGCGCGGCGACAACCCGCGAAACTTCGCGGCCTCGTTGGCGCATTCGCGCGACTCGCGCAACCGCACCCTCGTCCACGCCTTCCCCTCCTTCCGCTGGGTCTTCCCCGAGGCTCCCCTGCGCAAATGCGCCAGCTCCCCCGACACGTGGCCGCAGTGGTTCGACGTCTGGAACGTGCGCGACTTCGCCGAGCGCGAGGAGCTGCAGGCCGTCGGACTCCGGGAGGTCATCCCCGCCATCCGCCGCATCCTGGCCAGCGAGGCCGCGCTGCTCGGTGGGCGCTGGGACCGCGTCGTGCTGGCGGGCATCAGCATGGGTGCTGCTACGAGCGTGCACACGCTGTTCAACCTCGACGTCCCCGCCGCAGGGGGTGGCAGGCTCGCCGCGTTCATCGGGTTCTCGTGCCGGTGTCCATTTGCCGGCAGGACGCTCGCTGAGATGCGCAAGGTCCTCGATCTAGAGGGAGGTGACTTTGACCACGCGGATGTCCTTCTCAGGACGCCGATGCTGCTCGAGCACTGTGTTGACGATCCGCTGGTTCTGGTCCGGAACGGCCGTGGCTTGCGAGACACGTTGCGCGGATTCGGTGCGCAGGTCGAGTGGAAGGAGTACCCGAGCGGGGGCCATTGGTTCCACTCGCCGACTGGGATGGATGATGCGGTGGACTTCCTGAACAGACATGTTCTTGGGAACGACAGTGCTGGAGCGTCATCGGTGCAGCCCCAGGCCGCATCCGACGCAATGGATCTGTCTTAGAAGTCGCCCGTCGAGATGGTATTGACTTCGACTGCAGGTACGGTGAGAGTTCTCTCCCCGCAGAGCTCTCATTCTCACATGGTCTCATCCAGAGATAGAGTGAGCGCTGCGACACGTAGCATGTCATTTTTCTCGGAATAGAGGTATGTTCGTAAGTACTTGTTGCCTAGCTGGCGAAGCCCTCGCAGTCGGCTTAAGCCAGTGAGGAGCATTCCGCAAGGACTTTGTCATTGAGGTCTGCTCTTCATCACGAACACAGGGTGTACGATCCTTGTCTCGCGGTTGTATTCTATCCCGCACATACAACTATGGTTGATCCCCATCTGTGTCCCAGGCGTGCAATGTAAACAGGAGAGCGCGCCCAGCCTGCTCAAGGCAGGACAGCACTAGGTATGTGGCGGCATGGACGCACTCAAGCAATGTATGCGCCTTTGCTATCACTGCAAGCGGGCATGCGCACGAAATATCCTTTCGCACATCATCAACCCCTCCGCCGTCCAATGATCCGACTTTCCTCCCAGGTACTGCGACGATCGAAATCAATGCAAGTGGCGGTGCAGCGGTATATCGCCCGCCGTCATGGCGAAACTTGGGCGAGACACTGTATCAGTGATAATCTACATGTCGCGGATGGTCTCCCATCCTCTCCGTGGTCGACCGGAGTGCGAGCTCGGTGCTTAGTTGGTGCTTACGAAGAGAGTAGACTCTGGTAGACTACGTGAGGGGTTTGAAGCAAAGTCCGGGGTCTTGTAGGGTTCTGCAGGGTGGCGCGGGCATTAGATCAATTTTGTTACTGTAATACAAACTTTGTGATGTCAGTACAGTCCTCAATAGATCACTGTTGTTACATGGCAGCGTTCTTCTCTGCGCGTTCGTCCTCGGTCCGTCCTGTCGCGTTTGCAACAGATTCGTCCACACTGGCCATTTCATCTATCCCAAACTCGTCTGGTTCAGCGTCCGAGGCCTGTCCTTATGGTCTGTCCACTGAAATACTACAATTAGGCTAGTTGCGACAATCTGGTGCTGCACTTCGCTGTGTCAGATCAGCAACCTTCAACGTACCCGTCATGGCACGCGTGCAAAGCTGAGCTACAGACTCGGTAGCCATTCCCCTACCATCCTGAACGCGCTGTCCTTGTCATCGTCAGCCCACGGTATCGAGATCACGTCGTGCGACACACCCAACAACTCTCTGTACGTGACCTTCTCCTGCCCAACGTCTCCGATCAGCCTATCCCGGAACGTCCACATCCCGTCTCTCTGTGTCTCCGCTTCGCCCAGGACCATCAGCGTCCTACGGAACTCCGCAAACAAGCCCTTCGTCTGGGGCAGCCCGCGCGACGCCGGCGAGATCCACGCATTTGTACGTCCAGCATCCGCAGGGAGCCTACCTGCAAGGCCCCTCGCGATGTACTGAGACTCCGACGTGAAGAACGGGATGCAGAAGTCTGTCGCTTGGTTGAGCCTCCACGACGACCCAGGCAGGTCGTGCGTCAGCGCCCACTCGACGTAGGCGAGACGAGCAGCAGGGCGCCGGACGCAGGGAGCTCCGGGAGCTTGCCCGTGGCGAGGTAGTGGACGAGCGCGATGGCGAGGTGCCCGCCGGCGGAATCGCCGCTGAGGACGACTTTCTCAGCGCGGAAGCCGGCGTTGTGGAGGTGGTGGTACGCGGCGAGCGCGTCGAGGAGCGCGGCGGGGAAGGGGTTCTTGGGCGGGAAGGGGAGTGAGGCGACGTATCGGTAGGCGGGGGCGAGGACGCGCGAGGTGCGCGGGGCGTGTCTGAAGAGGCCGCTGCATACGGACGGGGCGGCGTACCCGCTCGGCTGCGGTGTCTCCATGCTGTATCCGTCGCCTGAGCTCTGCGTGAGTGTGTTCCCTCCTCGATGGACCATAGCGACTCACCATGGAACTGCAGGTAGACGACCTCGTCGTCCTTCGCCGGGTGGTCACCCCTCCCAAGTACGTTCGCGGCCTTGTACCAATAGCCATACGTCCGCCTCGGCTCCACGCCGTTCAGCTCCGCGATCTCCTTCACCTCGCCGACCACGAACCTGTCCTCGACCGGCGAGAGCGACACGAACCCCTTGGCCTCGTCTTCCGGCGCGGGCACCACGTCCTCCGCCTCCTGCTCGTACGGGAAGCCCACCACGAAGAAGGGCGCGATGCCCGCGCGCATACAGGGCCCGCTCATTGGCGATGCCCGCCGAGGATACAGACCGGGTATCGCCGCAGCGACGATCCAGTACGAGAGGCGCACGCAGAGCGTGGACAGCGCGTAGCAAACGATGTGGGCCGATCTGAGCGGCTGCCGATGATAGTGGAACGGCTCTGGTCGACCCTCCATCGTTCTGTATACGCGAAGCAGTCCTTAGATCGAGGGAGGGGAGCGTGGCGTGTCGAATATACGCGTGCATTACAAGCAGCAGGCACGGAGGTCGGCGAACCAAGATTCTCGGAGGCTTCATCTCGCCGTGCCGGGGCTTGGACGCGACCTCATCCCAACCATTGCATACCGGCGGGAGGTACTTACGATCGACGATCGACGGGCTGTCCTTGCACAGCCACATTCAGGGTAAGTACACAGTCCAGTTTCCGCGATCTTGTTCATGATCTTGATCATCTCCTTCTGTCCTTCTGCATCCACCTCGCTACATCTATGTCTAATGGATCCTATGCGGTCATTCGCGCTCGGGCGGTATAGATGATCAAACAGTGCTTTTGGGAAGTGACCGCAGATCTCCCGCGAGAGTCGAACTTCAGGAGCATGCGATTGAGACGCAGGCGCGGCCAGACGATTTCGGTCCTTGGATTCGGAACCAACCACCGACGTACTTGCCACTGTTTGCGGCTCCAGACAATGGCTTGTACTTCAGTCATCTCATTCTTATGGGTGCGCAACATACTTCCTCATGCTCTTCGAAACCGACAGTCGCAAGCCACGCCACGGCGATCCTCTGTGTCCAGCGCCCCGCACGGAGCTCGTTCTTGATCAATCTTCACGAAGATTTGCATCCCAGCGTCTACATGTACAACTGCATTGCCACAGTAGCTTACATATGGTCAACACGCGCCCGAGGACTTCACGGATAACGTTGGATTCTCCGTCATGAGTTGTAAGCGCGCCGGGTCGAGCGGGTCTACTAGCCAGGAGCCTAGCCTAGCGGCTTGTGATCTTGCCGGCGTTGGGAGGAACCTACCAGTACAGAGTGGCGTACGCGCTCATGAAGACTTCGACCCAGACTACATCCGGCATTCGAGGGCGACATGGCGGCATACAATGCGGACCGGGACAATCACGAAACGGATTGGCGCAGGATTGGCGGCGGTCGATTAGTACTACGCACGTCTTCTCCCGAGGTTTCCGTGGGCTTGGCACAGCGCTCACCCACAATTCAAGCTTCAAGATGGGCCGCAGAGCGGGAGCGGATCGTGTTGCCTTCCCCGCACCTATGTCGTCGTTGTGAGTGCCAACGCTGTGTCTTTGTCTCGGGAACGTCTCACGAACTGACGCGGTGGACTTCGCGGCTCACAGCTTCCTCGACAACGAATGCTTCAATGCGGCCTTTAGTAAGCACCCGCATCATGTAGTTTGACGGTACTTGCTGACGTATGTCAGCGTTGTACTTCTATGAACGGATCCTGACGATCGAGCAAGAGGTCGGCCTCGTCTGGAAGCATGCGTCCAGAGGCTTTGTCGTACCCGCTCTCCACGTCAGTATGCACGTCTGCACCACGCTGTACCTTCTACTGGAGTTCGTGCCGTCGAGTATACCGTGCAAGGTGAGGTCTCCCATGTTGTGCGGACCCGCTCTCTGACCCAATTGTCTGTGTTCAGAGGTCTGCAGTCCCCTCACGGCTGTATCCAACAGAAGGTCTCACCAGATTTCGTTCTACAGCCAGTATATCGCGACGGTCGCGCAGTTCAGCTGTATCTGTGCTTTGTATCTGATCTGGGGAGGTATGACACTCAACGAAATTGCACTGCACGTTGTTCACGTTCCATCATCTTCAGGTATCTCGGCGATGCGCGTATTTGCGATCAATGGGCGGAACGTATGGGCTCCGTCGCTTATCATGGCCTTGTCGCTCGTGCCTGTAGCCACGAATGTTGTACGTCTACCTTCGCTCCCTCCATGATCCTCAGACTGATGGTTTGTCCCAGGCAGTGTTGGTAGTCATGAAGTGGGTCATTCTGCCGCCACCAGACGGCTGTGAAGTATACACGGTCATGTCAGATGCCACAGGTTACAAGTATGTGTCGTTTCCCCGCTATCATGGTACGTACTGATGCTCAAGTTGCACCAGACGTACGAGGATACAGGTTCTCCGTTGACCTTCCATGCATGCTCATGGCTCTTCACGGCTGTTCTAGTCGAAACCGCTACCAGGGCCAGTGTCATCGCAGCCGATGCGCTCGTACTTCTGGCGACTTGGCGCAACACTTACGGAGTCAAGAAACTTGCACATGGTCTTAACATGAAGTCGTCTATCACGTCGCTTCTTCTGAGGGATGGTGAGTGACCCGAAAACCTCATTAGGTATCTATACTGAGCCATTGTCTGGCTTCGTAGGCACAACCTATTTCTGGTGAGAAATACAGTTTTTTTGGATTTCGAGCGTAGGAGCGGTTCTGAGGGCGTATACTAGTGTTCTTCTGGCAGTGAACATCATTGATACGGTGCTATGGGCGAAGAATGTGAGCGCACCATCATCTCTCTTGCCTCCGTACGCCTGACACGCGACCCTCAGCTCACACTCGAGATCGACAACTTTTGCTTCGTGTGCGTAATATCATCCTTCATCGGCCTTGGTGGTTCACCCTCACATTGATGGCCCAGATTCACCACCATCCTCCTCTCCCGGTTCTTCTTCAATCTGCGCGAAGTCGCGCTGGTGCCCGAACTCGACTCAACGTCCTCCGCGTTCTCGGATTTGCACTTTTCTCGCGCGTGGGGCACGCTTGGCGGATCTCTCGCGGACGAGACGAGCAGCTCCGAAGGGACCTTGGATGCAACGGACTATACTGGCGACTCGGAGACGATCTTGCCAACTGACGAGGAAGGCAGACATTGGGAGTTAGAACGGCAGCAGTCCTCCTCTTTAGGTTCTGACTAGCAAAAGCCAGATGTCTGACGTGATTGTGAAGAAGCGTTGTCGATGCTCTTCGGCGTGCCTGCAGGCGCGGCGATCCAAGCATCAGTACGTTGGATCGCATACAAGGGACAGCCGCTCCTACAGTCTCGGCCTCGGAGCTCGAACTCCTCGTACATCCACTCATAACGTGGCCCGGACCTTAGACTACTGCACGCTCTATCCTCCGATACGCAATGTATGCCACCTGTTCGCCGCTTGTGTTGCCTACGGGTATTGGCCGACCGCACCAGAGACTCGTGAAGTGTTGCGTGTAACTGACCGCCGATATAACCTTTCTGACATCGTCTCTGAGCTGATCTTGACGCATCAATTCCAGAACTCAGGTCTTCGAGGCCGTAGGACATGTACTAGGTGAGGTATGGCTACCGCCGCGAGGCGTGATGTGGCTGAGGCGTGGCGCGGCGCGAGACTCGGAGCTTCCGAGTCATCCCGATTAGCCCTCCTCTAGACACACCTCAGAGAAGGCGAGGGAAAGGAAGGTCTTCAACACTTCGATTCCGAACTTGCGTGTACTGGGAATTCTCCTCGTGTCCGAGAAATGGAACTCCTGTGAGTCCGAGTCACTGGCACTGCTCTCCAGCTGTGCTCTCGCCGCGCCTCGAAGCTGATCTGTTCCATGTCTGACTCGGACAGGCATCTGGTAAGCTCGATTCCGGAGGGTTTTCACATCGTAGACATGCGCACGTCCGTTGACCTTGACGTGAACTCGCACTGCCGATGACTTATGACACCCCGCAAGGTCGTGGTTTCGTTCAGCGGCCAGCCGCATGCAGTTTCAGTATGACGTTTGACGTGGACACGCCACCATGCTGGCAGTTACAACCCCATATATCGCAGAACAATCCTATCAATACGCCGCCCCTTTATTACACGCGGCTATACATGCAGGTGTGGCCAAGTCTTGACCATGATGATGCGAGCTGATGATATTGTATGCGTCAAGCAGTACAAAAGTACGCCAGCAGCACCCTGTGACAACGATATCGATTCAGCGGATGGAAATCGAAGGCTCCTACAACTGAGTACCGATTTGTGTACCCTTTCATGATCAGCCGCTTCCCCGCCGGCCACGGCGTGGTATACCGTGGCTGCAAGGCCCAGAAGAAACCTCTGTTCCGAGCGCACAGTCATACCGTCGCAGAGGAGTCGTCTACACCTCAGGCCTATCGCGGGCCTGCTGATGTCCAACAGTGGTGAGCCGTGACCATCCTATGCCATATCGACCGCGAACGCTACACTTTAAAGTACCGTGACGACCGTCACCCGATAGCGCCCGCTACGACTCTCGGGATTCCACAACTGCGGTCGGAACGTTACATAGGTGAACATGTTCGATGTTTCGCTGCACGAGCTTGGATAGCATCCCTGGGGCGTAACAACAATACCGATTGCTGTTTTAAATGAAGCTTAGATTACCGCCCAAGCCGTTGTCAGTGACAGTCGCTCAACCAACCCGAACTGTGGCAATTGACAAAGTTTACGGGCTTCCAACGACTTCACAGCCCATGTTCAGTGGCACCACCGAGGCTTACGGGTTTCTCCATTTAAAGTCTATGCTACACAGCGCGAGGAGTCGACCTCGCTATTTCTCCCATGGAACAGTGGTGAGCCATTCAAGGTCGCCAAATATTACATCCTTTTCTCGCTCACCGCGCACGATAATGCTAGGTCTGTCAACGCTGCTTGTCTTTACGCGTCCCTCAGTAAGCATGCATGGCACCATATTCATGTTGGCGCCAAACGCTGAGATTATGCTAGCTCTGTTTGTCTATGAGCGAGTCTTGACCATCGGCCAAGAGGTTGACCTGGTCTGGGGGCGTGAGCACAGGGGTTTCGTCATGCCCGCTCTTCACATCAGTATGCACACCTTCACGCCGTTGATGCTTCTGCTGGACGCGGAGCTCAAACTGGGGGTCGGTCCGTCGAGCATATCATCCAAGGTGACGATCACCATTGTCTTGTGACATATTCTTACCACTCAACTATCGAATTACAGAGGTTTGAGAGCTCTATACTGCTCATGGCATCAAGAGGCTCATTGACGTCTCCTTGACTATATAGTCAGTCCGCAGAATATACACTCTTCACTATTAGTGTCTGTGCTCTGTATTTGATATGGGGAGGTATGCGTCTCAGCAAACAGTATAATCCATTTATCTCAATCTACCTAGCTGTCCTGGCTTTACGCGTATATGCCATTAACGGGCGGACAATACTGGTGCCTTCGGTGATAATGACGATCTCGCTGGTGCCCATAGGTTGTGACATTGTAGGTCCTCATCGTTTGTCTTTGCGAGCGGCGGAAAACCTTGACGTAGAAACATCTGCCAGGCCTCAGTGATAAGACCCATGTCGAAGAGCGCGTTTGATATGTACGTTCAGATTTGAATGTCACCGTTATGATTCTCATTCGCAGCACAGACGTATGAAATACTTCACTCACATTCACCTTTTGCTTATGTTCCTCATGTGCATTCAGTTAAAATCACTTCTCGGGTTAGCTTCGTTACAGTGGACGCCATCGTCATACTCGTAACTTGGAGGAAGACGTTCGGAGTGAACAGGCTCGCAGACGGGCTGGGCATCAGGACGTCAATCACATCGCTGCTTCTGAGGGACGGTCAGTCGCTGATCTGCTTCGATAATTGGCTGAGTAGAACAATGAGTCTCATTGACGTCTAGGTACTATCTACTTCTGGTGGGATTTCGCATGCTTCAAGTTTCACAGTAAGGCTTACTAGATGATATTCGATTGCAGTGTTTTACTCGCACTGAATATCATCGATATCGTGTCATGGATGACTCAGAAGGTATTTACTGCCCACCGTGATTCTTTGAATGGCTTTACTAATAGCCCCATAGAACTTTGTCGGCGCAGAGTTCTTCTGGTTCGCGTGCGTTACCTCGTTTCTTGCTATATCCTACCTCCGTTTGAGGCCCATTCGAACTCTGGCAGCTTCGCTACCATCCTACTCTCTCGATTTCTCTTCAACCTACGAGAAGCCGCCCTCGCACCGGAGCTTGATTCGACTTCTTCCGCATTCTCTGATCCCCACTTTATGGGTGGGATGGGCATGCTGGGCGTGTCCATAGTGCATACCGACAATGCGGAACCAATGTTGGAAGAACCGGAATATGACGTTGAGGCCAACATTGAAGTAGTTGAGGAGGATGAACCGGAGGTGACGGTGAGTCCTTACAGTCTGTGAGGTTCCTTACTAGACTGACGTAATCAACCTCGACAGACCCCACAGTCTGAAGAATAGGACAGGTCGCCTAATCCTGCATGCCAAGGGCGACGTCTCGACTTAACCACATTCTTTCGCTGAACATTACCGGGACCTTGTGCTTTCACGTCTCATTGGTATCGCGAACGATAAAGTCTATAATAGTAGTAATAATCATATTATGTCTTGATGTCTTCTGAAATGATTCTTCACACGAGAAACTCACACTCCAACAACCAATGCATACCCCAGGAAAGTGTATGAAGCCTGAATGAACAAGAACAGCCGACGATACGTCCTGCAACACTTCCATCGATTATTACAAGTGAAATTTAAGAGCCATTTAGCCACCGGCCGATAACGCACGTGCGCACCGACTTCTTGACGGCGACAGCGCTTAGGCTCGTGACCTGCCGTTAGAATGCACGTGCTCGTTGGCGGAGTTTGAAGGGCGAGCAGCATTCTAACGGCTGGGACAATCGGTCGCCCTTTGCGGGGGTACCCAAGGCACTGCCGCATTTGGGCCCCCGTGAGAATTGACACTTAGTGAAATCGCGCGTTTCGCGCACTGGCACTTGGGAGGCCCGATGTAAGTGCGCGTTTTCGGTCATGCATAACTCATCATTGGTTGCAGTACATCTCGTGAATTAGTCAAGATACGGGTCTACGTCGCCCTCTTCATCCAATGTGAAAAATTGTTCGTGCTCTAGCCAGTGTTCCGTGTCATCCACCTCCTCCTCGTCCTCCCCATCCTCGCAATCCGACATCTCCTCCACGTCTATCATGTCTTCATCAGCATCAGCGTGTACCGCGGCCGAACCGCCACTTGTCGAATGGACCCGCGCAGCAGAAGCGCTGTTCGCGCCGCCCACTAGAGGCGATGTTCGTCGACGGCGTTTCTTCATCCGGGCGAACATCGCGTTGTATTCCCTGAGCGGTCCCGCAAGCTGCGTCACCCCGCTTGTGATGACATTGGGCACGACAGCCTTGTCGCCGTCAATAGTGCGTCCCGGTGTCACCTTGTAGACATTAGCATCTGTGAGTGATCGTCGAAGTTCTTCGATGTCGCGTCGGAGGTCGGGTGCGGCGTGCGTGGTACCTAGGCGCGATCCTAAGGCATCGTTCATTGATGTCACAAGGTGTCGCAGGGAGTTGATACAGGGGGAGATCATCTCCAGCCAGTCCCATGAGGCTCCGCTGCCCTGCGCGTTGTAGATTGTCTGTTATGCGTGCACCGAAATATTTCAGTGGGTCAACTTTCGGGACGGCCGCATCGGAAGAGACGTACCTTCGTCCAGAAAATGTTATGCTCTTGTAGTAGATCAACGGGATACCAATGATTAGGTTTCCCCGTTGTATTGACGAGCCAATTGTTCAGTATGATCGCGCTGCACCACATCAGTGACTGCAAGCAGTGACGGTATTGAGTTGGGACACGTACCGTAACGGTTTCGGCCACACATGCGTCAGATTGTGTATGACGTGCAGAGCCTCCTGAGCGTACTTCGTTCGGCCACTCCCTCGGTAGCTGAGTGCCAATACCTTGAGCACAATGACGATCCGGCCTGAGTCTCCAGCCTTGATTGCGTCAGCGAACTCTCGGAGGATGAGCGCGTCTCGAAGGAAGAGGCTGGCATTCTCGAAGACCATGTCACCTTGGCGCGGAACATGAGGTTGCGCATCAGGGTCCGAGGTATTGTCCCGTTGTACTGTCAGGAGTTCTCGCGTGCGTGCGCTGCGGAGCTGGGACACGACGCTCGCGCTGACAAACCGGGATACAAGTTCTGTGACGTGCGCCTGCAAGTCTTCGAATGTAACATTCTCCGCGTATTCGTCAAGGCTATCGCAGCCAGTGACAAGCTCGAGGCAATGAATCAGGCGACCGTACAAGGAATGGAAGATGAGGTCTCGCGCAACGCGATATGGTGGGCGGTTGGTCAGAAGGAACGGCTTACGATCGAGCACCGTATTATGCCACGAGAGGCACGCGGGATCATGGTGGCCGAGATGAGGGTTGCCCCAGTGAGTCTCGAGGAACCCGTATGTTGCTGCCATCTGATAGTGAAAGAAACCGGGGGCAAACGCCGCGAAAAGCATGGATTGAGAGAGCGAGTCGTGACCAGCGCGATTGCTGATGACGGCTCGAAGACGGGCAACCGAGAGCTGGTCTCCGAAGACGAGCTTGACTGTTTCGGTGAAGGCAGTGGACTCTAGATCGTGACCGAGCTCACGGAACATTGCCTCCATGACCTCTGCATTGCCCTTGATGCTGGCCTCCTCAATGTTCATCGCTCGGAGCGGATATACTTCTGTCTTGCGAAGCACGATGCATTCTGAGGTAGAGACGAGGCTTTCATCGACGTCGGGTGTGAAACGGGCGAATGCAGGACCACCGTTCGATACTATGATGCGCAGAACAGCGTGTTCAAGCATCTTGTTGAAAGTCTGCATCTCGGTTGGATCCAGGAGAATGTCGTCTAGTGAGAGAGGAGGAGCCGTCTCGAAGGCGTGAAGGAAATCGGTTGTGCGCATGGCAGTACGCGGGGCATCATGGAGTGGGAAGACTGTTGCGCAGGTGCCGTTTTCGATAGAATCCTTGTGGCCCACAGTCTGCTCAGCCGCACGCAGGATCCAGTTGATGTTGTCGTAAACATGGGCGAGTTCCTGAGCAAGGGCTAATGCACGCGTTTTCCAGCGACAGGCCTCAGATAAACGCCGGAGGAGGCCTGCGCCTAGTCGCTTGAGTTCTGCGGCAAGGCTGATGTCGCTGCCTTGAATGCCTTCATCGGGTTCTTCCTCGTCTATGCCGTCGGGATCCCGAACACTCTGTAGCTGTGGTACCACTGGCATGCTCCGCGCTCCTTCAACTGCTTGCTCATGATAAGACGATGGAAAGAAGATCATGGGAGACTGAACTGACCTTCGCCGCTGCTTGTACTGTTGTCAGAACTGGATTCAGATGACGACTCTGACTCGGAACCGGAGTCTGAACCCTCAGCTTTCTCTGACTCTTCATCTGAGCTGTCCTCGGCACCGTTCACCTGCGACTTCAACATGGCAGCGGTTCTTGAACCTGGCGTCCCTGCGATGGCAGTATAGCTGCTGCATATGCCCAGATGCGAGAGAATGCTGATACACTGGCGCTGCGCGCCTGTCGCATAGAGGTACAGGCCAAGTACGTGCCGCCCGTAACTGTTCTGCTGACTGCGCTCAGCTAGGAGACCCATCAGAGCAGTACCAACACGCTAGTAGTACAAAGGTATGACATTAGCTCCGAGTTGTTCTGAAGGCTGGCACCGATCAAAGAAATCCATACCAGATCATTGCGATGTGCGGAAGTATTGGTGCGCAACCTCCGCTGTCGAGCTGTGGTTGAGAACTCCCTCAACAGGCTAGTCATGATGGGACACAGGGCGGTGAGGCGGTCGTAGATCTTGGACAGATTGAATCTTGACAGGAATCCGTCATCCACCACCATTTTCCGCGACTGCAGGACACCGTCTTTGGTGGCCCGAGTTCCTTCTCGCCGGATGGCTTTCTCGACATAGTCCAAAGCCCACACATGCACCGCTTGACGACCTGTAGGGCTGTTGCGCGACGACGTCCAATAGGTAAGCACTTGTTCAATGCGTCCCAGAATGTCGAACATGCCCTCGTACCGCTCATCGCCTCTCTTTGATGCTGGGTCAGAGAGGTAGAGCACAAGATCGCCCCAGGTGTACCCCTCTGCTCTAAGGATGGATAGGACTTCATCAAGCACTTCTTCGCGCGGCCGGCGGGATGCAGCTGCCACTTGCGGTCCATCTTCATTTGCAGGCGATCGACTGCTGCTGGCGTTGGACTCAGTGCCAAAGGTAAGCCGTTCCCCGCCACGGCCATGAACGTCAGCCGCTGCAGCTGCTAATGCTGAGTGATAGCTTGTGTTTGCAGCAGCAAGATCGTGGCCGTGCCTATGTTCGCGATCCTCTCGCTGCTGTCGCAACGTACCATTGCGTTGCTTCAAGCCTTTCGCACGACGCTGCATTTTCCGAATTTCGTGAGTCTTCCCATTGATTGGGGATGACCAGATGGGACCACTACTACTCAGGTGAGCGTCGTACCCTTGGTGAGAACGAACCGGGGTCTGTGGGCTGAGTACGCTGGTCGTCACAGGGATAGGAGAAGCAGTTGGGACTCCAATGTCAGCCGCAATGTGTGGACCGACAAGCAATGACAGCCCGCCTGTCAGATTGTTTTCGCCAGTCGAATTCGGAACAGTTCCGCGCGGAATTGACGGGAGCACGGAAGGCGGCCATTCGGGTGACGGAGGCGAGGGAGTGAGCGGTGAGGAGGGCGGGAGTGGAGACATCACTAATAGGCCATGAACCTCCGATAGGGGAGCATCATCTGCAGAAATATGGGGGGACTCCATAACATTGCAGTGGAATGGCAAAGGAAAGACGGGTGGATGTAATGTACCGAAGGCAATACAGATACAAATAAATTGTGTGGAGTTCACCGTTGTACGACTACGCTGCTGCGCGCTTCACTCAAACGTCTTCGCTGCTGCAGCTCCTGGTCCACATCTCTCCGCCTGTAACCTTTGAGCTCTCGAAAACCTCCCCAGTAGCCATGGCACGGCTGCAGAAGAAATCTTCACGTCGCCGTTGGGCGGCGGCTCGCCCAGACAGGCCCAGCGGATTCCAAAGGCACCCGTTGTCTGCGGAAGACGTCAGCAAGATGCACACCTTGTTCGAGGAGGCTTATGGATGGCCTGCACGAGAGTTCCAGATGGAAGGAATACGCGCACAGCTTGAGGGCGTTGACATGATGATTCAAGCCCCCACTGGTGCCGGCAAGACGGCCGTGGTCGCTGGTGCGCACCTATGGCCCACCGACATGCGCAAGGTGACCATCATGGTCTCGCCATTGCTATCCCTTGAGGATGAGATGGTATGTCAGCCAGAGCCATCCACATACAGCTGGTATACTTACCATTTGCAGGTCAAGACGTTCAAGGACCATTTTGGTCTCAATGCTGTTGCCGTCAGCAGCAAAAACGGCTCATGCTCACCGATGGTCGTTAAGGTGCGCATCGTAGTGCGTTCGGCTATCGGGACTGGTCACTGACTGGCCGCCCTGCAGCGCATTCTCGCCCTTGAATATCAAGTAATTCTTGCCTCGCCGGAGATGTTACAGTCACGTACCTTCGTGAGCAGGGTTCTGCGAAACTCGAAATTCACCAGACACATACTCTCCATGGTCATTGATGAAGCGCACTGCGTCTCGCACTGGGGAGCGGATTTCCGCAAGAAATACGCTTCTCTCGGCGTCATCCGTGCATTCCTTCCACGCGGGACACCTGTCATCGCTTTGACGGCCACCCTGACGGCACGCGTGCGCAGAGACATCCATAGCAAACTTCATTTCCCCAAAGGCGGCAGCCGGTTTGTCAACTTCGGCAATGATCGCCCAAACGTTGCCCTTGTTGTTCGCGCCGCCGAGCATCCTCTCAAATCCTTTGAGGACTTGGATTTTGTCATTCCACCATCAGCCGTCCACCCCGAGGATATCCCAAAGACGTGGATCTATGTCGACAACATCAATACAGGGACGGAAATCATCGACTTCCTCACTGACCGACTCGAAGCACGCACCATGCACCGCCGACCCGAAGGCCCACTGCCTGCAGGCCTGATTCGCCCATTCAATGCTACCCTTTCCTCCGAATATCGCACCGCTGCAATGAGCGCGTTCCGGGATGGTAGCATCCGTATACTTGTTTGTACAGAAGCAGCTGGCATGGTACGTTTATCAGCTCGCATCTTACATCAGATTGATCCTTACAGAAAATACCTGCCGTAGGGATGCGACATACCTGATATAGACATTGTCGTACAATGGAAGCTTCCGACGACGTTCTCGAACTTCGTTCAGCGCGCCGGCCGCGTTGCGAGAGGCCGAGGTCGGAGCGGATTGGCAGTACTGATCGTTGAGCGGTCAGCATATTCTATCGACCTCACATTCGCCACCGGGCCTGCGACTGGTCGAGGTCAGACCGACGCAGTGACGCAACGGGACTTACCACTGGGAGGAAAGGTGAAATCAGTGGTGAGAGGTAGGAAGAAGAAGAATCTCAACAGCGCACCGCAAGCGAAGGCCCCGAAGCAGTACGCTGACGCCCACGGTGTCAATCGTGGAGGTACTTCACACAAAGATGATTCGCCTACCGCCGAACAGCCTCGACTGGACACTGAGGCGCTTGACGAGGGACTTCTGGTGTTTGTGCAGAGTGTCCGCTGCCGCCGCCGCATTTGGGCGGACGCGTTTGAGAGCCCCCTGTCAGGTTCGTCATGTTCTGCAGCCTTGCCTTCAATATGCGCTAACGACGTGCACACATTGCTGCAGCACCCGCAGGACCTTGTTGCGACATCTGCGAGCCAAGCCTGCTGGATCGCACACGCCCCGGGATGGTTCAACGCGCGCAGAAAGGAAAGCGGATTGCACGCGGTCTCCCAGACGTGGAGGCGCAGGTCAAACTATGCGAGTGGAGAGATGCGGTGTACGAACGCGACCATGCGGGCCGCTTATACGACTCCATGGCCATCCTCGACGACGGCCTGATCGAACGCATCGTCACATCGGGGGACCTGCCGAAAGAAACACTCACCTCAATGCTGAAGCCTTCATGGCTCTGGTGGGACAAACATGGCGACGAGCTGATAGCATACATCACCGCGCTCAGCATCGAATTCACGCCCAAGCCGGGGAAGAAAACGAAACAAGCGAGCGCACCTGTTGTAACCACTGACTCCGGCCCTCCACCTCTCCCAGAACCAGTTCGAACGGCTGGAATGAAGCGAACGGCGGTGAGCGCCGACATCGACAGCACGTCGACTGCTGATCCTGGCGACGCTGGTGAGAATCCGATGGGTGTCCGTACCGACTCGGATGAAACTACGGTCGTCGTGCGCAGATCAGCTACTAAACGAGCGCGACGTGGCGCTCGCGACGTTCAAGTTGATGGCGCAGCCCCATCTGGTGTAGTCTCGGAGCCGCCGTCCACTGCCACTAGCAGCCAAGGTATAGACGGTCAAGTCGGTGTTCTGCCCTCTCACCTGTTACGCCCCGCTTCGTACGAATCGTTCTGGACTTCGTTTGGTTCATTTGCAGACCGTGCTTCGAGTTCAAAATCATGACATTATGGTTATTGTATGTACATAGTAGTGCAGAGTGTATTCGAAACCGTACACGCGAGTGGGTCGCGCCAGAGAATAGAGGCGGACTCGAGCCGTGCTCAGTCCACAGTGTACTCAGGAGGAGGATGCGCGCGATTTCACTAAGTGTCAATTCTCACGGGGGCCCAAATCGGGCAGCGCTTAAGACCCCCCCGCAAAGGGCGACCGATTGTACCAGCCGTTCTTCGAACGCTCATCGGAGTTCGAAACGGCTGGTCACGAGCCTAGACAGCGCTCACTCCTCCTCCTCCTCACAGGCCATAGGGCTACGTACTACTACTCGCTACATGACCCCCAGCCCCCCTGATCCCTGCCCTACACTCATCCCGAGAGGTGTCACCTCTCGCGGCCCCGGCCCTCTCGCCACGAACCGGCGGGGCGGGTCGCTCTGCTAAAACGTGGTGGGAAAAAACCCGAAAAAACCCCCAGGAGTCAGTGCCGGTTCTCCGGACATCTGACGAAACTCACAGAGCGCCAGACCAATCCGTGACAACCGTCGGCTGTCCTCAACGCCTGAGATCTTCAGGATGGGCCGCGCCACATCCATCCGCAACCTGGCATGGTGGGCAGGGACCAGGGGCACCGTAGAGTTGCATCGCCAGTAGCATGCATTGGTAGCCGTTCGGTGAGTCCCATAACTTGCAACGATGATATAGTCGCACGCGGGGCGACTTTGTGGGGCGGAGGCTAGGCCGCGGTCTGGACGGGCTCCTCGATGGGGACCACCGCCATGGGGACAGTATCGCATAGCTCGAAGATCGAGTGTACGTATTCCGCGAACACCGCCACTACGTCCTTGTCTGCACTGCAGTCCGCGAGGAAGCGCTCCGGCATTCGCTCGCGGCTTATGCGCCAAAGTGGTCTACGAGCAAATACCGCATCGAGGAACTGTTTGCGTGCATGTCGTAGTTCTTCAGCCGAGCACTTGAGTAACACGTGTACCTCATCCTCCACTGACCCCTGTAGTCTGCAGAATCTGCACAGTCTCTGTTCGCGAGGGACCGTCGGCGTGTGCCAGCGGAGAACCTCGACAGCTAGAGGATGGTCTGATGCCAGCAGGCGACATAAGGCTAGTCGATGACCTCGGTTCGTGACAGCAAGGTACGCGCGGCGTTCCAACGCAGGGTCGCGTTGCTTCCGCGCGGAGAGGATCGTGAGTCGAGTTGACCCGTTGATCTGCTGCTTGAGGTCAGTGACCAGCGATGTTCGCAGGTCCTCCAGGCATCCGGCGACGCCATCTTCTGTGAGTGGTGCTGCAACATCGAAGTCGACAGGGGTGGTGAGCTTGGATAGGGCAAGGCGAAGGTCGCCAACCCAAGAAGCCTTTCCAGACAGGGCCAAAGCCCGCGCCTCGGCCAAAGCCGCAAGGGGCAGCGCGGGTCGCGGCAAGAAGGCCGTCTGGACACCTCTCGCAAAAGAATACCACGTGAAGTGAGACAAGCATGAAGAATCAGACATGATTCTGTCCGATTCTTCATGCTTGTCTTGCTACACGTCGTCTTCTTTTGCGAGAGGCGTCCAGACGGCCTTCTTGCTGTTGACGGGTGGCCAGGTACTGGCCCAGAGAAAGGGCTTGCTCCAAACCTAACACTGTACAGAGTCGTCTGACTTTGACTCTGAGGCTCTGAGCAGCCTCCTCTGCCTATCATCCTCACTCAGACAATGGCCAGCAGCTCACTGGAACTACATCACCTGGAGAATGACTCACCCGGGTTGGCCACACTACTTCCGGAGGTGCTAGCTTTGTCTAACGTGATCTTCGACGCCGACCCTCAGTCCAAGTACGCCTCGCTCGACGAGTGGAAACGACGTCTCTCCGCTCCTGGTTCCGTTGTGGTGTACCTCTCGCCTCCGTCAAGACCAACCCGCCCAGTCGCCTTCTCGTTCACGCACTCACGACACCATACACTACCGCTCGCAAGCGGTGAGACCGACACCATGCACGTCTGGCTAGCTGGCGTGCTCCCGGAGAGGCGGACGGAAGGTTGTTTGGCGCTGATGGTGGAGGCGTTGGGGTCATCGCAAGTCCTGACTGTGTGCACGACCCCGGACGTGTACCCGGCGATGTGGAGGTGGCTGATGGGGTGAGGATGGTCGGTCGAGCGGGAACTTGGCGGCGGGAAGGTGATGCTCCGCAGATCGAAGTAACTGGGATCCGAGCTCTCTGGATAGCCTGACTGTACCTAAGGGTACGTGTGTATTGGCCAAGGGAGTGGTGAGCGGGAGTCGTTTGTGCGCAGCGGTGAAGGTAAGCAGTATATTATCCCGGCTATTATCGTCTGCAACGGAGACTAGTTCAGACCGCCATCGGTCCTTCTATTCGGAGGTCGACTCCATGGTAGATATGTGAACATACATTGATCCTCGTGAATGCCTTCGATTTGCCATTGTGTAATGCCTCGAGCGGCGCCGATGACACGCGCGAAGTTCGTAATGGACTCGTCTCATTCAAACCGTCACTATTGGCGATGTATGAATGAGATGCTAATTCGACGGTACCGGTGTTGCCTTGGGCTTTTGCGCGTGCTCCGCAAATCTTCTAGTAGTGCAACTCCCCCCTTTCAACCCATACCCAAGACTCAGTGATACAACACGAATGACGCTACAAACAGACATGTGAAGTGCAGATCGCAGACAGAGACCGCAACACACCGCTCACGCAACGATCGCGATCTTTTCGTCGCCCGTACTAGCGTCGTCACGCGGGTTCAGCGCATGCACCGCAATCGAGAACTCCTCCATCTCATGCTCGTTGCGCCCGCTCTTCACGACGCTCTCGACGGACGTCGTTCCCGCGCTCGCGGAGCCCGCCTTCGTGCGCTTCTTGCGCCCGTCCTTTACGCGCGCAGCGAACGGGTCGACCTCGACCCGCGCGTGGCTCTCGACAGTCACGCCGACGCGCACGGGCTCGCTCTGCTTGCTGAGCGTGATGCGCCGGTTAAGGCGGCCATGGCGATCCTGCTATGTGCGAGTTGCATCAGTGGGCAGCCGTGGCCATAGCGGCCAGAAAAAGGGAGTACCAGTTGGTCCACATCGATGTCTGTGACGCCATTCCATGCATCTCGCAGAGACGCACGGGAATTGAGCATCTAGGGCGTGTAAATGAGAGCGTCATAGCAAAAGTCGGAAGAGCTCACAGCAAGGATGGATAGCCTGGTATTGGCACAAAGTCAGAGAGCCTATCGCCGAGGAAGAATATAAGAACGAACGTGTAGACTTGCCCTAGAGGCTACCGTTGAAGAGTACCGTCAAACAACTGGCAGGTACGGATCAGAAATTGGCGACGTACAATGGCTGCAATGAGCGACCAATTCGTCGGGAACGTGGCCTTCTATTCCTCCAATGAGCTTCGCCAGTATAAGGAGGCCGCTGCAAAGAGGCGACTCACAAACACGATCATGTCTACTAGCTGTACCGCTATCAGGCTCTACAGATCGAAGTTGAGGGGTCACGAAAGATCACTTACGGACAGGAACGCATTCAAAAGCGGAGACTCAACGCAAGTGACCACCAGGCGGCGAATGACGGTGTCCGTTCCTAATTAACATGAAATATCAGCTTGTCAGACGGACAGGGTATATGCGCGACGCACGCTTGAAGCCCGTTCTATGCCTGAGCAGGTAGTACAGCAACAACAATCTGTCCCCAACGTGATGAGCAGGGAGCAAGATGTCGCCGGAGCTACGCAAGAAGACACTCACGCATCAACGACATTTACGAACACGTTGATTGCGAGCGTCGCCTGGACCATCGCTAGCTCTGCGTCCAGCGACACGGGACTGCAAAAGGATGGCAATCGACCATCAGTGACTGTTGTTCACATAAGAACATGTTACTGACTCCGACGCTGCCAGGCTCGCGCAGGTGTTTACAAAATCCATGACACTGGCCGACACAGAGCAGAGCGAGAGCATGCCGAACAAGATCCATGACTGGCTGAAGATTTTGACGCGCCATGTGAAGTACTGCTGCACCACGATGGAAATGCTACGTTTGTTTCACGCGCAGTCAATACGTTCGCATCAGCTCAGGAGTGTGCGCAGAAGGAGTGGACTTACATTGACATGACAACCCCGAGGGAAGCCGTCGTCGCCCAACATTGAATAGACAGCGCCTCGTAGTTCCCAAAATTCTGCACGGAGAAGAACCAGATGGAGTAGAGAGAAAAGCACTCCTGGATCGTAACCATTGTGAACAGTATTGCTACCATCGACCTACACCCATAGTGAGCTGCATAGACCAACACGCAAGCGACCGCGAACACTTACTGCGTCAGCCAGGCATCGTACCCGCGATAACCCAGGTAGCTGACGAACTGGTTCAAGTTGACGCCGTACAGGAAGGTGCTGAACATCGTCCCCAGGAAGACGGGCGCGTAGTACTCGCGCACGAGGAGCTCGTCCGCCGCTACGCCCGAGCTGTCGACCATGGTGTCTACTAGTGGCGCAGACACGCCCAGAGCGCAAGATGCGAAGACGACACAGGGGGACGCGATGTGCCGACGCGGGGTTATTCACATAGGTTATAACGAGTGGAACTTGGGAGCGGATGGAGACGTTTCCGCAGGCATCAGTAGGAAGTTTATGGGCAGGGCCTGTGGCGGTCGTGCATCTGGGGTTCAAGCTCCGGGATGCACGACCGCCTGAACGCAACGGCCTGCCCAGTCTCGGCGCTTGAGAAAAGGATCGCGTTGAGATGTACCTGATTCATTTCGCGTTATGAAATGCTCAGGCAGTCTTCCAGTCTTCCATTACCATCTGTTCGGGGGCCGGAGCGATGTCCAGTCATCTGTCCGAGTCAGAATTCGCCATCAGTTTTCGTCAATAAATATATAACGGGACTGTTTCGTACCTTGGTCAGTGTTATTGGGATGCCAGTGGGACTTGGTGATTCCTATGTTGCGCAGTCTCGGACGGACAGTATTGTGTACAGCAGACGTGTATGGGATGGTAGTCCATCATTCAAATCGGTCGCGGAGATGCTCCTGCTTATGTCCAGCTCTGTTGCAGCCGGTCGCACGTAGTGGCTTGCGCTGGGCTTGCGGGTGCAATGACGCTGTTGGCAGGAATCCTTCTTTTGGAAGTGCGGTTGGTAGCGCCCACTATCAGGCCTATCATTCCCCTGGTTCCTTGTCTCGACGTCGGGCTTCCAGATTCACCTAGAGCTACGCAACGTTTTCCCTCCTACATGAGCAGAGCACGCTCAAGTCTAAGGCTGGATCTACGTGGAGGCACATTCATGCTGGAGAGGCCCCAATACGCTGTGGCTACAGGGCCGCGCCCGGTGGTCAGCGTGCACCGGAAACAGATGAGTCCATGTATGAGCTACACGGCTGCAATTTGACCATACCATGCGCCAGCAATGACCATCGAATTTGACGAGCGATGATTTGGGGTGGCCGTCATCGCATTGGCGGAAGAGCACAAATCCAGTCGCACACGACCGCAAGCGCCATCTTGATGGCGGCCCGGAAGGCCCGGGCTCCGGCACTGCTCGCTGGTGACATAGCCTATGTGACATAGTAATATGTGCAAGTGAACCACTACCGACAGAGTTCGCGTGTTACAGTCTTCTACGATGTCGATATGCTGTGTTACGAAGGTGAGTATGCCATGGGTAACTGTGTCAGGTGACGGATCCGTGGCATACCAGTGAATGTTTGCGCGTAGATAAGACGCACCACTTTACTCTGCCTTCACCCAATCCCGCACGAGACCAAGCTCTGATATCGGTGCACTGCCCTCCTTAGCCGCATCCTCCTTGCCTGGCTCAGCAGGCTCCGGGTGTACACCCCATCCTTGCATGATGAAGAACATCCTATCGCGCACACACCCACATACCACGTTTGAGTCTCTTCAGCAGAGAAGAACTGAGCGACGCACCACCTCAGCCTATCCAATCGGAAGATGTGGAAGAGCAAGAACCAGATCGCTGCAGGCTTCTCGGTGAGTACGGTGTGGCAGAGAGCATGGGCGTGTGTGAGAAGGCACGCACTGAGCTCCATGTACGTGAAGAAACCGAGCGCGCCTCCCCGCGCGCCGCGCTTGACGAAGCGCAAGACGTCTACCCAGAGCTTCATGTCCTTCGGCGACGGTCGCGCGTCCTCGTCCATGAGGAACGTTAGGAGGATGCGCATGTCTAGATGTCGAGATGAGCTGAGGAGGACGTTGAGGCGAACGATGCGAATACTCACAGATTCCGATGTGGCTGGCAGCGTGGAGTATGCGTGAGTGCCCGCATATGCGCGTATATTCGACAGATTGGCTCACAAATGTCCGCTGAATGACAGTCGTCTCACGTCAGCAGTGACCACGCTCAAGTAAAACGACAAGATTCTCACACAGTGCCTAAAGATCTATCAATACCTACAACGCATGCCCAATGTGTCCACTCACCGATTGCATTCATATACGAAGAGTTCGTCATCAAGACCGACCAGTCCTCTGTGGCGAAGTTTTGGAGGTAGAGGTTCGGGCGCTGCGCATGGATGCTATCACAACTTGTTCCCGAGCGGCAGCCAACCTAACTCACCTCGTACGTCTCGGGGAACAAGTCCTCTGGCAAGAAGCCAATCTCCGGTTTCTTGAACCCAGTGGCGAGAACAATAACATCCGCAGGGAACTGAAACGAATATACCCACTTTAGCATTGACTCTGAAGGCCACGGGACAGTAGAATCGACGCACCTCTTCTTCTTCACCTTCGTCCCCCGGCTTTGAGGACCGTCCACGCACACTGACCTTCACGCCACCTCGGGTCAGGCCCTGTGTGTCTCCCCGTATGTACTTGCAGCGACCCGCGCGCACGTGGTCGAGGAACTCATCGTTCACGACCTGCTCAATCGTTTAGAAGGTGAGTCGGAGGGGAAGCGAGGCGCGGTGGGACGCACAGGGGTGCCCTGGAACAGCCCGAGGTGCGCGGGCGTCAGGTCCTCGACGCCGTGGTAGTTCCAGATGGTGATGAACTTCTCCCAGATGAAGCTGTACGCCAATCAGCACCTGTGGGCTCATATGTGAGGTATGGCAATTGTACGCACCTCAGCGGCATCTCGCGCCCGAATGGCTGCGCCGAGATCAGAGTATCGATGATCATGTTCCTCGGGATGACCCACTACACATCCAACATGCGTCCACATCCGTCAGATCGCAGCCCACAGCAGCATACACGCACCTTGTCCTGGCGCGCGACCATAACGCAGCCCTGCGCGCCCCGCGCGAGCGCCGTCTCGACCGCCTCGACACCGCTCGCGCCGCTGCCGATCACGACGACGCGCTTCCCCGCGAGCTGCGCGTCGTCGAGTTCCGACGAGTGTAGCAGTGTCCCCGCGAACGTTTCCCCATCTCCCTCTCCCTCCTCCTGCTTGTCCTCCGCATCTGCCTTGTTGCCGAGCTGGCTGTGCTTCCTTTCCTCGGCGTCTGCCTCCGACTCCGTCTTGCTCTCGTCCTTGTCTGGGGAGGGCGACTCCTGCGAGTCGCGCGCATCCTCCTGGCTGCGCACCCTGCGTGCTTTGATCTCCTCCATATCCGGCATTCCCGGGAACTTGACCCATTGCGGCTCGCCACACGTCCCGATCGTCACGATGACCGCGTCGAACACACCGTCCGCGCCGTCGTTCACGATCCAGCGTGCATGGCCCTGTTGGCAGGGATCAAGGTCTTCTGTTGTGAGCGGGATGAGTGAGTACGACGTCGTGAGGTGACTCAGGGCGATGGCGTACCTTCTGGTACGTTGTCCATCTCCTCTGGTGTGGCACGTCGGACGGAGGTGACGCGCGTGTTGAGGTGTGTGCGTGGCTCAAGGTGGTATTCCTTCCAAGTTCTGCGGATCTCTGCAAAGAGTGACATGTCAGAAGTCACACGAAATGGGCTGTGGCACCAGATGTTATATGATCGAAGTGTCCCGCTCTGGGCTATCCAGATGGTTATTCGAAGTAGTACATCCGGTATCTCACACGGTATCGCACGCTCAGACCTTGTCATGTTCGCTGGCACATACCTGACAGGATTGCGTCACGTCGCGGGAACATGCTGCTCCAGAGCACACCTGGGTGAAAGCGGTACAGCAGGGAGTTGAGCTGAAGACCGGAGGTGGCGTTGACGTTGGCCCAGATGCCACCTACAAAGAAGTCGAAGTAAATATGAATCCTAGTCCGATGAGACTCCCGGCGACGTACCAATGGATTCGTGCTGGTCGTAAATCACGACGTCGAAGCCATGGGCGATCGCGTGGGCTGCGCTGGACACGCCTGTAAGACCAGCACCTATGACGGCGATTCTGCCGCGAGGCTTGAAGTTCTCGGGCGGTGCTGGCTAGATGGGACACAGTGATGAGATCGCGGCAGGGCACGACACAGGTACTAGTAGACTCACCGGCTTGAAGAGCCATATGATGACGAGCTCTACGAGGATGTAGAACGCGTCAAAGAGCAGACGCAGGACGCGCGCGGGGGAAAGAAGTGTGGCGATGTTGCCTTTGCGCGCCGCGCGGAGTGTGTTGTGAGCGAATTGGACGGCATTGTTCTTCTCTGCGGCGAGAGCAGACATCATTGCGGCTGGGAAGTTGTGGGTTCACTGGGTGCAGGAGGGGAGGAGGAGAGGTTGGGTTGGTGGGGGCAGGCTGAGGGTCCTAGAAATACAAGTATACAAGTCTGTGCATGCGTGCGGGGCGAGTGACGACGCACGCCGCAGACGCGTGACGTCATGGCCTCGTCGCGTCGCGTCGGCGCGTGCACTGAGCCGGCGACAACTGAAGCATACTCTAAGGCGTCTCCTGGTCGCTCGGCCTGGCAGAGATGCTGCGACGAAGCTGAGTAGCTACATGCATGTACATAGTACATACATGGGAGTAACTGAGCGCACAGAATGTGTGGTACAGACTTACAGTGATGTTAGAATTCCGAGTCCGATGATTACGGTCAATAGCAGTTCAACCCCCGATGATAAGCTTCAGCACCCGCTCTCGTACAGCCACAGGCGCGTTGTATGTCTACATCTGAATCTTGGACTCAGTCCCACGTCCGTTCTCATCTTACAGCTGTCATTCAGATACTGTATTACATTGCGAAAACGACGTACGAGATACATATAAGTACATGTCCGAACTAGTAGGCGCGGTCTGCTGCACGCGGACAGTCGCCAGCCCCATCAAATATAGAACATCGACTCACGAAGGTTGGGATGGATGCCATTGCCCCACAGGCGCATAGCCTCCTGGTAAACCCGCTCCTTCTCCTCATCCTGCGACAGCCTGCCCCTGCTGCTGCCACCGCCCACAGAAGACTGCTCGTCCCCGAGGTTCAGCAACGCGTTCAGGTAGAACCGCGCCCGTTCACACGCGAGGTCGGCATAGTAGGCGGGCGGAATCAGGCTGACGGCCTTCGTCGCGCGCGCGTAGAGGTAGCTCGCCGTGTGCGTGCCTTGCTGCAGGGTATCCGCATCGTAGTGGAAGTCGTCGTAGACGACGAAGTAGTGAGTCGGGCGGACCTCGCCTTGCAGGCCGTTGTGCGCCTGTCAGATCGACCGTCAGCTGAGCGCTCGCGCTGAAGATTGTGTCGAGATACCCACCTGAAGGTACCAGTCGAAGCCGTAGACGTCGGTGATACCCCGGTCCTGTATGGTCCCAGGCTTGGTATTGCCGTTCTTCGTGGCGTCGACGTCCTTCGTCGCATAGAAGCGTGCGTGATGGCGCTTCCCGCAGATCGTGATGGTGAGCTTCGGGTTGTATGGAGCTTTCGGAGAGATCTTCCTAAATGCCTCGCGGATCAGGGGAAGCTCCTCTCGCAACACGAGGTCGTACTGCCCCTATAAGCCAAAGTCATACGTTACCAACAGGAAACGGAGCTGGACGGGGAGATCGCACCTCGGACACGCCATCTCTGTAGACCATGATACGTTCCGGCAGTTGCTTGTTCTTCTTCTGATACATTTGCAACCGCTCGATCATCGCCGCTGTCAGATTGGCCACCATCTGCAAGCAGAGTCAACGTTGAACAGAGAACCGAATGATGTATGACAAACCTCTTTCGCATCCTTGTTCCAGTCTGCTTTCTGCGGCATAAGACTGGCTGGGAACTGTGTGAAATTGTCATCGTAGCTGGCGACCACCGCAGCGATGGAGGGTGTGCCCCGCGTGCTACCAGGTCCAGGGTGAGTGACGTCAATCCCGACGACCATCGTCTTCATCTTCCGCAGCCACTGCATCGACCGATCGTCCAGCAGATGGTTTGTCCCGCCCAGCTTCGTGTTCACCTTCAGCGCAACATTGGAGAAGTACTGGTCCTGTTTCTTAGGGTCACCGCGGGCCTTCCCGAGCTGCATATGAAGCGTGTGCACGCCCAACTCGACATCGCCGAGGCGCTTGATGCCCGGGTATATGTAATTGTCCACCTTCGACAGGAGCACGAGCACGAAGCCCGGCATCTGCGGCTGGATAAGCTTCGCCAACGTCTGCCGGATCTGCTCCAGCGCCTGCCTCCGGTGCGGGTCCACTTCGACGCGCGGCAGCCTCCCAGTCGCCAGGACATTGCGCGGACGGCCGACGCCGGCTATCCCGCTCGACGCGCACTTCCTGCTGAACGTCTGGAGGAACGCGACGAGCTCGGGGTCGGTGGCGCCCCTGAACTCGTCCCGCCCGCCGTCCTCGACGAGCATCACGGCCCAGCTCGGCGCGCTCCCGCCCTTCTGGAACTTCACGTCGAGGATGTTCCAGCTCGCGTCGCGCACGTTCGGGCGGCCCTGCTGGTACGCGATGCCCGGCGGGGGCAGCACGCGGCTCGGCACGACGGCCATGTCGGGGCTCACGCTGATCCCGAAGCCGTTCAGCGTGGCCGCGGGTGCGTTGGCCGCCAGGCCGAGGTCGGGGAATCCCTGGTCGCGGATCGCTGCGGCGTTGAACGCGGGAGGGTTGCAAGCGTAGCGAATCATGTTTGCGGTCTCGGTGGGGCTCAGCTTCCCTCGATATGCTTGTCCTGGGAAGATCTCGCAGAGCTCTGCGGGCACCAGGTTCGGCTTGGTCTTGTTCCCGAGATCCAAGAGAGGTAAGTCGTGAGCGTGTCTCAATGTGATTGCGTGCTCTATCATAGACATCAGTTGTACGTCACAGATGTAGGCGGCGGATACGAACTGCGTTGAAAGTACTGCTCAACGGTCACCATTCCTCCAAGCTCTTGGCAATCAAACCGCGCCTGCCGAGCTGTCTGGCCGGTGAGCCGGAAGATCGCCTTCTTGCGTATATAGCCCAAGTGCTTCGTTGACACCTTCAGCTTCTCCGCGAACGCTTTCGGCATCCCGCCCGAGCTGTTCTGCATGAACGCGAGCATCGCCTCCGCCATGTTGCCCGGCGTGTAGAACGCCGTCATGCAGACGTTGATGTTGACCATCAGCTGTTTGTACATCGGGCGCACCGACATGAAGAACCCACGCCAGGCCTCTACGCCGAGACCGAGGGGCTGGCTCGTCGCGGATGCGCGGAAGAAATAGCGGTTCTGACCGACGCGGATCCCAGTGGTGGACGCGTGCTGCTGCAAGACGAGATTCAGCGCGGAGACTATTGGCTGCATGTCTAGGTCTCGAGCCTCGGGACGACCTTCGGTATACCTGCAGACGAGACATGAGGACGGCACGAAGTAACAGCGTACACATGACGTACTGGTTGAGAGAGTTCATGTCTAGTTCTCGCACGAACTTGATGGTAACGGTAAATGTAAGCGCATCTGCGCGCGGGGCTGTCTCGCCCTCCTCTATGTATCGAACGGAAATGGCGAGTGGCTGCGGGAGCTTTTTTGCCGATATGAGACGCTGACTGCGATCGTGCGCGACATAGCCGACGTGAGGTTGGTAGTCGGGATGGGACTCGAGAACCTGGAAGATACGGATCTTGCGGTCTCTGCCCGCCTGGGCCGAAGGCGTGACAGAAACGTCGTAATCATAGAAGGTCTTCTTCGTGGTCTTGACTGCAAAGAAGTTGGTGCGCAGCGTCTGTGGGGTACCTAGTTTCCCGAAGCCCGGGCGGAGCGGCATCTCGTCGCGAACGCCCAACCTGTTGAAAGAAGTGACGAGTTGGTCGAGCGTACCCAGACGAGAGTCGACGACCGCAGGCGAGCCTGGATTGAAGATGCCCACGGGGCCTCCACGCCCACCTCGCCCCCCGCCGCCTCTGAATCCTCCGCGTCCAAGGTCGCCCCCGCGACCTCCACCCTGGGCGAACCCACCTCGTCCTCCATCGCCTCCTCCGCCTCGAGGTCCCTGCCCGTGATGGAATCCAGGCGGACCACTTCCGCGGCCTCTGTCGCCGAATCCGGAGACGGATGAGGCGGTAGAGACCGAGGGACTGATCCTCGGTGCCGGGCTACCTCGACCTCCTGGGCTGCCGCGCCCTCCTCCACCACCCCCGCGACCCCCAGGGCCTCCTCGACCGCGATTGGCGCCTCGTCCTCGTTGTTCGGCCATGTCTTGCTCTGACTCTGTGGAAGATGACGGCTCGTTGTGTAGATGGTGGTAATGAGTCACTGAGTGAGAGTGAGATGGGATGGCCGCGTACGTGTGGGAAGTCCAACTTATAAGCACGTCCTCAGCGCTTCTGGAGGCTGTGCCAACCTTATACGAAAGAAGCCTTGAATAGTGCGCGTGCTTACTGCGCGTACCGGCGGATGCCGCTCTACGCTATTGGGACGTAAAGCTTGCGTAAAGCATGAATGTTCATTGCCGCATGTTCCTGCGACTGCGTGCAGCCCTAGGAAGTAACTCATAATTAGTACGTTACTTCGCAAGCGAAGCCACAGTGCATGAGCACTCACCGAGCGTCACCGGCACCATTCAGTTCGCGCCCTGCTGAGTAGATCGTGGGTGCTTCGGTCAACTCCTGGCGCAACCTCGCGGACCATATACATTGCCTGACATGCGATGGCAATGACAAGCCACACAGAAGCCTGGAGTACCAATGGGCGGCGAAGTGGAGGCCCGGGACTCGGGACTCGGAGACGTCAGTCACAACGACACCATCGTCTCTACGCCGTCGCTCACAATCAGCGAGAAACATAACCATACTAGAATTCACGGCACCTGCTCGAATAGTACCGGTATTACCATGAATGCCCGCGTCATGTAGTACGCCGTCATATTATCCGGTATGCCGAACGCCTCGCCGGGTGTTGTCATGTCCCTGCTGACTATTTTGCTGTAGATATAGGCTTGTGCGTTGCGCCGGGAAGAGGAGGAAGGATTCGTCCAGACACGGTTTGTCGGACGCGGTGGTCATAGCCGTCAGAGGAAGGTTCGTGAATTGTTGCACAACAGGAGGAGGAGGAGGAGGACCAACGGATCGGACGATTCGGACGACCCGGAAAAGGAAGGTCGATCACATGCGAAGGGTCCGTCGTGGTTCAAACGTCCAATTGCTTACCGCCAACTAGCACTTGAGCTGGCACGAAGACCCCGTGCAGCCGCATTACAGTAGACGGTGTTTATCCCATGCCGATTCCCTACACCTGTCATGTTTCATTATGAGTTACGCCTGCGGCATGCCGTTGCCCATCTATCAACAACCATAATCACTGGCGTGGCTATGATTATTGAGAGGTACGTCTCTGAGTTAGCCTCGACTTTGGAAGGTTCACCTTTCTGTGTCACATTGCGGATTCTGCATGTCGCAAACCTCGAACGCCACGCAGTAAGGAAAGCAGGTTACTTGTGGCTGTGCGCCTCCCCCTTGTCGGCTACTAGGTATGATCATACTCTGCGTTGTTGACGCTTCGCTTCGCCGCAGCGATCATGAAGCCGGTCACGTCGTCACCGATGATACATCACCATTCGCCTGGAGAACTCAGCATTTGCTCAGGCCGTCACTGCATGGCCAAAGGAGTCTGCGCTACCAACCCGCGGATCCATGAATGACACCGTGGTCTGTGCTGTCTCCTGCAGTTGGCCCTATTGTATACTGACACTAGACCTCAGTGCAAGATTCTCGTTCGCCTCCAGACCGACGGAGCTTGCATAGGCGTCACCGAGCCCGCGCGCCTCGTTCTCTGCCCGAGAAGCTTGCACTGCGGGCCAGACGGATCAAAGTGATGTTCAGCAACCACAATGTGGACTGCTCAACCCGCGGGTGCGTGATCTCCCTGTTACTAAGTGGCCCCTTCGCGCAGATGCTGCAAGCGGCGAGCGCGCTGCTGCGCATCCGTCTGGGTGCGCTATGAGCTTGGCAGTAACAGCGTTGGGCATGTTTCTCCCGTCAATGTTGCCGTAACTGATGATCGGGCTAGGCTGTACCGCAATCCGCGCTCCTGTGTCTTGAAAGCACGATGAGGCTCGTAGTTTCGAACACCACTTGAACGACGAAACTCAAACAGGTAAAACTCAAACAGGTGACTGACAACGTCGCTTCGCAGCATAGCATCTAGTACGTTGATCAGGTATGGTTTGAATATTATCCATTATCCATGATGATCTTCCACGAGTCGGCGTGTCACGCTACGACGAGTAGTCACCAACCTGCGCTTTCACTCAGGCGGGCTACGGACAAGCGAGGCGTCAAGTCTGGGATGATCCGCGAGTTGAGTTGTTGTACGCCCGTGTCGTCCTCCATCGATGTCCTCCTCCTCCCCGTGTGAGATATCCGTCTATTCACTGAGCTATGTATTCACTTGTGTTATTCTAGGTGCTACGTGTCCTGGGCTGCCCGTACCATGGACGAGTTGTCCAGGTTACTGCTCGAAGAATCTGATGGACCACTCTACCCGCACTGTGTGGACTAGTGTGACGCACATCACATTGCAAGATCCCGGCCGTTCGTTCAGCCCTGCCCCGACCCCCTCCCAAAGGTAACCGCTCGTGCGAAAGGCCGCTGGTTGGCATCTCCCGATGGCGCGTGCTGCCTTGAGTTGATGTTAAGAACTTCCCGGGGAGACGTGTTATGGCCATATAAGAGGTGCGATGAGGAAGGCCTAAGGCTACAACCTTCTTCTCATCTACTACCTGATCTACTGTGATCTTCAAGTCTCTCACTGCCGCTATACATTGCATACCGTCATGCGTGTCCTGCCGGCCTTCACCCTCGTACTGTTCGCCTTCGTCTCGTCTACCCTCGCGCTCCGCGACTACTTCACCCGCGACGATCTCCTTTCTGTCGCAAGAGCCTACAAGCGTAGTGCCGAACTTGTGAGTGATTCCTGTTCTCGTGTATGTGCCTAAACTCACTATGGGCCGGCCATCTGCAGGTCGACATGCTCATGCCCCGCCAAGCCAAAGGCGAGGTATGGTGCTCGAACAAGAGGTCCGGAAAACGTCTCAAGGACCAAACACTCGACGCAGAAACGCTGAGGAAGTTCGAAAAGAAAGGGTGCGATCATACGTCGCGCTCTTCCGTGCCATGTGTCAATACTCATAGACGACTCGCATACAGATGCAGCCCGAACGGGAAGTCGCAATTCTCCAGCTCGCATAACTGCCAAGGGAAAGGGTACTACTGCATCCGGGCCAATGGTGGCGGAGAGTGCGTCAGTTTGCAAGGGAAGGTCAAGATAGCGTACGAGGGAGGAGAATGCTTCATTTAGTGCGATCTATCGCCACCAGCAGGTTTATCGTTTCTCCTAGCTGCTTGCGCGTGGTAATTTCCTGTTGCGTATTTATAAATATCTTTTCAGCTTGAAAGATCGTGAAGTTTGAGGCCGACGACCGGGAGCCCGCGCACAAGTGTGTGCCGCATCAGTACCATCCTTTCGTCGAGGTGGGACTATATGTCTCGTCGTCGCTGATAACTGCCTCGGTGCGGTTGAGCTAACGCGTTTCCATCTCTGATATGAGCGACCCAACATTGTCTAATACATGTCGCTGGTACACATGCCCACGCATTCTATAACAGTAGCGCGCGGCACATTCGGAGGGCCACTCAAATGCCACTCTGCACGCAGCTCCCGAACCTGGTAGACCAAACGGATATTCTGCGCGCCGCCAACTTGGGCAGCTGGGTAACCGAGGAACAGGAGCTGGTCAATGCGAAGGGGGTACTCAATTCCACCGAGAACGAGCTGAGGAGGTTCGATAGGAATTGCCCCTCATTGCGCTCTTCAACGAGTATACGCTAATGAGCACGCGGGACGTGCGGTGCACAGCGGATGGGAGATCGCAACTCTCGAACTCATACAATTGCAAGATCCGTTGTTTACCACGCTACTCTTGGTGGAAATTTGGGAGAGGACGTCCTCGAGGGTCAGGGGTGTTTCATCTAGTAAGTGTCAACCGCGCTGCTCGTTGCGGGCCTACCGATTGTAGAGCCAGATCCCTTGCTCGGAGAGCAAGGCTCTCGCAGGTCGAAATGAACGCTACCCCTTTCGACCGTTGTTGTTCGTTGTTTGTATTTCTCGCCATACCAGTCTTAGGGTGCCTTGTGTAGCGGCCCGGTTCGGGGACCGCCACACTTTCCTTATTCGTCCACCTTCCTAAAGCGTTGCATCCTAAACTCCCCACCGATTCCAGGCCATGCAGCACACGATCCTTACGCACGGATTGCGTGCTTGAAAACTTCACATTCGTTTATGTATATAAGACAGACCGAGTAGACTACGAAGGGGAAGCAAGCCTTCGGAGACCAATACAGTCTAATTAACTGTCCGGCCCGTTGCACGCTCTGACCCGTTGCGCCACCACTTGCCTTAACCGGTCGTGCGAGCGTTACACTTTTTGACAGTCACTCGACTCTTACTCCAACCCCTCTCGCTACTATCTTTACTCTCGTCGCCGCGTCTGGTATCTTCGAGTCTGATCAACTCGACCTCCGACTCTGGCAACTTCGTCTGCTCCCAAAAGAGCCGACACCCTTCGAAAAGCCCCAAGAGTAATCAAGCTTACTCATGGCACCTCATCGTCGATACGACTTCCGCTCTCGCGCAGGACGGGCGGGGAACATGGTACCCGGTGAGTTCCCTTCCGGTCACATAGAGAACACTGAATCTTCCGCTGTGGCAGACGGTCCGGGATTTATCTCGGACCTCACGAGCATTCGCTCGGCCCCCGGATCTCTGCAGTACGCTTCGTTCGAACGTACAGCACCTCCGAGTATCCCCGGATCTCTGCCGCGTGGGTCTTCGGACCGCGCCGCATCTCCGCGTAATCCCTCCCGCAGCCAAGCAGCTCAGGAGGAGGTCTTGTCGCCACGTGCGCTAGATATCGAACCGGAGAGGACGCCGAGCATAGCTCGCGCTTCTCTGGTTCTGAACTCTCCCTCTCCCATCAAACAAGAACCAGGCTCGGGAGGAGTCTGGTACCCCGTTGGACGCAACGGAAAACACTCGCACGGCGCATCGCGCGCGAGCCCGAACCCGATCCCCCGCAGGAGAATTCGCGGGGCGAGCGTATCGGAAGAAGTTCTGGCCTCTGTCTACATGGCAGAGCAGAACATGACGCCTAAAGAGCGCGCTGAATACCACGAGCGTATGCGCAGGGAGTACGAGCGCCAGGAGTTGGCTCGGCTACAGCACCTTCGTCAAGTCGAAGAGGACGCGTGGGTCGCCGAGCAGCTGGCACGCACCCCCGATGCTAGCCAGTTCACGGCGTCCGGAACCGCAGAGGGCACCGAGACTACGGAAGGTCAGACACCCTCCGAGTCGGAGGACTCTGGTTATTACCCCACCGCGGAACTCCGGCGGACGGGGAAGGTCTACGAAGGACTCAACAACGGTAAACGTTGGGATTACCGTAACCTCGAAGAGAAAGCCGCCCGAGCCGGAGAGGCTCCGGCACCTCGGGAGCAGGTGCGTTATGGCTCAGACGAGCGTGACGAGCGCATGGCGGCTCTAGAGCGCCATCTAGACCAAATGGGTAAGGCGATGGAACGCTTCGCAGCGTCCCAGGTCGCTAGGGTATCCCAAGTAGAACAGGCCCTCAATGACAATTTACTGAAGCCTAGTGCTACTGAGACAGAACACGCGAAAGACAGCGTGAGTGCGAGTGCGGCTAAGCCTCGTAAGAAGAGGAAGAAGACTAAGACTAAGGAAAAGCGAGGGTCTATGTACCCTGCTGACCAGTTAGAGCCCAGTAGTTATCTGGGGCAGGTACTGAATCAGCATGTGCCAGGAGGAGGACCTCCCGATGACAGCAGCTCGTCGAGCTCCTCGTCAGAACCCGATTCCTCGGGAGCATCAGGAAAAGGGCGATTTTACTAACGGGTTCTGACGGTCGCTGATGCGCTGAGTGATTGTGACGTCAAACCATCAGATAGCGTTAGCATTTAACGTGGCCGTCAGACAGTTCACACATAAGATAGATTCTGTGTACGTTGCTGAAGTGCTGATGACTGACATTCTAATTTCTGACTGCTAATGGATGTGACAGGTGATTTATATGACACGCGGCGTACATCAACATTATAGTGGGCTCGTAGCTACTGTACCCTTATCAGTATCTGAGGCTGAGGCCTCGCCCGGGTACAGACCCACCGCAGCCGGGTCACCTGCGGGTACTGCGGGTCCACGCGCCCATGAGCAGGTGGCTACTGGGCGAGTAGATGGGTGGATGTACGAGCCCGGCGAGACAGTGCAAGCGGGCGGGTCGTCGTGCTGTACGTATGCGTAGGCCCGTTCGTCTTCTGTTGCGTTGCTGAATACTTAGCATACCAGCGACCCGGTGATGTCTCCTGATGCCGACACACAAGCATCGCGGGCAGGTCCAGGCAACACCGCTTCACCCACGCCTTCACGTCATCTAGCTCCTGGTCGGGGACACCAGTGGGTCATTCCTGCCATGTCCCCCGCACACCGGCGTCGTGATATTTCGCGCTGGTAGCAACTGCATGACCTTCGTTGGTGCGAGATCTACACCAAGTTGTAATATGTGCGACATACCAGCTTGACTTTTTTCCCCGAGTCTCAGCCTCCTGCTCAACACGATTAGGCCGCCCAGTTTGCGCTCACTAGACAGCCCCGTGAGGAGCGTCATCGCCGTGCCCTGGCTGTACCACCGAAGATGATGCGCTCGGGTGGGATTCCCCCGTTGATCTCAGCGTCCACGAGCGCACCGAGGGACGCGATCCAGCGCAACATCCCAAAATCGTCGTTGTCCTCCGGCGCCGTTGATATGAATGTGAGCACGTCGTACCATGCGGGCATGCGCATGCAAAACTTCGCTGTGATCGCCATGACCGGCCTGCCACACCGCGGGCGCGGCGCAATTGAATCGTTGTGTGATTCAGAGATCGCTGGGGCACTCACGCGTGCGGGAAGATGTACTCGACTCTGTGCTGCACAGTAGAATCCCGGTTGAACGAGGCTGCGATGCGCTGCCAGCTATGGCCGGAGTCGCCCAGTCCCTACACAAGCAGAGCAGCGTCAGTCAGTGGTGTGTTTGCACTGAGCCTCAGGATCACAACAGGGCGACTGACGTACATGCACGAAGACGAGCATCACCGTGTGCTTCTCGCGTGCAGGTATGCCATGCTCGTATTGCTCATCATTGTCGCATTCTCCAGGTTATCCGATGGTGCGCTCACGCGGTCTTCGTGCGGTGTAGTGTTGCACGATCTCGGAGCGGCGGATCGAGCGAGTGGCGGGGACGCGGCGCAGGTGCAGGGCTGCGAAGTGTCGACCTGTCGGCGTGCGAGCTGCGCGTAGGTGAGAGCACGTCGGTAGAGGGAACGCGAACGCAACTTTGCGATGGAGTCTTGACGTGTCGAGAGGCAGTCTAGGCGAGGAAGATTTTGAGGAGGGTCGTCAGCGCGAGTGTCAAGGGCTGAGAGTCGTGCGCTCGGGTAGATGGACGAGCTGGGGGAAATAGCGCGCCCGATGATGCCGCTGTAGAGCGGGTCGAGTGGTTTATTGGTGACGAACAAGGCGGACGACGTCGGGGAGAGCGTGGAAGGGTGGCAAGCGCGCGCGGCGTGTCGTGGCTCAGGCGCTTAGCACTTAGCGCACTTCCTCCTCTACCGCACATCCGCCGACCTCTCGACAGCGTCCTGCCCTTCGCCCGATCGACCTCACCGCAATGCATGCCAGCAAGTACGATCACCTCGTCAAGCTTCTTCTCATCGGCGATTCCGGTGTCGGCAAGGTAAGCCTCGTGTGCGTCCTAAGTTACTCAGTATCCATGTCCTAGTCCTACTACTCGCTCGCGTGTATCCCCACCTGTCCAATTTCATTCGAGCACAGGCCCCACGCGCACACGTCCTTCCCGTCCTCTCGCGCTCGCGCTCGAAGCTCCAAGTTCAACTGCTATACCACCACAGCCCGAAGGCCACTCGACGCATCAAGCCCCGCCGTCTCACAGCCGCCCGGCTCACACTGACGAGGATCGCCGCATTCAACGCACCTGCGCTCAGCGTGACAAAATGACTGCATGGCGAGGGGAAGCTCTCGAGCAGGCAATGTTACACCAAGACCGCGGTCTGTCGATATCTCTCGCGCGTCGCCTCCGACAAACGCGACGTTGAGATGAAAGGCAGCCATGTCGGCAGCATCAGCAGCGCTAGCAGCAGTAACAGCAGGTGTGTCTCCGCTCAGTCCGGCTCCGGTGGTTGACCTTCTCCTAGCCCCTCCCGCCTCTCACCTATCCCCTTCCGTCGCTGGCAGCAACCAGTCGCTGCCGATGGACGAGGACCGGCCGCACCACGCGAGGAGAGCGACGCTGTCGCCGAGCTCGAGCAACGGTTGGTTGGCTCCGCTATCTGCATAAAAGCTCACTGCTGATGAGATTTTTTTTGAGCAGGGTTCGCGAGCGCGAGCGCCGGCGGGGTTCGAGCGCGCAGCGCGGGTGCAGGCGGGCAAGTAGACAGATGGGCAGGAAAGCAGGGCAGATGGGCACGCAAAAATACGCCGACTGCGGTACGGGTGGGCATGGCACACACACGCCAACACGCGCGGCGACCACCAGCGCATAGTGAGCCCGGACAAGACCGTATTCTGCGGAGGTCGCGGGCACGAAGGTACGGACAAGTGAGGGCACAGACAAGCAAGAGCGTGGATTGATGTACAGACGAGCGGGCACACCGACCATGAGCACGACGGACAACAGCCCGGCACGCAAACACGGCCGACGAGTACACTGAACGCGGACAGACAACAGCAAGTGGGAGCGAACAGTGGGCGTGGATACGGACGAACGCGTGCTCGTGGGGACGAGTCGAGGCGAGCGTGAACGATGATTGGGAGCAGGTGCGGACGAGTGTGGGCGAGAGTGGGCACGGATGACCTGAGACCGGAGCGAGGACGGGCAGGATCTGGGCGGAGCGAGCGTGGACACAGACGAGCAGGCATCTGCCTACAGCATGCCTGTTCCTAGTACATATGAATATATCTGTACAAGCTCCCTGAATTGCACAGTGACCTCTCGATGCAGCTCAGCCCGGTCGTGCAGATCTGTCGAGTGTGAATACTAACCGTGTGTGACGCGTTGTATGTGAACTTGCTGATAGGTGACGACTGTCTAACGAATCTGACGGCGTCGGTCCCACAATCCGGCCGTCTTGCTGAAATGCGGCCCGCGTTGCTGATGCCTGATTTGGTGACGGAATGTGAATCTGGAATATCAGCAACCGTTACGGCCCGTCACGGCCCCATCAGGAAATCGTGCAAAGCTTCTGACGGGTGCTGTCAGGGGCTTCATAAGCGTTCAGATGGCTTCAGATTGCATCAGATCGGCCCATACGTCCAGCCCTCAGGATCTCGGATTCTCGCAAATTACCTTCGTCAGATAGAATCCTCAGACAGCGTCAGGAATTCTCAGAGCCGTCAGAGTCCACGTCAGTGTGTCAGATACATCAGAGGATATTTTCACAAATATATTTGCTGTACTCCGTATGACTCATTCGGCCAATCGATCACTGTCTACCCTAGCTACTAGTACAGTACAATCGTGCAGAATACTGTCCGGTCCATGCGCGTCGCGGTAGCGGCACACCGTAAGCTTAAACTCACCCACTGCACACTTGCTGGTCAACTTGTACAGCTTATTGTGCTTGCGTTTCCTCGCGCGCGCGTCCGCCGGGCTCATCAACCCGGTCTGTCGGGAATGGGCTCAATGCTCGTTTGTTGTCTTGGGTGCTCGGCGGCCTGGCTCCTTCCCGGGCTGGGGTGTTGAGTCCACATCCTTGACGGGCCTATATGCATCGGGCTGGGGCCTACAAGGCTGTTGTTTGGTACTATGTAGTACGCCGCACCAGTGCATGACCTGGTAGGTGCTCGACGGGCTCCTGCTTGACGCGTGGTCGGACTGTTCCTCCTTGGCGGGCTAGGTCACATCGGGCATGGGCCCTCGTTGCACCCGTGCGTGTCGGCGCGTGCTGCGTCATAACTGTCTGCGCAAGTTAGTGCTGGCTGTGAGCATGCGTGACATGTTCAGGCCTGTCGGTGTATGCTTACCAGGCTTGTGTCAGCAAGGTTGTCACGGTGCTACTCGGGCATGCTGGGGTGCGGTGCGCTCATCCTTGACGGGCACATGTACGTCAGGCTGGGGCCGCCTAATCACACGGTCCTCCTCGGGCGGCCAGGTCGGCGGGCTTGATTATGACTCGTCAGTCTGTAGTGCACACTCCTGCGTCCCTGTACGCACTGGCACGTAACGCGCCGTGTTGAGATTCATCCGGTGGATGCTTACCGGACTTGGTGCTAGCGGGCCTGCGCCGCCGGGGCACATGAGTGCTGGAGTTGTTCTGCTGTGGTCGTGCTCACTGTCAGGTACGCGCACACCGGGTAGTCTCCCTAGTGTTCATCTCTGCTGGGTCGTCCCTGGTCGATGTCGCCGGGTTCAGATCAAGGTGACTAGCGGAGGACACTCACTAAACTTTGCAGTTCCACGGGCCACCCTTCCTTCGCAAGCCTCCAGGAATCCTTCGTAAGCGTTCAAATCCGGCACGTCGCTGGGGTTCGTTGCGGCTGTGTGCCACGCGATCTGGGGCGTACAGCGGGCCAGTTTAAATACTGTCTCTTGTGGACAGGTGCGCCTTGCGTTTCACAGAGGTCAAAAGCGAGCAAGTGATGATGTAGCGAGGATGAGAAACGCGGAGGATGAGGCTAGGGGTACACGCAAGGGAAAGGGCAGCAAGATCGAGTGGAACAGGAGTGGAAGAGTGGCAAGCGCCGGCGCGTGTGGCGTGTAGGCGTGTCGTGGCAGAGGCGCTTAGCACTTCAACCGCTCCTCCACATCGATGTTCAACACCGCACAGTGAGTACCAACCAAATGCGATAGGCAAGCGGGGGCAAATGGAAGCGGAAGGCGGGGCAAGGGAGCAATAGCTCAGGTGAGTGTCCCATTAAAACCATACCTGTACAACCTCTTTACTTTTACACTTCGAGTCACTCGCACGCCTTGTGCACACGCCAGCTCGCGTCCCCTGCACCTGCCCGCTCATTCACTCACTCGCACACCCACTCACTCGGCTGCCTGCCCACCGCTCGTACACCGGCACATATGCTTGCTCCCTTGTTCTTCGCTCCCTGTGCGCTCACCCACTTATCCGTACATTCTCCCGTCTGCCCGGTCACCCACTCGCTCGGCCCAGTCCTTCTCCCTCTTCGAACACCTCCACTCACAGCCAGGCTCGCAGTGCTGCATTCCTCCGTCCGCAAGTCGCTCTGCTCCGCGGTGATGCACGCTCTGGTCATCCTGAAGATGCGCCCGCTCGCGCTTGTGCAGCGCCAGTGCCGCGCGCGTCCTCACCTGCCATCTTCGTGAAGAGGACAACGCCGGCGAGGGTCGCTACGGCTATACATGGCAGCTCAACATGGTGTAGGTGTCCTGTCAGTTCCTCGGGGCATGATTCTCGACGCTAACCACGAATCAGTATTTTCACCCTCCACACTTTTGTAACCTCGCTCGCTCCCTGTTCGGCGCAGAGGCCAAGCTCGGCCGTGCCATCTCCCCTGGCTGGGCAAACGAAAACAACATCAACGAAGGGTGCAAGAAAGGCACAGACCCTGCGCGCAGGAGTACGGCCAGCGCATGTACAAGGTACGCTCCTTCCCCCTTCGCCGCCCACGCCCCTCCGACCTACCCTTGCAGCGCCTCCGCCTCCGCCGGCCGCCAGCGAGAGCACGCGCGAGTGCAGTTTCGCCGCAGCCGCAGCCAACGCAAGCTCGGACGTCTTGCTATGCAGCCACGCGGACTCCGAGCCCGACGCTCTCGCCGCCCTGCTGTTAAGCAGGCTCTTCTCGATTGCCTGCACCTGTGCACTGAGGCTGGGCTGGCTCGACATGGGTATGACGCCCGCGGGGCAGCTTCGCTTCGACAAGCTGAGCACCCTGGTGCGTATCGCATGGGGTCCGTCCCGTTCGCAATCGGCGTGATGGGCATCTTCAAATCGTCCATCCCCTCCGAGTCGCTCAATCCCTCCCTTAAGTGCGCCGTCTCCGTGCATTGTGCGCATTCCGCCCGCGCGTGGACAAGCACGCGCGGAACATCTTCCTCGACCGCTTCCTCTGCGGCACGCCCCATGATACCGACATGACCAAGGCGGTTTCCGGGGTGGACAAGTGACACGCGTGGCTTTGGACGTACGAGCGCGGGGAGCGGGGATGGGACGGTGGGATGTGCACGAGTACAAGACCACCAGGTAAGTCGCCGCCCAATTTTCTGTTTGCGCCGTTCCCTGCACTCTCTCGTAGTGCGTCCTTGAATGCGCCCTGAGCTCATGCAAGACCCGCGTCCACGTCGGAAACCAGCGGCGCAGCGGCGCACCCGCCAACATGCATGCCGCCATGCCTTCGTGCACCCAATGGCACGCCTCAAGAGCTAGGTATCTCGCAGCTGCTGCCCTCCGCTGACGTGACCAATGACTCGATCGCAGTCCTCGCGTCCGCACCCGACACGAGCATACATGTGCATGGAGAAGAAGTTGGTGACGTCGTGAGAGCAACGAGTCACACGTAGACATATGTATTATTGTGATTGTAGTAGCCCTAAATACATTGAATTTATGCTTATTTATATGTGTGGGGCTTCCTAATGAACTGTGTGAAGTATCTACTGTCTGACCTACTGTGCTATCTGATGCTGTCTGGCACTATCTGAGGCCAAATGAGATCATCTGAGGAGGAGCCACGTCTGGAGTGCCCTGATGCTTCTGACGGTTGGCTCTCAGACACACATACCGTCAGAAATTGCACAGTTTCCTGATGTGGGATATCTCGCCGATGATATTGCAACGATTAGGATACCCATGGGTATCCTGACGTCTCTGATTGGGTCTGACTCGAGCTTCAAATGGGACTTCACTCACCAGCGCGCATTCGACGAGATTAGACGACTCGTACATGCTCATCGAGAGCACCACCGTGTACCACTGGACTACTCGCCGTCGGCTGACCCCATCTGGTTGGTGACTGACGGGTCGCATGGTGGTATCGCCGGTGTCGTTTGCCAGGGCGCGGACTGGCGTAAAGCGCGTATTGCCGCATTCTTCTCGGCGAAGCTGTCGTCAGCCCAGTCGAACTATGCTGTACATGAAATCGAAATGCTCGCCGGCGTCGAGGCGATGCTACGGCATCGAGACATCTTGCAGGGGTGTGAATTCACTTGGATCACGGATCACAAGGGGTTAACTCACCTTTGGAACCAGAAGAACCTTTCTGGTAGACAAGCTCGATGGATTGAGAAGTTGGCCGAGTTCAACTTCGATATCGAGTACGTTCCCGGCGTCGAGAACGTGTTAGCAGATGCGCTGTCGCGTCTATACTCGAATGACACACCTGGTACCGTTAGGGCACCCTCCGAGTTCACTCAGTACGATGAGACGGCACCTGTGGCCGCCCAACTCGCTGTGGTCGATATCTCCAAGCCGGTCTTCACAGGGCTGGAGGCCATGGCGGTAAGAACGAGGTCGAGTGCGGGTGCTACGAAAGCGAACCAGCCTGAGAAGGCAGTGCCAGAGGCGGTACCAGCGGCTGGGTCGCGCGCTCCGGGACGCAAGGCGAGGCCGGCGAAGGCTCGCGTACAGTCGGCGCAGCGCGAGAAGTCTCGCGTACGACGGGTGCCGCCCGAGAAGTCTCGCATACTGCCCGAGCCACAGCCATCACGGACTGGGCCAGCTGTTCGCGTGTCGCCGAGTATGGTGCCGCGACCGGGCGGTGCTAGTAGACCGCGCATGCGCAAGGAGGTCCCGCCCGCGGAGACGGGACGACCAGAGACTGCGAAGGAGTTCGCGCAGAGAATTAAGCGTGTCACCCTGCACGGGCCTCGTGCAGGACGACAGGAGGGCGGGAACCCGGCGTCGAATCAGACGGTGTCAGATATGACGACCAGGTTAGACAAAGAAGCCACTCACCTGGGACGGGCAACCGTGTCCGAAGAGCTAGAAGGCACTCCGCTTGAGGAGACAGCGCCTGCAGATGGTCTTGAGGAACCAATAGAACACATCGGCCTCCTGGACCACATGGTCTATGAGCAGGAGGGCGTGAACGTTGCGCGGGAAGTGAAGGATCGCTACCATGAGGACGTGTTCTTCACTGACATCCTGCGTAATCCAAAGCACTACAAGAACTTCGATGTCAGCGACGGTTTGATCTACCTAAAGGAGAAAGGCACAAGCCGACTTTGCGTACCGAATATACTGTTGAATAAACGCAGCGTGCGGGAAATGGTTATCCGGCATGCGCACTCGCTGTTAGCCCATCTTGGGGCGATGAAAACATTGGGTTACCTTCGGGACCAAGTCTGGTGGAAGACTATGGGACGCGATGTACAGACATACTGTGACACCTGCATGACGTGCAAGCGCAGTAAGCCCTCCAATCAGAAGCCCTATGGGCTACTGAATCCTCTACCAGTGGCTAGCTCACCCTGGGAAGCCATCGGTATTGACTTCGTGGGACCGATGCCCGAATCTAAGGATCGAGACGGTACTTACGACGCGATTACCACGGTAATCGATCTACTCACCGGGATGGTGCACCTCATTCCGAGTAGGACTAATTACACGGCGAAACAAGTCGCCGAGTTAGTCTTCTCGCAAGTCTACAAGCTACATGGTATGCCTAAAGCCATTGTGAGCGATCGGGATGTACTGTTCACGAGCCAGTTTTGGAAGCACTTACACAATCTTGTTGGTGTGGAACTACATATGTCCAGTGCTTACCACCCTCAATCGGACGGTTCTACGGAACGCGCCAATCGAACGATCACGCAAATGCTTCGGCAATGTGTATCACCTAGTCAGAAGGACTGGGTCTCGAGATTACCGGGCATTGAGTTTGCACTCAACCTGGCCAGATCGGAGAGCACAGGGTACGCCCCGTTCTTCCTGAATTCAGGGCGGATGCCCCGTTCCATGATCTGGGAAGATGCTGGAAAGGATGAATATCCGTCAGTTAGAGTCTACGCTCAGCGGATGAAGCACGCGGTTATGACCGCTCACGATTGTATTATCGCTGCGCGAGTTAAGCAGACGCGCGACGCTAATAGAAGGCGTCGCCCGGCTCCCTTTGTGGAAGGAGATCTCGTATATATATCTACAAAGAACATCTCCTTACCGCGAGGATTAGCTCGCAAACTAGCCCTTAAGTATATTGGACCTTACTCCATACTTAGAGACTACAGGAACAACTCTTACCAGGTTGAATTATCTCGTAACCTAAAGCAGCGAGGAGTCCACGATGTATTTCATTCATCGTTGCTTCGTGTTCACGAGCCAAACGACGACCGTTTGTTCCCGGGCCGGCTGGACAGCCAAGTGGCTGAGCTGGACGATCGGGACAATGAGTGGGCAATCGAGAAGATTGTAAGCCACTCGGGAGAAGGGATGACCGCCCTGTTCGAGGCGGAATGGAAATCTGGAGACCGCACCTGGGTACCATATACGGCCATCCGACACTTAGGAGCCGTCGAGGAGTACCTTGAACTATTAGGATGCGCGGATGTAACACAGCTCGGAGCGGGTACGGGGCAACCCCCGGAGGACCCGCAGGTGTACATTGGCAGTCTGAGCCTTACAGGGGTAAATCCTACAGGTATAAGAACTCACCGGAGGAGACGACGAAACCGCCGCAGGACTCGAAAGTCCGAGTGCGACTCGTCTCCTATCCTCCCTCTCGATCTCTCTCTCCCCGCTACCTTCGACGAATTCCTTGCCGGACTACTCAAGCACGTCAGCGCCGAAATCAACAGCATGCCGCGCACAGACCACGCGTTCTTCCAGCGTCTTGAAGACGGACTCACCGGACTGCTCCGCGACGGACCCTCAGGAGTGGAGTACTCCTACCCTCCGGTCTTGCTTCGCGCATATGGCGAATTCGATCGGAAGCTCCGCGCACGCTTCGCCGAAGGAGACGCTGACGGCGTCACCCTTGTCGTGCCGGGCGGGTACTTCTCCTTCACACGAGGATGGAACCGGGATGCTGAATGCCAGTATCAGTTCTCGACGTACGAGCCCAAGTCGGGCAGCATTACCGTGCGCGGGAAACCCATCCCACTCGATGCCCTCGCTCCTAGCCCGCAGGAACCCGCTGTTCCTAGTATCAAAGACGACGACCGACACATGAAGAAGTACGCTCACCTGTCGGACGAGTTCATCGAGCAGACCATGCGCAAGAAGAGCTTCATCGAACGGAAGCGTGCGGAACGGTACCAGGCTAGCCGCGAGAAGGCCAGCCTCGGCAGCTTATTCGGTGCTGCAGGCAGCTCGGGCGGTCGCCCGGGCGGAGGACGGCATGGAGGGCATAAAACAGTGATGGACGGGGGGATCACGAAGAAACGCGACGCACCAAAAGCTATTGCGGGACCGTCTAGCATCAGGAAACTGTGCAATTTCTGACGGTATGTGTGTCTGAGAGCCAACCGTCAGAAGCATCAGGGCACTCCAGACGTGGCTCCTCCTCAGATGATCTCATTTGGCCTCAGATAGTGCCAGACAGCATCAGATAGCACAGTAGGTCAGACAGTAGATACTTCACACAGTTCATTAGGAAGCCCCACACATATAAATAAGCATAAATTCAATGTATTTAGGGCTACTACAATCACAATAATACATATGTCTACGTGTGACTCGTTGCTCTCACGACGTCACCAACTTCTTCTCCATGCACATGTATGCTCGTGTCGGGTGCGGACGCGAGGACTGCGATCGAGTCATTGGTCACGTCAGCGGAGGGCAGCAGCTGCGAGATACCTAGCTCTTGAGGCGTGCCATTGGGTGCACGAAGGCATGGCGGCATGCATGTTGGCGGGTGCGCCGCTGCGCCGCTGGTTTCCGACGTGGACGCGGGTCTTGCATGAGCTCAGGGCGCATTCAAGGACGCACTACGAGAGAGTGCAGGGAACGGCGCAAACAGAAAATTGGGCGGCGACTTACCTGGTGGTCTTGTACTCGTGCACATCCCACCGTCCCATCCCCGCTCCCCGCGCTCGTACGTCCAAAGCCACGCGTGTCACTTGTCCACCCCGGAAACCGCCTTGGTCATGTCGGTATCATGGGGCGTGCCGCAGAGGAAGCGGTCGAGGAAGATGTTCCGCGCGTGCTTGTCCACGCGCGGGCGGAATGCGCACAATGCACGGAGACGGCGCACTTAAGGGAGGGATTGAGCGACTCGGAGGGGATGGACGATTTGAAGATGCCCATCACGCCGATTGCGAACGGGACGGACCCCATGCGATACGCACCAGGGTGCTCAGCTTGTCGAAGCGAAGCTGCCCCGCGGGCGTCATACCCATGTCGAGCCAGCCCAGCCTCAGTGCACAGGTGCAGGCAATCGAGAAGAGCCTGCTTAACAGCAGGGCGGCGAGAGCGTCGGGCTCGGAGTCCGCGTGGCTGCATAGCAAGACGTCCGAGCTTGCGTTGGCTGCGGCTGCGGCGAAACTGCACTCGCGCGTGCTCTCGCTGGCGGCCGGCGGAGGCGGAGGCGCTGCAAGGGTAGGTCGGAGGGGCGTGGGCGGCGAAGGGGGAAGGAGCGTACCTTGTACATGCGCTGGCCGTACTCCTGCGCGCAGGGTCTGTGCCTTTCTTGCACCCTTCGTTGATGTTGTTTTCGTTTGCCCAGCCAGGGGAGATGGCACGGCCGAGCTTGGCCTCTGCGCCGAACAGGGAGCGAGCGAGGTTACAAAAGTGTGGAGGGTGAAAATACTGATTCGTGGTTAGCGTCGAGAATCATGCCCCGAGGAACTGACAGGACACCTACACCATGTTGAGCTGCCATGTATAGCCGTAGCGACCCTCGCCGGCGTTGTCCTCTTCACGAAGATGGCAGGTGAGGACGCGCGCGGCACTGGCGCTGCACAAGCGCGAGCGGGCGCATCTTCAGGATGACCAGAGCGTGCATCACCGCGGAGCAGAGCGACTTGCGGACGGAGGAATGCAGCACTGCGAGCCTGGCTGTGAGTGGAGGTGTTCGAAGAGGGAGAAGGACTGGGCCGAGCGAGTGGGTGACCGGGCAGACGGGAGAATGTACGGATAAGTGGGTGAGCGCACAGGGAGCGAAGAACAAGGGAGCAAGCATATGTGCCGGTGTACGAGCGGTGGGCAGGCAGCCGAGTGAGTGGGTGTGCGAGTGAGTGAATGAGCGGGCAGGTGCAGGGGACGCGAGCTGGCGTGTGCACAAGGCGTGCGAGTGACTCGAAGTGTAAAAGTAAAGAGGTTGTACAGGTATGGTTTTAATGGGACACTCACCTGAGCTATTGCTCCCTTGCCCCGCCTTCCGCTTCCATTTGCCCCCGCTTGCCTATCGCATTTGGTTGGTACTCACTGTGCGGTGTTGAACATCGATGTGGAGGAGCGGTTGAAGTGCTAAGCGCCTCTGCCACGACACGCCTACACGCCACACGCGCCGGCGCTTGCCACTCTTCCACTCCTGTTCCACTCGATCTTGCTGCCCTTTCCCTTGCGTGTACCCCTAGCCTCATCCTCCGCGTTTCTCATCCTCGCTACATCATCACTTGCTCGCTTTTGACCTCTGTGAAACGCAAGGCGCACCTGTCCACAAGAGACAGTATTTAAACTGGCCCGCTGTACGCCCCAGATCGCGTGGCACACAGCCGCAACGAACCCCAGCGACGTGCCGGATTTGAACGCTTACGAAGGATTCCTGGAGGCTTGCGAAGGAAGGGTGGCCCGTGGAACTGCAAAGTTTAGTGAGTGTCCTCCGCTAGTCACCTTGATCTGAACCCGGCGACATCGACCAGGGACGACCCAGCAGAGATGAACACTAGGGAGACTACCCGGTGTGCGCGTACCTGACAGTGAGCACGACCACAGCAGAACAACTCCAGCACTCATGTGCCCCGGCGGCGCAGGCCCGCTAGCACCAAGTCCGGTAAGCATCCACCGGATGAATCTCAACACGGCGCGTTACGTGCCAGTGCGTACAGGGACGCAGGAGTGTGCACTACAGACTGACGAGTCATAATCAAGCCCGCCGACCTGGCCGCCCGAGGAGGACCGTGTGATTAGGCGGCCCCAGCCTGACGTACATGTGCCCGTCAAGGATGAGCGCACCGCACCCCAGCATGCCCGAGTAGCACCGTGACAACCTTGCTGACACAAGCCTGGTAAGCATACACCGACAGGCCTGAACATGTCACGCATGCTCACAGCCAGCACTAACTTGCGCAGACAGTTATGACGCAGCACGCGCCGACACGCACGGGTGCAACGAGGGCCCATGCCCGATGTGACCTAGCCCGCCAAGGAGGAACAGTCCGACCACGCGTCAAGCAGGAGCCCGTCGAGCACCTACCAGGTCATGCACTGGTGCGGCGTACTACATAGTACCAAACAACAGCCTTGTAGGCCCCAGCCCGATGCATATAGGCCCGTCAAGGATGTGGACTCAACACCCCAGCCCGGGAAGGAGCCAGGCCGCCGAGCACCCAAGACAACAAACGAGCATTGAGCCCATTCCCGACAGACCGGGTTGATGAGCCCGGCGGACGCGCGCGCGAGGAAACGCAAGCACAATAAGCTGTACAAGTTGACCAGCAAGTGTGCAGTGGGTGAGTTTAAGCTTACGGTGTGCCGCTACCGCGACGCGCATGGACCGGACAGTATTCTGCACGATTGTACTGTACTAGTAGCTAGGGTAGACAGTGATCGATTGGCCGAATGAGTCATACGGAGTACAGCAAATATATTTGTGAAAATATCCTCTGATGTATCTGACACACTGACGTGGACTCTGACGGCTCTGAGAATTCCTGACGCTGTCTGAGGATTCTATCTGACGAAGGTAATTTGCGAGAATCCGAGATCCTGAGGGCTGGACGTATGGGCCGATCTGATGCAATCTGAAGCCATCTGAACGCTTATGAAGCCCCTGACAGCACCCGTCAGAAGCTTTGCACGATTTCCTGATGCTATGTCCCGCTCCGAGAGCACCGCGCCGCCGGCCTCAGCCCATACTTCCGACATCGAGAGTCCTCCGTCTCCCCAGCTCGATCCACCTCCGTTGCCACAGGCCTCATCCTCTTCCGTGTCGCTTGTCGGTCGTAACTTGCCACGAGGTGCGACGTTGAGGAAGACGTCGCAGACCGTCGCCGAGAAGAAGACCGCTGGGGACGATGATGTGACGATGAAGGATGTTGAGAAGGAGTTCGACCCAGATTCGATCCAGGACTACGACGAGGACGAGCGCGAGAACCGCGGGAAGACGAGGGAGTCGGTGAGGAAGCAGAAGTCGAAGAAGGACTGAGCTAGCAGTAGGAGCACCTACGATCGCGCAGGCGCTGGAGGGCGTATGTAGCGGCCCGGTTCGGGGACCGCCACACTTTCCTTATTCGTCCACCTTCCTAAAGCGTTGCATCCTAAACTCCCCACCGATTCCAGGCCATGCAGCACACGATCCTTACGCACGGATTGCGTGCTTGAAAACTTCACATTTGTTTATGTATATAAGACAGACCGAGTAGACTACGAAGGGGAAGCAAGCCTTCGGAGACCAATACAGTCTAATTGCGAGCGGAGCGAGCATACATTGCCTAGGGGGTGCAGCCCGGAGCCAAACAACTACAAATTTCACGTAACCCAGATCATTATTTCCTGCGATGCTGCAAAGACTGCCGTCCCGCGCATTCAAACATGCCCTAGTATTCTCGAAAAAATGCCCATAATTTGCGCAATGCAGTACTACCCTTAGAAGTGCCCTCCTTTGTGGCTCTACGGGCAATGCTTCGCAGTCGTGCTCTCGAAAATGGTCGCGCGCGCGATGTTCAACTTAAGCGCTCATCGACCAGCAGCGGCCACCGTGTCGTGTCTCTCCATTCCTTTCGCTTTTCATGTGCAGGCTAGTGCGTATAGCAATCCACATGAACGCCCCTCTAAATTTTGCCTCCTTTGTGGTTCCGCGTGCAGTATGTCGCAGTCGTGCTCTTGAGAAAGGTGGCGCGCGCGATGTTCGAGTAAGCGCTCACCGACCAGCAGCGGCCACCGCGTCGCGTCCCTCTAGGAGGTTGAATGAATTGGATACTCTGCCCACAGGAGACTTACGTGTCCACACGGGGCTCGCTATGAATCTGACGTACTGTACTGCGCCCTCGGATTGTAGCGAGCCCCTTTTCACGGAAAAAGTATGTTTAACTGTCCGGCCCGTTGCACGCTCTGACCCGTTGCGCCACCACTTGCCTTAACCGGTCGTGCGAGCGTTACACCTTGTGTCGTCATCATCGTCCAACCTGACACCTCACGCGACCTGCGTCTCATCCTGCTCGTACTTAGCTGCGCCATGACTTGCTTGACTGAATGATTTCGGCCCGCCTCAGCAGTGGAGAGTCGGTCGAGCATCCAGTCTCCTCCCCATCCGTTTTCGGGAGGTAGGGGGCCCGTGTCGCTAGGCCGTGCAGTGCTAAGTATCGTCTCTCGTACCGTCACATACAAGTCCCAACATCACATCACATGCTTTGTATTACGTAAACCCACGCGAGCATCCAAACCTTATCCCCCTCTACCGCTATGGCGAGGTAGAGGGGATTAAGATTGGGGAGTTTGAAATGGCTGGGGCGGGGAAGGGGCGGGGAAGGTGCGGGGTATAAAACGATGTGGCGGACAGTGGCAGGATCGTGGCGACACTGAACATTGTATTGTACTATCGACACGGGGCCCCCTACCTCGCCAGAGTGGATGGGGAGGAGACTGTCGAGCATCATGCAAAAATGCACAAGTGAACGTTTGATGTCCGTGCGTTCGACCCGCGAGAAAGTGGCCGCCGCGATGCCTCCTCTTACGTCGATCTGCCGCGGGGCAGCAGTTGAGTACTAGTGCGGGGGTGCGGATGCGCACGGGCAAGAGTTTCGGCTCCATATGATGCACGACCAATGTGAACGCATTCACAACAACGCAAGAAACGAAGAACGAAATTAAGACTCGTACGCTCCTGTCCGCTCACGCGAAACATCCGAGCAAGGCTGGCACGCCATCGCTGGCGGCATTTCGAGTACAGGCAGGCTGACAGAATCAATTCATGCGTGTCAATTGATGTTCAGTGATTTAAAAAGGCTCTAACTTTGTGAGTGATCTGTGCAGTACGTTACGATTTTAGCATTGCAGCATCTTCAACCCTGCGTGAATCTCCACTACGCTCCCATTCACATACTTCGCTTCCTCGCTCATCAAGAAGACCACCACATCGGCGATCTCCTCAGGCGTCCCGAGCCGACCGAGACTGTTCCCTTCCTCCATATGTGTCACGTATTCCCCACCCTTCACGACTCCCGAATTGGTCGGCGTGTCGATGTATCCAGGCGCGACGACATTCGTTCGCACGCCTTTTGGTCCCAGCTCCAAGGCCATACTCTTGCTGAATCCGATTACTCCGTGCTTCGTCGCGCAATAAATGGCTTGCTCGGCCTGTGGATAGAGCCCGCAGATCGAGGACACATTCACATACGACCCGCTCGGCGTGGTGATGTGCGGGATCGTAGCGCGCGTGACGAGGTAGGTCCCTTTCAAGTTCACGTTGATCAGCTGGTCCCAGTACTCGTCGGTCGTGTCTGTGAGAGGGTAGCTTGTAGGGTTGATGCCGGCGCAGTTGAAGACGTGGTCCAAACGGCCGAAGGTAGCTACTACCTCGCTGACGCGTAGTTCGACATCGTCTTTGGAGCTGACGTCCATGACGCCACTGTAGTGCGGATCGCCTCCGCAGAGCTGGTAGGTGTCTGCTGCACTGCCGAGATCAATGTCTGTGATGGCAAGACGAGCACCCAGCTTTGCGAGCTTTAGGGCTGTGGCGCGTCTGTTGACTCGACACGGTCAGATGTAGTTCTTGAGAGACAAAGCGTGTTCACTTACCCAATACCGCTTCCTCCTCCTGTGATTAGGATGGCCTTGCCTGTCAGGGAGGATGATGGCATCTCGTATCGTGCGGACGCCTTTCTGACCTTATGAATCATGATCTCAATGTCTAGCTGCGAACGAATCACAATAGTTACCTACAATCGACTTGCGTTACTGACACTTGAAGCAACGACTGCCTGACGACGCACGACGGTAGGACTCAACTTGAGTGTCCTTGTCGGTCTTGACACAGCGACCGCGCCGGAGACCGACGGAACGCCGCATCCTGCCTGTCCGCGCTATCATGCTCGATAGAGATACGTATTGGTACAGCGTCGATCTTCCGCTGATAGCGCGATCGTCGTCTATATGTACTTGCTATCTGGGAGTTTCAGTCTTCCGGTGCCGTTTCAGTGGTCGTTGACAATTCCTGGTATGTGGCCATTATACCAATATTGACAACTGAAATACTGCAGTACATACCACAGTGTAGCGTCGCCAAATGGCACATATGTAGTCATTTGCAACTCAGAAGCAGCGAGTCGTAGTGCGTACGGTAGTCACGGTGCGAAGCAAAAACGCAGCATGTGGTACGTGTATAGTACGTACCTGTAGGCGGGCGTAGCAACTACGTAATGCCCAAATATGGGCTTCGTTACATCCGGCGTCTAGTACTGAGCATCCTTGCCAAGCCTTGCCACCGTTCTGCGACGACACCCCGTCAATCAATCACCTCTCGGTTTATAACAAAGCCATGTCCACCACAAATAACAGGAAACGAAAACAACCTCCCCATGCTCGTGGCCGCGACCGCTGGGCTGCAACAAACGAACAGGACACCCACCGCGCCCCTGACCCCACACTGTTCATCCAAGCACATGAAGCGGACGTCGTTCGCGGGCCGCAAGCACACGCGGCGGCCGGCTCCCTGGAAGTGTCCGACTACGAAGATAATGGAAAGCACAAACTTCGCATTGGCGATGCGCTCATTAGGTGGCAGGGTACCGCTAGCAGGCTGACTAGCCAAGCTGGGGACGACGAAGAGGAACTGGTCACCCTTGGCCATGCTCAACCCGCGAAACCGACAGAAGGAGACGACGGGGAGGGTCTGTGGATGGACAGGTAGGCCTTTCCCAGAGCTGGTGTACTGCGCATCCACGTAGGGCGCGGCAATGTACGGCGGACGCGATCGCGACTCGGGATTGGTGAACTCAAGCACTTGGGAACGGCTCATCTCTGTCTCTCGCCGCCCCACAGAAGCGCTAACGTTCCGCGCAGGTACGACGCACGCCTGCTTCTAGACGCGCTCCCGACCGTGCCGCCCGACGCACCCCCAGACGCGCCCAGCTCTCCCGGCGGGTGGTCCGACCTCCCATCCGACACCGAAGACACGTTCTTCTTTTCCCCAGACGAAGTCGAGGACTACCGGCGAGACAAGCGGCGCCGTCTCATCGACCAAGGCAGAGAGGACCGCTTGCGGGCGTTGCGCTCCGAGGCGGGAGCGGAGGCAGATCCGCAGCTTGCAGAGGAGCAATGGGGCGGGAGCGACGAGGAAGTGCGTCTTTCTGTTTCATGCCTCACGTTGCCCGAGGATGATCTCACGACCCTCATAGCCTGACGAAGCCCATCGGGATCTCATGCGCCGCACCGCGTCTCACGTCCTCAGCTCGCCAAACCCCGCTCAGCTAGAGATGCGCATCCTCGCGAACCACGGTGCGGACGGCCGCTTCGCGTTCCTCAAGGGCCGCTGGTCCCGTGCATGGCGGCTCGCGAAGACTCATGCGAGAATGGACAAGGAACAAACGGAAGCGCGGCAGGCGCAGCCAAATCCTGGACTTGGAGGACTGGCGGGCTACGGCGGCTCGGATAGTGAGGCTGACAGTGACCCGGGACAGTCTGAGGAGGCTGCTGAGGACAAGCCCGATGAAGCGGATAGCAAGTCGCCTGTCGAAGTACCTGACGATGTTCAGGACGACGATGCCAAAGCGGCCAGACGAGCACGCGCGAAAGAGTGGGCGGAGAAACGCCGGCTAGCACAGGCTGCCTTTGAAGGCGGGACATGAGACCTTGCAATACAACCGCCTCGGACGATGGCTTTGGTGATATAAATACCCCTCACTGCATAATTTACTCTCATGATCCTACCCGACTTGTTCAAGAGTCGTTTACGGGGCACACTCCTCTGTACCCTCTGGGACGAGCCTCAGAGCTCCTTCTTGCTCGCACTTGCTGCAGCACCCTTGAAGCCCTCCAACGCGCGCAACCGCTCCGTAAGCGTCGGGTGCGAGTGGTGATACGCCGAGTACCTGTTCGCCCGTCAGCCTCATCCGCACGCGCATACATCCAGCGACCACTACGGATACTCACAGCCAGTCGACCCAGACGGTGGACAGGTTCTTGACGTGGAGCGTGATGAGCGCGCGGCCGAGGCGGTCGCCCATGTCCGCCATCTCCTCCGCCTTGAGCATCCCATGGAGCTCGCACGCGAAGCGGTCCGCCTGGTACTCGAACCGGCGGCTCACCGCGTTCAGCGCGATGCTCGCGACGGACTCGAGCGGCGAGATGATCATCTGCCGTCGCACACGGGAGTCAGCTTGCATACGGGGCAGAGTGGGAGGGCAGACGCACCTGGAAGAGCAGGAACGCGACGATGGTGGGCGGGTGCACGGCGACGTGTGCGGGGAAGTCGAACGCGCGGAGCACGGGCGGCGCGTGCAGGAACGCGGGGAAGAGCGCGAGGATGGAGAAGAGGTGCAGCTGCGAGACGAACATCATCTTCGTCGGGTGGTAGTAGTACCAGTGTCCGAGCTCGTGTGCTGTGCGCGGGCGTCATGTCAGGAACTAACCGGCAGAGGAAGGGAGGGAACACATACCCAGGACGGCCTCAACCTCGCCGGGCGTGCTCTGCTGGATGAGCGTGTCGAAGACGACGATGTGCTTACTCTGCAGGACCTCATGTCAGCCGCAACGACTACACAAGTGCAGTGGCACGCACCCAGGGCAGACCGTAGAAGTACGCATTACTGTGCGAGCTGCGCTTCGAGCCGTCGATCTCGTACAGGTGCTTCAGCGGGAACTTGAGGCGCGCCGCGAGCGCCTCGATGCGCGTGCGGAGCTCGCCCGCGGAGAGCGGCGAGAGCTTGTTGAACAGTGGCTGGATGAGCGTCGGGTAGATGATCACCATCGTCATTTGAAACGCGATCCTAGCACCTAGTTTCAGCACACTCTGCTTGCAATCGTGAACAGCGGGAAGGCGGCTCACATGAAGGCCATGAGCCACGGCACAAAGCGGGCGCCGGCCCACTTGAAGATCCAGAGGAACGCGGAGAGGAACGGAGGTGCGAGGGCGAGCCCAACGAGCCATCCCTTGAGCATGTCCGCGACGAAGAGCGCGGGTGTTGTCTTGTTGAAACCATGCTTCTCTTCGAGGACGAACGTCTGGTAGACTGAGAGCGGCAGCGTGGGTAACGAAGACACGAAGAAGAGCACGATGGCGAAGACGTTGGACTGGGTGATCTGAGTGGGTATGAGAAAGCTGTATACTGTATGTTCAGGCTATGAAGTGGGTCCCAGGAACATGCGTTGTTCACGACGTCAGAGGTATTACAACCTCTTCCTCCTTCACTTGGATACTTTTCCGGGAAGGTAGAAACCCGGGTAGAGTGTACCCCAAGGATGTGTTCTATCGTCTGGGCGCATCTTGTCTCCACTCAAAAGCCTCCACTCACCTCATATTCAGGCCCGTAGCCGAATCGCCCCGTCAGTATCCCTGCTATCTCCCATGCCCAGGCGTATATGCCACAGTGCAGCATCAAGGAGTCCACGGCTTGTTTGTACAATCCTGCGAGCAGCGAGAACTTTGCCTTGTCCTTGCCATATGCCTGCGACTTTATGTACACCTCGCCGGTGAAGTGCTCCGCGAGTGCTGCTGGTGGTGTAGGCTTCGAGTATAGAGGATACTGTCGGAGGCTGGGCCGCTGTATCAGTCGAAGGGGTTGCGAACAATGAATGGATGGCATACATCAGGTAGGACTCGAAGAGGCATACAGCCCATGAGAAGGCTTGTACGTAGGTCTTCCAGTCTATCGAGTCTACGGCCACGAAGGCCAGGCGGCGTTCAATGGCAGCGAGTTGTGTGTGAAGGAGGTCCATCTCGCGGAAAGGCCCTGCAGGCGAGGACGCGGAGGAGGAAGGGGCTTCGCAAACCCTGAGCCGAGGCAATGCACTGGCAGCACCGGCGCGTCTCAGACGCGTACGTGTCGCGCATCACGTGCCCCATGCAGCCACGTCGCGACGCGACGCGTCTCGACTCTCGCGCACGTCAGGCCATGTAGGCAATTGCTCATGCACAGGAATTCAGGTTAGGTGGGTATCAGTGGCCGGCTCTGCGGTTTCAGCAGGTACAAACATGAACTCATCGAGCATTAGAGGAAATATCCGCCGTTATGTTGAGTACCACAATTCGACCCAAAATGGCAACTGGAACACCTTCGTGGCGTCGCGTGAACGCCTGGCAGTCACCTTGGAACTGTAACTAGAACACAGCACGGCCCAGACAAGGCCTAGCCGTACTCAACAACAATCACGATAAATTACCTCTGGTGTACCAATGGCCATGTTATGCTGAAGTGTATCTTGCTAATGACATACTACATGTCCACATCATCAGCCTCATAGAACACCATTATTAAGTCTGGAAACCGGGCCCAAATTGTACGGCAAGATTGATCGCAATCCCATGAACTGCATTGACCTAGGAGCTCCGGATGGTATAGCATTGGTACAAGTAACGGGTTGTATCGATAAGTAATCAGCATATGCAGAGCGGACATGGAAACCCCAAAGGATGGTCGGTTCTACTCGTACGGTAGGGGCTCGAGAACGAGGCGAAAGTAGATACGCGAAAGGGAAACAACTAGTCGAGTGTAGTACGGTCATAGGTATAGATCGTGAAAGCATCACCCAGGAATCCACACAGAGAAAACTCACGGTCGTAGCGAGTGTCATAGCTTAAGCTCAGTCAAGACCCGCCTGGCCAGCATTCCATACTGCCATCCATCACCGCCCGAGCGGCGGAACTGAAGGCCATGGAGGGGTAACCACGGGACCTAGACAAGCACGTCAACAACGACATAACCCCGTGATTGTTAGAACACTGACCTTCACGACATTGATCTCGAACCGCACTGCAAGGGAGTTAGCACCGAGACTCTCGAAGACCTCGGGCGCCACCTCGCCCGTGGGCAGCGCGCCCAGCGTAGGCTGAGGGCTCGCGGCAAAGTCACGGGGGATGGGAGGCAGAATCTTGCTCTTCGTTGGCGACGTGGGGCGCGGGGTCGTATCGTCTGTTGGCAATGGGCTCTCCGAGCGCACATTCTCCTGCGGAGCGTTCTTGTGCGCGTCTGAGGAGACCTGGAAGAAGGACGACGAAGCACTGCTCGCGGTAGCGCTGAGAATCGTGCCTCCAGATGGACGGCTCGGGAGCTCCTTCTCCTTCGTCTCAGGCGTCTTTTCCTTGTCCTTGGCACTCCTGTTCGTGCCAAATGAGAGCTTCGAAGTCTTCCTCGCGACCGAGCGCCGAGTCGTGCCCGTCTCGTCAGAGCCGTTCGACCCCCGTTTCCGATGCCTCAAGTCTGGCGAACGCGGCGCTGCCTGGACTGAGGTCATGTCGATAGACGGCATATGGATACATTCGAATCCGGTCTTTGTCTCACGATACTGCACTTGCATTCTGTCCAGTACGCGCCTGATGTCGGCCTTGATGGCGGCGGGCGATTTGGTCGACGTCGTGGCTACGCTAGAAGCATATTTTATGTGAGGAGATGTGAACAGCGCGAGATACCTGGACATACCTGAACAGGCCCTTCAAGTACACGGGCTTGAACTCCCTCTCGTCTCCCGTACCGTCGTCTGGTCTGGCAGAAGCGGCATCTGGCGATGCAGGGTCATCCTGTTCCTCGGCACCCTCGTCCTCCTCGTCAGTGCGTCCGAACAGTCTATCGGTCAACGGTTTCCGGAAGTCCGTGGCGTAGCCAGTGGACGGCCTGCGATGGCGTCCGACGGAGCCCACAGCGGTGGCGAACAACGCAGGACCTGCGCTGTTCCTCCGCTCGTGTCTCGCCGCACGGCCTTGTGGATCGAGGATGGTCGCAGCCCGACGGTGGGGGGTACCGATTGGCTGGCTCTGGCTCTGGGTCACCGTACCCACAGGCGACTCGCCGCTCCTCCGCACCTCTCCGCTCCGCTTCTCATCCACCAGCAGGCCGTGCTCGTCCACAACCTTCTCGCTCACCTCCACAGACGGACGCGGCGACAGCGTGTTCAGAATACTGCCGCGCTTGATCGTGCCGCTGGTAGAGCGCCGTGTCCCATCGGCGTCGACGCGGCCCGTGATCAGGCTTCCGAACCTGCGCACGAGCGTCGCGCCCGCGGACATCGGCACCTTTGGCTCGTAGTCGTCAACATGCGCGGCATGTGCCTGCTGTTCCGCATACGAGATGCGCTGCGGGCCTGCGGAGCGTGGGGGCTCGAGCGCCTGCGGGTCTGGACGGATGCTGAGCGTCGCATTCTCGTTGACGGGCTCAACGCCGCCACCGTTGAACATCGGCCGCCCTGGGTTTGGGCGCTGGCCAGTGAGACTGTGGCTGCGGCGATGCGCCGAATGCGCGGAAGCTGCGGGTGCTCGGGGCAGGGGCATGGTTCCCTTCGCGGGACTGTTGGGAGCGGACGCTGGTACGATATTCGTGCGTGGTACAGCGATATCGCGAGCACGGGGTTGTGCGCCGAATGTGGCGGACACCGGGGAGGGAGTAGGACCCGCAGTTGCGTCGTAGGACATGCCGGAGAAGTGCGACGTTTCTGGTGCGGGGAGACGCGGTAACGGCATGCTATAATCTGCCTTCGCAGTGACCGTCTCCTTTTTGCGAAGGGTAGGCTGCGACAGCTGCTTGGCGTTGTCCGGGTGGCCTTCGCCGCTCGGTTGCGCGTCGGGGCGGGCTGAGGCCTCGAGCGAGAGGTTGGAGTTGGCAAAGTGTCCCGGCCCGTACACCTTCTCGCGCTCCATCTTCTCCCTCGCGAGGAAGTATATGGAAATGAGTGGATGGAAACCATACGTCGGGTCTGGCGGGTCGCGTTGGCTAGAGTCGGTAAGGGATGAGTTGGACAGGTGGGACGAGGAGGTGGGCGGCGAGCCCGCAAAGGGCGAGCCTGGCGGAGATGAAGCGGGGGAAAAGAACTTCTTGCGGTAGAAGTCAAATCCTGAGAATCGCCGCTTCGCCTTGGACGGCGTGTCGTTCTTCCCGTTCACTGTAAGCGAGCCGTCCGAGATCGCGAGCGAGGAGTTCGAGAGCGACTCCCAGTGCCGCCCGTTCCCGTTGCGCCCGTTCGGGAGCATGCGCTTGCGCTCCCAGTGTTGCACCGCGCGGTAGTACGACTCGGTCTCGAGGATCTCGACGAGCTTCTGCTCGATCTCCTCCTCCGTCCCAAACTCGAAGCCCTTCATCCCCCGGATAACGGCCCGATCGAGCTCATCGGACCGTAATGGCTCGCGATGTACGAGGTGGGAGTCGGGCGGCCCCGAGAAACCTCGCACCATCCACGGATGGGCGAGCACCTCCGTGAGGGAGGCACGGGCGCCCGGATTTGTCACAAGCATTCGCGTCAAGAGGTGTTTGCACTCTGCAAGGAGTTAGGGCGCAGGACGCCGGTGGAGCAGGAAAGATCACACACCTGCACTCAGCCATACAGGATACTCGACGAGGCCCCGCTTGATCTTTGCGTGGAGAGCGGGCATGCTCTGGTCGTCGAAGGGAACCTTACCGCACACCAGTACGTACATAACGACTCCGAAGCTCCACACGTCCACCTCGGGCCCAGTGTAGACCTTGGCGTTGAGTAACTCCGGGGCGGCAAAGTAGAGCGAGCCGCAGAAAGTCGACAAGTGATGCACAGGGTCATAGAGGTTCGAGAGGCCAAAATCTATGATCTTGATGTTGCCGGTCTGGGAGATGAGGATGTTCTCGATCTTGAGATCACGGTGGACGACGTTGTTCTTGTGGCAGTAGTCGAGCGCGCTGCCGATCTGGCGCGCGAACCTGCGTGCAACCCGTTCGCGGAGGCGGCCATGGCTGATGATGTAGTCGAGCATCTGCCCGCCGTTGACGTACTCCTGAACCATGTAGTAGTGGTGGGCGTGCACAATCATCTCGCGCATGCCGCAGATGTACGGGTGATGGAGCAGCATTGACAGGGCGGCCTCGCGCAGTATGCGAATCTCTTTTGAAGCATCCTTGGACGCCTGCTTCGCGTCGGGGGTGCTCGTGCTTCCGCTAGGAGAGGCCACCCGGGGCAAAATTTTGACTGCGAGCTGCGGGCGAGCTCCAGATGTGGACGTAGTCGACCAGACGGAGACTCACCTTCTCGCCGGTGATACTATGATGCGCTAGCTTGACCTTCCCCATGCTCCCTGCACCCAACGTCTTGCTCAACGTGTAATCTCCGAGAATGCGATTCGTGCTGCTGCGTGACTTGCTCGCGCTCTGCTCGCGGCCGCGTCCGTCATCCCGCGCCTCGCGCTCCGGGGTCGCATAGCTGTTGGGCGGCATTGAGACCGGTCTTGGCTTGTGCGCGGACGATGACGGCCGTCTGCTGGGTGCTGGGCTCGGGGAGGGTGGTGGGCGAGGGCTCGGAGGGGTTGAGAGCGGGAGAGAGGTCTGTTCGCGCGTTCCAGGCGGCTGCTGCGTCACGGGTGATGGGTATGGTTTCTGCGAGATTGGGACGTCGAACTCGTGGCCTACCACGATACCGCCATGCGACGGTGTTGTCTGGCCCTCTTCTGTGACCTGAGGCAGTGGTTGACCCGCAGTTGGAGGCAAAGAGGAATAGGTCGCCATGCACCGCGTTCGACACGTAGATCCAGCAAGAGTAATGTTCCTATCACACCGGGAGCAGTACTGTCTCTAGGCACGCCGTACGTCGTCCCAGTCAAACCACAGGACGCTCTTGACTGCCGGTGATGATGAAGAGAGGCGGTGAGGAGGGGATGTCAGCGACGCGGTGATGGTCAGCGTGAGAGGTGTATTCGGCGCCTCTCCGCGAACTCGCGTTCAGTCAAACTCCTCTCGCTCGACCCTCAGGCTTGCATCTACTCGTCGGTTACTCCTCGCTTCTGCGAAAGAGTCTCCTCGGTGTTTCCCCGTGTAGTATCGACTTCTCGCAACGCATGCCTGATCAACAGTTGTTGATCCATGGAATTTGGCGTGCGGGGGAGCTACCCGAACAGGCAATTACATACATCTACGCGTACGTCGGGCGAACGAGGTTTTACCAAGTTTCGGCTCTCTGCTCATGACGTTCAGAGAAAGGTTGTCCACTGCAGTTGCTCTGTACATGTGCAGGGGGAGAAAAGCTGGGAGCTACTCGAAGTATTCGAGAGTCGGATACAAGTCGGAAACTTCCGATATTCGGAATGCAATCGAGAGAAGTCAGGAAAACAGGCATGTTGATTAGCATGTCCAGCCACTGGCATCATCTAGTTGTCAATACAGCGTCGCAAACTCTCTCAAAGAGAACCAGATGCGGCAAGCGGGAATGCGGAAGGGTCAAGGACGAAGAAACGAATAAAGTTGACCGTCAAATTCGGCGACATTGTACGTATCTTCTATGCGAGAGTTACCAAATCTAACCAACCTCTCAAGATCTCACGAGTTTACGCATTACACGAACCGTGTCGAGAATTCTGCAAGGCGTCAGTCTTTATCAGAGAAGACCCGAAAATGTGACTATAAGTATGCCATGGGCAGAAGGTGCTGAGGGCCGACGCAGCTTGCAATATTCCGGAGAACACGGGCAGTCGCGGTCAACGACCTATATAGAAGCCAATACCCGAAGATCAACACACGCCTTCAACAATAACTTCAGTTATTGGACCGCTGCAAGAGGCTGTGATGACATGGGATTCATGGCAACATGCTACGAAACCAGACAAATTTAGCTGGCGCAAGGTGATCTTTACGGAGTAGCTCCGCGGGGTATCTCAAGCGAAGCGAGACTCGCTGGGCGACGTTCATTCTGCTCCACCGGTCTGCCAACGAATGCAAAATCATTGAGAAAAAGACCGGACCATGCTTACCTCAAGCGGAGATGGTCCTGCACCAGTCAATCGGCAGTAAACCACATCAGCGCAAGTCGGCGAGGCCACACTGGAATGAGAATACAGCAAGGGCAATACAGTAGAGCGATACAGAGCATGGCATGGTATCATTGTGATTGCTCGGCATAGATCTGTTTCAAAGTCAGACAAGCCCATCAGATCAGGAAAAAGAAACATACCTTGATAGTCTTGTCAGCACCACCAGTGATCAAGCGTGTACCGGTCATGTCAAATGTCGAACAGAACACGCCAGCTTCCGCCTCTAGCGAGCCGGGCTGTGGGATGTCATCCATGTTCTGGAAGGCAGTCCCAGTGTCGTAGTCCCAGAACGCAAGGGACCCGTTATCGCCTGTGCACACAATCAGAACAGCCCAGAAAATGGATTAGAGCGACATACTCCCAGAGAAGAACACGCCTTCCGAGTTGACGGAGAGCGTGTTGATGATGGCGTTGTGCCCGCTGAAGTTGAACACGAATGCTCCTTCAGGGCACTTCCACTTCTTGATGTTGTTGCCGCCGGCCGATGCAGACGCGAAGGAGTACTCCGTCGGGTGGATCGCCAGGGCACGCACAGACTTCTTGTGGTGAGTCAGTGTGACCATCGTCTTGCCCGCAGCGAGGTCCCACAACCTGCGCAAGTGCACTCAGATACCCCGTATGCGCTAGAGTGACCAGGTACTCACCGGACTGTCGAGTCCATACTCCCCGTGATCACCTGCGGGTCCGACTCCTGGCACTTCACATCCGCAACCGTCGCCGTATGCCCACTCAGCACATGTATCTGCGCCTTTGTCCGCATATCCCACACCCTCGCCGACGCATCCCGTCCGGACGTTACAAGCACGTCCAGCGTCGGGTGGAGGGACAGTGCGTACACGCCCGACAGGTGGCCATGGTAGTGCCGGATGACCTTGTTCGCCTCGAGGTCCCAGCACTTGACCATCTTGTCCTCCCCACACGAGAACAGGTACGGATGGCGCGCGGACACGGCGAGCCCGCGCACGGTGGAGATGTGGCCGGTGAGCGAGAGGCGGAGCTCGCCCGACGCGAGGTCCCAGATCTTGATGACGCGGTCGCCGGCGCCGGTCGCGAACCACTGGTTGCCGGGCTCGACGGCGACGCTGCGCACCCAGCCGAGGTGGCCCGAGATGACACGCATGAGCTTCCATGGCGGGTGGTACGTCGGCTTGATGGTACGTGTTGTTTTGTGGAGCTGGAGGGCGGCGGAGAGGTTGCTGGAGGAGGCGAAGGTGGAGGGTTGCTGGATGGGCGTGTTGTCTATTGCTGCAATCATGCGAGACGCGTCGGACTCTGCTGAGGCTGCGAGGAGAGGTTGGTCGAGGTCTCTGTACGCGATGAAAAGAGACTCACGTCCTGCTGTGATCGCCTTTCGCTGGTCCTTTGGTCTTGACGGGCCGACGACCCCTTGCTGTGCCAATAGCGCTGCAGGCAGCTCGCGCGCATCCCGGTACTCGTCATGCATTTTCACGGACAGTCGCACCCGGGTGCTGCATGACCGCTCAGTATTCCGCGCGATGTACATATAGCGGACGCACCTTTTCAGCTCCTCCTGGATGCTGTCGTCTGGACATGCCGCAAAGACGTCCCGCGTGCGCTTCCCGCACACCTTCAGCAATGGGTTCAACGGCGGCAAGGCGGAAGTCGACATGGTGGGATGAGGAGATGGGTCCAGTGCAAGTGGCTGTGGGCGCCAGAGGAGAGCCATTTGTGGGATGCTGACTAATGGGGGAGGGCGTGGGTCGGGTGTGGGTGCGTTGTGCTCCCGCTGCCACCACCATCCGAGTCCAGCAAAGCGTCTCGGAGGTGTCAGAGTCGCAGAGAGCGAAAAGTGCGAGTAGCCGTCGAGTAGCCCGTGTACGTAGCGTAGCGAACAACCGTCTGCGCGATGTCCGCTGCAGAGCTCAAGTCGCTAGTCAAAGCCTTGCACGGCGCCTCGACCGATGAGGTGCGTCCCATAACTCAGCCCTATGGCCTCCCCGTCACCCCGTCCGCGCTGCTGACTTTGATCTTCCTTTCTTCGCATGCCCCGCGTGCCGGCTGGCGGTCCGGTCGATGTAGGAGACGGTCGGTGTCCTCAAGACGCTCAAGCAGGAGACGAAGATCACAGAGGCCGTTCTCAGGGTATGTCCCTCCGCATCCACCCTCGCTGCTACCAGAGCTCGCCATGGCAGTTGCAGCGTATGTTCTTCCCGCCAATGAGCCGTTGAACGACGCAGCAAGCAGAGTCCCGCCACTACTGCGCACCGCCACAGCGACGTGGTGTGGCGACGAGGCGGGGCTCAGCCCCTGGCTCATCTCGTTGCTATTTCCGTCCGAACTGTGCGGCCCATAGTTTACTGCCACAGCGATCACTAACCTGTCATGATAGGAAAGCAAAGCCGGTCTCGCAGTCGGAAAACTTCGCACACACGCCTCCAAAGACGTAGCAGACCTCGCAAAAGAAATCGTGAAGAAATGGAAGCACGAGGTAGAAAAGGAAAAGCAAGCCAAAGGCGGCGACGCCAAAGCATCCTCGACCGGCAAGCCACAGGGTACGTCGAGACTCGCCACTCAACCGGTGGTCCACCAGCTGACTGTCTACCAAACAGCGATGCGAAAGGCATCCACCGCGTCTACGACAGCATCCACTGCCCGCTCTGCTCCGTCCCGAACACCCTCGACACCCATGACCCCGTCCGCATCCTTCAAGGGCGAGGTGCGCAACGCGAAGTCTGACGGTGTCAAGATGGACGTCACCGGCGACAAGACGCGCGACAAGTGCATTGAGATCATCTACGATGCCCTCGCCTCCGACTCGGGTGCCCGTGCGTTCAACGTATGCGTTCCGCGGCAGCCTGCATGCTGATGCTTCATATCAGCGATCGAACTGATCATGTCGCGCGCGAAAGCGATCGAGGCTCTGGTGTTGTCCGAGTTCGGCGGCACGACGGCGGCGTACAAGAGCAAGCTCCGCTCGTTCTTCGTCAACCTCAAGGACAAGAACAACCCGACCCTGCGTGAGAGCGTCGTCAGCGGCGACCTGCCTGTCCAGCGGTTCTGCAAGATGTCGAGCCAGGTATTGTCACCTCTATCATCGTCTTCCGTATCCTCTCACATGGTCGACCGCGACAGGATATGGCATCGGAAGAGCGGAAGGCAGCAGACAACAAAATCAAAGAGGAGAACCTGCACAAGGCCCTTGGTGCCGAGGAAGTGCAAGCTGAGACGGATGCGTTCCAATGTGGTCGTTGCAAGCAGGTCTGTGCATATTTCTCTCGGTATATGCGCCTGTATATTGAATTCTGGCCACAGAGGAAGTGCCGCTACCGTCAAGCACAGACACGGAGTGCTGATGAACCGATGACTGTACGTCGCCCTCAACTAGCATGTTTGCCCATACTGACGTCCTTCACTTCTCTAGACATTCGTAACGTACGCACTTATCCCTTTCGTCGAATATCACGATTGCCAGCTAATCATTCTCTCTCTAGTTGTACTGTCTGTAACAATAGGTACACCTCCCGGTCTCCCGTATTTTTCCAATCGGTCTGACTCGAACCTTTCGCAGGTGGAAGTTCTCGTAAAGCCGCTCATAATCCTCCGAGCCTAATCCCGTCGCATTGCTACTCCTGCTCCGCTTATCCCGGTGTATTATCGCTACTGCTATCCCGCCTTCTGGTCGACACGGCTCGCCGCGTCGGCGCAGAGCCGCGCCCCGCCGATCTGTTGCCGTTTTAACTATGGCTTCCTAGTATCAACTTCCGTGTATGTGTCTTGTAGTCCGTTCACTTTTATTCAGCTTGCGTTTCCGTCATCCTCGCTACGTATATGCGGTTCGCACTCGTCATCAATCTCCTGGTCGATACTCCGACCGATCCCCTGCCCCCCTCGATCGGGTAAGTCGCAAGTAAATCAAAAATAATGTTTTGTCAAAACCACTAGCCGGTGGAACGAGGGACTCGGTTGGACCTTGACAAGTTCGACTAAACGCTATATATCGCTAAACATGGCTCGGGAAGTCCCATAGGTGGCCTGGCCAGCGCGCGTCTCCGGTGTGAAGCCTAGGAATCTTACTGGTAAGTACTACTCAGTAGTATATTGTACGCGCGTTCAATTGACGTGCGTAAGGCTAGCATAGGCGGCGCCGACTACTCGATATTTTGAATATCACAACCTCAACGGAATCAACGAGTACGTGCCCACAAAGTTGTATCATACTACTGTCTGGTCACACGATATGCTTAGAGTTCGAGCAGCGCATTCAAGTTTAGGGGCGGCTACAGGCAAAATCACGATGGCACCGTGTGACAGCACGGTGTACGCCTCGAGGCCTCGCACCTTATAAGGGCTATCCGCGGTCAGTATCCTACTACAACCTGTTGTCCACCAGTGAGTCCCCTCTTCATGCCGCCGTTGGCAATATGTCTTGACGTTTTTAGGTTGAAGACCATCATGTCAGAGCCGAACGCATGGCGAGCAAGAGGTCGTGGACGGGGAGGCCCTCAGCGCGCAAGAGGCTGGGGACCGATGCCAAGCACTCAATCGACGGCACCTGCACCTGCATCTCCTGCACCGTCTAGCAGCAGCAGAGGGCCAACGGCTCTCGGGGGCGGGACATATAGGGGCAGTGCACCAGTATCGTCGCCTCAAGGTTCCACCGCCAACAGAGGATCGCCGAGCGATTATCAAAGCAGGGGCTACGCCCGAGGGCGGGCTTCGGGCACGCCTGGAGGGGGAATGTCGTCCCCACCCTCGCGTGCTCAAGGCGACTTTCGTGGTGGTCGTGGTCCTATGCGCGGTCGCGGCGGTCGCGGAGGGCAGCAGTATGGGCCTCAGGTCTTTGCCGCTGACGTCCCGGCCGTCGTAGATGAACGGCTCGCTTCTCATGACGAGCTCACCGCTAGATTTGCTGCTGTAGAGAGTGGACCAGAGTTGCCGCTCCCACCTGCCCCCGGAACCTCAGGAACCCATATCACGCTTCGGACGAATCTGCTCCCTACGAACTTCGACGCCAAGACGTACTTTGATTACGAGCTCAAGTATGAGCCCGCGAAGTCCATCTCAGGCGATCGCAAGGCACAAGTCCTCGCACTCGTCGAGAAGCATACCGCTTTCGCCAATTACGCCGGGCAGGTCGCCCACGATGGGAGTCAGAGGCTTTTATCCGTTGCGAGACTTCCGGACCCGTTCTCCATCGCCGTTGAGCTTGCACAGCAAGGCAAGCCGGAGCCACAGAGCATCACTGTCGAGTTCGTGTTCAAGCACGAGCTAGACATGAGTCTGCTACGCAGGCAAGTATACCACCCAACATTGTCCGTAGATGCGGTGTTCACTTCAATAGGTATGCGGACGGCTACCTAGAGTGCAGAGACATGGACATACAGCTCTACGTTTCTGCACTCCAGCTTGTCACTCAGCAGCACGCCCGACACACTGGTGTCCGCATCGGCAGAGACAGCGAGACCCGCTTCTTCTTCCGGTCGCTGACCGAACGCGCGCCGATTTCGTTGGGCGGCGGGCTCGAGGCCTGGAGAGGGTTCTTCATGTCCATCCGTCCGACCTTCAACCAGGTGATGACCAACATCAACCCCGGCATGGCGCCGTTCTACGTGCCCCAGAACTTGGCCAAGGCGATGTTCGCCTCTATGGACGAGAACAGGGGTCTCGTCCACCCGGACTTCGGCAGGAAGCTGAAGGTAACCACCACCTACCAGGGGTTCGAGAAGACATGGACGATTCAGAGAGTTCTTGAAACGACGGCTCAGACGACGTCTTTTTATCACAACAAGTCGGAGAAGACAATTCCAGTTGCAGAATATTTCGCAAGTAGTACGTACAATTCGAGACGATTTCATACTCGGTCTGTTGCTTATGGTCTGGCATAGCATACCCCAACATCAAGCTGCGGCATGCCAACAACCTTCCGCTGGTCTGTGTTCAAGAGAAGCCGCACCCAATTCACATCCCCGCAGAACTGTGCGAGATCCGCCCCGGTCAGCCGTACTACGGACTGCTGGTCGGATCGGCGACGACCATCATACTCAACGAATCCACCAAGCCTCCGAACGTCAATGCGGAGAGGATCATGAACGAGGGCTTCCAGTATCTCGGTCTCGGGGAGGACACGGACACCCCAGCGATGAATGCGTTCGGCGTACACGTCGAACACAATATGTCGGTTGTCCCTGGCCGCATCCTCCAGCCGCCAACACCACAATACAAGGGACACAGCCCCTCAAGTTTCCAGCCTGGGTCGTGGAACTTCGCCCGGATGCAGTTCCAGGTGGGCGGGAGAGTGCCGAGCTGGGGGGTCCTCTTGGTATTGCAGGGAAATGACAATGTGTTCGCGGGGGCGAATGACTCTAGCCTGAGGCCCTTCTTGAGAGCATTCGTGGACCTGTGCAAGAAGAGCGGTCTGGGCTTCCCTGCGGCGGATCCGCCAATTATCGAGGCGCGCTTACCGCCCAACGACGACCGCTACCGAAACTCCGCGATCCATTCCATTCGGACGACGCTCACAAACCACGTTAAGAGCGCGCGGCCGCAGCCGACATTCATCTTGGTGCTCCTCGCGAACGAGGATAGTCGCATCTACTGCGGACTCAAGCGGATATGCGACATGGAGCTCGGGGTGCACACGATCGGAATGCAGCCTACCAAAGCGACGAATCCCAAGGGTCAGGGCGCGTACTTCGGCAACGTCGCACTGAAGCTAAACATGAAGCTCGGCGGCGTGAACCACATTCTGGACGCGGTGTCGACGAAGTGGCTCAAGGACACGATGCTGAAGGACACGATGCTCGTGGGTATCGATGTGACGCATGGCAGTATGAGCAGCAAGGCGGGCTCCCCGTCGTTGGCGGCTATCGTTGCGAGCGTGGATAACAACTTTACAAACTACCCGGCGGAGCTTCGCATGCAAAGACCTGCGGAAAGTAAAGAGTCGAAGGAGGTATGTCGCGCCATCGTGTAGCAGGAGAGAGACTGATAATGGTTGAAGGTTGTAGCGGAGCTGAAGGACATGATGGTGGGCCGGTTGAAACTCTACAAGCAGAAGAACAAGAAGCTCCCGACGCAGATCATCGTGTATCGAGACGGTTTGGGCGAGGTGCGTTACTGGCAGAATGCTCCAACCCGGGGCCACCCGAGAGGAGATGAGCTGACAAGCCGACCTCTTTAGAGCCAATATCGACAGACTATCTTGGCTAGGGAGCTCCCTTCGATCCGCGCCGCCTTTAGCGAAGTGGTGCCGCCAGGATCAGAGACCTATTCACCCAAGGTGACGATCGTTGTATGCGTCAAACGCCATCACACGCGCTTCTATCCCACGGAGAAAATGCACATGTCGTCGAATGGGAACACGCTTCCTGGGACTGTGGTGGATAAAGGTGTAGGAGATCCGTTTCTCTTTGAATTCTACCTCCAGGTATGTCGTGCAAGTCCTGCCATCCGCGTCGCAACTCACACCTACTCCCTGAAACAGGCGCATGTCGGCTTGCAGGGCACGGTGAAGCCCACTCGCTACGTCGTCATCTACGATGATATCGGCTTCTCCTCAGACAACCTTGAGAAGGGCACGCACATGCTGTGTTACCTCTATCCGCGCGCCACCAAGGCGGTCAGCCTCGTCCCGCCCGCGTACCTCGCTGATCTGGCCTGCGAGAGGGCCCGAGACTGGCTTGACACGATCATGAATACCGGAGACCAGTTGTTGGATGTCAGCACCGGTCAGGGAAAGGGGAAGAGGCAGAGGGCGACCGAAGAGGAGAAGACCCAGGTTATAGATGAAGCCATGAAGATGTGGGGAAGTGGTGTGCACCAGAACCTCAGAGAGACCATGTTCTACATCTGAAGATGAGTGTGTCACCAAGGCGAGTAAGTAGTAGGGATGAAGGGGCGTTGTTCGGGATTCGTCGAGGCCGCAATGTCTGGTAGGACTGTATGTTCATCCCGAGCCATGTTTAGCGAGATATATCGTTGGGTCGAGCTCGTCAAGGTCCAACCGAATCCTTCGTCCCACCGGCTAGTTGTTCTGACAAGACGTTGGGTGTGATTTACTTACGACTCACTTACCCGATCGAGGGGGGCAGGGGATCTGTCGGAGTACCGACCAGGATATCAACGACGAACCGCATATACGTAGCGAGAATGACGGAAATGCAAGCTGATTGAGAGTGAACGCACTACAGGACACATACACGGGAACTTGATATTAGGAAGCCACAGTTGAAACGGCAACAGATAGGCAGGGCGCGGCTCTCCGCCGACGCGGCGAACCGTGTCGGCCAGACGGCGGGATAGCAGTAGCGATAATACACCTGAATAAGCGGAGCAGGAGTAGCAATGCGACGGGATTAGGCTCGGAGGATTATGAGCGGCTTTACGAGAACGTCTACCTGCCAAAAATTCAGGTCAGACCCTGGCCGATGGGCAAAATACGGAAGACCGAGAGGCGTACCTATTGTCACAGACAGTACAACTAGAGAGAGAATAATTAGCTGGCAATCGCGATATCCGACGAAAGGGATAAGTGCGTATGTTACGAATGTCTAGAGAAGTGAAGGACGTCAGTATGGGCAAACATGCTAGTTGAGGGCGACGTACAGTCATCGGTTCATGGAGCTAGAATTTCCGCGCCGTTGTAGGCCGTTGTACGTCGCTTCATCGTGCATTGCCGCCGAAAGAACCGCATGCTCTCTGAATATGGGGCGGCTTCTCTAATCCCGCCGCGCGACGAGAGAACAAGGTCGCAAAGTCACCACCTGCCGAAAGCAGACGGACAATGGCAGCGGTAGATTGGTATCACCTGGAAATTCCCACGTGTCTCACGGTTTGAACTCCGCCTGATCCACGAGCGCGGTTGTGGCGCTGTCCGCTCATTGTTTCTTCCTCCTCATTCTGTGCGTTCAGCGTAGTTTGCGACGCGATTTCCACGCATAGCCTGCAAGCGTTAGGCTTAGGCTCTCTGTATAGACCGGACCACGCTACTTTCGTGGCATCATCCGTAAATTAGGCGATTATTGGAAGGTGAGCTATATCAACCTCCCCTTGTGGGCAAGAAGCAATGACTGACTCATGAGCGGCCCATCAGGCAGAATTCGGGGTGCCTGCGAGACATTTCCATTTTGGAACACAACACGAGTTATCAGCTTCAATCTCCGACATGCCGCACCTGTTCAAAGGGTCGCGGAGGTCGCGCTCGCACGCCCCTTTGTGCAGCTCTCGCTGTAGTCTCCCTCCCGACATACACTTGCCTCGTCGTCAGACTATCTCTCCTCCGATGGCGCAGCCAACACCCCGCCATATGAAGTCCCGCGTCTACACGATTTTTCAGGCAGAAGCTCTCCAGTCGAGCGAAGTCAACAAGCAGGCCTGGAGGAGCGAAGTCGATGGCAAGATCGTGGAGATGGATATAGATATCCAGCTGTTTCTATCCTACTTCATGCCCAGCGTCGCGGAGATGCCACCGTCGCAGGCCGCGAACCCTTTTCATGTGCCGGTCGGTGGAAAGGAGGCAGATATGTACAAGCCTTTGGTATGTGTCCACGGCAGATCTGCGCGAACATGGTGCTGATGAACATCCAGTGCGACGGGCTGAAGAACCTAGTCAAAGATTTCCCAGAGCAAAAGCGTCCGTCCTTTCACAATAATGCGCACGAAGAGATCAAGTTTCCTTTCCTTCTGTGCCAGCAGGACCAACACGCGACGAAGCCGGACGTCGTCGCGTCTCTTCCTGGTCGTACGTTCCCTCCCCGGAAGAAGGATGACGACCACGATCGTTGGCGGGACATCTCCGTTGTATTTGAGGTCAAGAACGTGGGAAGCGAAGACCCCATGCTCTACTGCTCGAAGAGGAACGACGAAACATTGGTGCAGCTATCGAAGAGTGCGCGCAACATCCTCGTTTCTCAGAGCCGACTGTTCGTATTTGCGGTTGGGATCTACGGGTCGACAGCGCGTATCTTTCGATTCGACCATGCTGGCGCTGTCTGCACACGGTCGTTCCAGTATGGGGAGGGCAACGGCGCGGTCCTATATGAGTTCCTCTGGCGACTCAACCATCCGATAGGCGAGGACTGTGACATCGTCGGGGCGGATCCGACTGTCCGGCTTGCGTCTGCCAACACACGCGACGAGAAACGGGTGCTGCATGCAGCTGATATCGAGGCCACTGCGGAAACTTTGAAGGCATGCCGATGGATCACCATCCACCCTGCTGAAAACCGTCCTGCCAAGAAGTATCTCGTCTACGAGTTGCTCTTCATCAATCCACGCCTGTTTTCCCGGGCCACGACCATTTGGAAAGCTCTGGAGCTCGACGAGGACGGTGAGCCGACAGGGACCCATGTCGTCATCAAGGAATCCTGGCGTCAGCTAGCACGCGACCCCGAGCTATTGTATTGGCAGCGTATCCGTGCACACGTCGCACCGCATCTTGTGCGGAATAGCATGGCAGACGAAGCGTGGGACAGCGTGCAGGAGGATGCATTCATGGCGGTGTGGAACGCAGAGTGGCGTGGGTTAGCGGCATTCTCGTTGGGTGCCGACCTCGGAAATGAGGAAGAGCTCCGCATTGATGTGGAGGCCCCGGCCGGGCACCGGACACGTACTGGTGTACACCAATGCCAGGGCGCGCACCAATGGTTCGAGAGAAGTCATATGCGGCTCGTGTCGACTACAATTGGCACTCCGATCTCACAATTCCGTTCGACGAAAGAGATGGTGCAGGTGCTACGGGATGCCATCTACGGTACGTATAGCCTTGCGCTATATTCCCTCAGATAGCTTATGTGCGTCGTCGCGTGCTTGCAGGGCACCAACTGGCGTTCGAAGCGGGCATTATGCATCGCGACGTCAGCGAGGGCAACGTGATGAGCGTGAATGGCAGGGGTTTTCTGCACGACCTGGACTACGGCTTCAACTGGAAGGCATTGTTGTACGAAATGGGTTACAAGGATACCGTCGCTAGCTGGGAGGAGTTCGTTCGGAGGGGGGAGGGTATATGGAGGGAGGACGTCGTCAACCGTGCCGCCGAGCCAGCACAGCAAGCTCAAGAAACGAAGGAGAGGGCTGTCCCGCCGCCCCGGCCCGTTGTCAACCGACGAGGCCAAGAAGAATACTTTGTGGATGCGATCATCGCGGAGCGGAAGACGGCTAAGGGCAAGGAATATCTGGTGAAATGGATTGGATACGGAGATGAGTCGAACTCGTGGGAACCACTCAAGGACGTCCGCAATTGTGCAGCCTTGTCACACTGGCTCAGCCTGCCGCCGGAGGATCGCGTTCAGTCGTCGGCTCAGCATGCCGACGACGCCGATGAGACGGAAGAGCATCGTAAAAGGGCAAGACCGAACGCAGTGACCACCGACGTCGGACCCGCAGACCCGGAAAAGATCAGGCTGGAATGCAAACAGCGCACAGTGAGCCTATAATTATTCCTGGATTGCCGTTCGTCATTTATGTATGCGGAAATGTCACAGGGTACTTTTTATTTCATGGCCGTGGAGGTGCTCCTCGGCAAGGTCATTCATCAAGTCCGACATGATCTCGAGTCGTTCTTTTGGCTCCTTGTCTGGCTCGTTTTTCGGCATACCGCGAACGATGCACCTAACAAGCACTACGCGCTGAAGCACTTATTCGACGCGCCTGATGACACGACAAGCGCCGCATCCAAAAAGGGGTGGTTGATGGAGCCTCCCTCTGTACCCGGCAACGAGCCTCTGACCATTCTCATCGACCGTTTTGCGGCGCTTTGCGAGCAGAACTTCCCTCGCCGAACTTCGAGAGTCTCTAGTCCGATGACTTACGAGGCAGTGCTACAAATCTTCGACGACGTTCTTGCGCGTCATGACTGGCCAAGTCATGACAAGGCGATACCATGGAAACCTGCGAAGGACGATGACGACAAGTCGGCCCGCGAAGTGCGCCTCAAGAGTACCATCAGTCAGGCGGAGTCGCAGGCTCGACAAACCCAACTGCATAATCTCCCTCGCGCCCCTGCGTGGAACGGTGCATCTCGGACACCGCGTACTGCCAGCTCTGGATCGAGACCGCCTGAGGATTCATGGACACGACCGGTCGCGCAGATACACCGGGAAGACATACCCGATCCCGTGTCGCCTACGCCACCCTCACAGAGGGCATCCTCGTCTCATTCGGCTGCGTTGCCCGCTGCGTTGTTCCGTTTCACGCCGGCCCACGATGCGAGTCGGTCGCCTTCTCCCCCTTGGGACCCGCGAAGGGAAGACCTGATGGCGAGTCTCCACGCTATCTCACCCGATTTCAGGAGCCCCCCGTCGCATCCGCCCAATAGTTCTGCTGGAGAGCCCGAACCGTCTACGTCCACCCAAGCGTGGCAGGGCAATGCCAGTGGCGATGCTCGCCACCGTGGTCGGAAACGCTCCAAGGAAGACCTCGGCGTCGATGACGATCTCGATGTCGGGCCATCGAAGCGGTCTAGGCCCGACAGCGAGCAGTCTAAGCTGCTTCCTCAGGCATCCTGGGAATTACGTCCAACGCCGCCCCGAAAGCGATGAAGTCGAACGTGACTCTCATATATTCGCTACCGCTTGTCACCGTTCATATCGCTGTGCTGTTGTAGATATACTCGCTATGCTGTACGTAGTTCTGCCGCCGGACGGCTATCGATGTAGCGCTGCTCTTGTACCCTGCTTTCTTCACATGTAGTTCTCAGCTGACACCGTCCGCAATTTGCACTCTCATGATAAATAGCTCATTTGATGTCGACGCAACCTGACGTGACGCAGTAACGACGTCTGCGCCTGACGTTGCTTCGGCTACAATGTCGACGTACTAGTAGTAGTACACGCTGGGCCTGGGCGATGTAGGCGGCTTTGCTCGTAGCCTAACAAACATCCAGGGTCAACACATGTATACTCAGTCTGTATATGACTGTCGAGGATGGTCAGGCGGCCGTGGCCTCCACGTGCTGTGAAAGCTCAACGTACAGTAGTTACTCCATATGATCTGCCTTCAGCTACACTCGGAGGCCTTGACGCCTGGTGACTAGATGTTCAGCTTCGCAGGGGTGTTCGTCCCCTTGCGAGTGCTAGTCGAATGTACGTTGAAGTGACACTGACAGCGCGAGGTGCCAAGGCCGCAAAGACAACGCCTTCCATAAGCAGATGAACAATGGAAGCGGTTGATCGGTACGACGGTATCGGCCGTGTGGCATCTGAACTCCCCACGTGGCTGACGTTTCAGACTCCGCCTGACCCATGAGCGCGGTTGTGGCGTCGTCTCGCCGTCGTTGCCTCCTCCTCATTCTACGCCCTCAGCGTACACCGCGACGCGATTTGCCCGTGTTGCCCACATATCAGTGTCACAGACTCTTGATCTATCGTTATACTGTCTCTTTCGAGGACAATTATCGACGTATCGAGCTAATTACGGACGGTAAGCTGTATCGACCTACCTGTTTGAGTGCAAGAAGCGGTACTGACTCATGAGTGGCCCATCAGACAGGTTCAGCTGCCTTTTTCGAATACTTAACACAACGTTGGCCACTGACTTGAATCTCCGACATGCCACACCGGTTTAAAAGATCGCGGATGTTGGGTTCGCATGATCCCTCGTGCAGCTCCCGCTGTAATCTCCCCCCTTGGCTTCATCTACCTTCCGCATCATCGTCACCCGACATGGCGCAGTATGGGTCCCCTCGCAAGGCGGGCGCGTGTAACTCTCAGCCTCTCAAAAAGCTGGACGTTCAACAAAGCAGTCGGAAGAACCGAATTGTATGGCAGAGCGAGATAGCGGGCAGAATCGTCCCTATTTCGAACTCAATGGAGGATTTCCTCGAGCACTTCGTACCCGGAGACAAACCTCGTCAGCCAGTCATGAAATCGCATTTTGACTTCCCATCGGACGCGAAAGCTGAAGACGATCTCTACGAACCTTTGGTGCGCGAGATTTCCCGTGGCCAGCGTTCCGTAACTTACCACTCTCTAGTGCGACGGCCTCCGGTCGCTCGTGAGTCGCTTCGACAAAGACAAAAGGCTCACCTTCATCAATCACAATCACGATCGTATCAAGTTTCCCTATGCGCTGTGTGTCTCTGAGCACCACATAACTCGACCAGACGTAGTTGCTTCGCTTCCGGGCAAGACATCGGTCGGTTCTCATCTTGACTACTGGAGGGATATCAGCACTCCGTGTCTGTGCTTGACGGTAGCGGCACTTCCTCTGTGGCCAGAATTCAATATACAGGCGCATATACCGAAGGAAATATGCACAGACCTGCTTGCAACGACCACATTGGAACGCATCTGTCTCAGCTTGCACTTCCTCGGCACCGAGGGCCTTGTGCAGGTTCTCCTCTTTGATTTTGTTGTCTGCTGCCTTCCGCTCTTCCGATGCCATATCCTATCGCGATTGACCATGTGAGAGGATACGGAAGACGATGATAGAGGTGACAATACCTGGCTCGACATCTTGCAGTACCGCTGGACCGGCAGGTCGCCGCTGACGACGCTCTCACGCAGGGTCGGGTTGTTCTTGTCCTTCAAGTTGCTCGAGGTTGAATGAGTTGGCAGTATAGGCGCTGGGACGCGTGCGCCACAGATATAGCCTGCCAGTGTACGCCATTTGTCGCGTCGCGTTCAATTTCAATAGCAGCATGCACTGCTCAGTGCTACAGGGTAGGTACCCTAAAAAGGGCGGTAGGTATATGAATAAAGAAGCCCTGGCGGTCCAGGTTCGTTAGGCTTGGTATGTGTCGCATAGACAATTATTACTCTGTTAATCATCTGGCAGTTTGTAGTCGTCGTCGACCGAACAGAACTTGGCCATGCATCGTACGATCAATGGTTTCGATGTTCAAGAATCAATGGGTCTACGACGTATGCATACACTGCCTTGCAGCTCGGAGTGTATCATCCCCAGGACCGCTTCTGAACGTATAATCTAGTGAGCACTTATAGAGCAAGGCTTGCTTCTACAATTAATGATGGCTGCCAGTGCTCCACGCACAAATACGGTAGTATCCCATCCCAAGACTGCTCAACCGCGGGCTGACTGCCAGTGAACCTTCAGAAGAACCACCATCATGATACGGTACGCACCACGCATACCACTGTCATCTGGATTCACACTGAAGTATGTCTTCTGTATTCAAGTGACTGGGCACATCCCTGACTCAACTAGAGACAGGCGGATTTGATCCGTATCGCAGCCATGTCGCAGTCAAAATTCAAAGGCAAAGTCGTTCTGATCACTGGAGCAGGAGGTGGCATCGGGTTTAGTTGATATATGTTATATTTCTCGATTACAGGGCTGATCAGTGAAGCGCAGACGGGGCTACAGCCCTCAAGCTCGCAAAGCTCGGCGCCAGCCTCGCCATCACAGACATCGACCTTCGCCGTGCAGCGTAAACCTACCGTCCATGCGGGGGAAGCCCGCACTACAGCGGCGCCTTGGACGTCAGCCTCTCGAAGGCCGACGTCGAGGATCGCATCCTGGAAAATGTATCTGGTCTCCGCCGCCTGGACCATGTCTTCAACTGCGCTGGTGTCAAGCCCACGAGCCTGAGATCTCCTCTCACCGACACGATCGACAAGTACTGGAGCAAGCTGGGCAACGTCAACCTCAAGGGGATCTACCTTGTCACGCGCGCTACGATGCCGCACATCATAAAGTCTGGTGGATCATACGTGAACATTTCCTCGATCTGCGGACTCTGACCTCAGGCAGCTGAGAGCAGGCCATCTACTGCGCGACGAAGCATGGCGTAATCGGGTTCAGCAAGAGTATGGCGCTGGAGCTGGGACCGAAGGGCGTGCGGAATAACGTGGTTGCGCCTGGATACACTGGCGACACGCCGACGAATGCGGGGGTGGTCAAGGGTGGCGAAGCCGTGACGCGCATGGAAGAGGGAAACAGTCTCGGTAGACTTGGGACGCCTGAGGAATTTTGCAGACGTGGTGATTTTCTTGCTGAGCGAGGAATCGAAGTACGTGAATGGGAGCGTCATGGAGGTCCACGGTGGGCTGAAAATGCTGTTCATACCGGTAAGTGTATTGTTTTCCAAGTATCCCACTTCACAGCGTGAGGGCAATTCATCTTTGTTCATCAGTGGTACACCACGCTAACTTCTGGCCGCCCACATCACCGATCATCGGCACATTGGGATATTGGACACATGCTCTCTCGTGGCTATGCGCAGGAGTGAAACGCATCCTTACGGGCTCGAAGCTTCGAAACTGACAACATTGACGTTGTGTGCCGAACATGTATTGGGCACAAATCGGGCATCTCGGCCGTTCAACTCGGCAAGTGCAATGTAACGTACACTCCGTTCCTGCACGGACTTGTCAACAGAACTTTAAGCCTCGGGTTTGTCGCGGTGTTGAGAAGTCATCTTGAGAGGTGAGCATACGGATAATGATGTGGTTACCGGGCGACTTAGTCTTGATGATCCGTACACGGACTCGAAGCGCACTCCAGGTCACCTCTCATATCATTGTGTGCAAACACAATGTCCTACTCACAAATGATTTGGTAGGTCACGTCCGAGACATTCCAAGCAAACTGGCGTCCGAAGGAAAACTTCAATCGTCCGGATCGCGGCCGCTATACAATGTTCACATCTCGTTGTCGCTATTCGCTGATGTTATCTCCCCCTTGATGCATCCTAAGTCTAACGACCTAACGTGTACCGCGTTCCTCGCCGCCGGAATTACTCCTTGAGACGCCTACAGCGCGCCTCGAAGCGGAAGTTACTCGGACTCAATCATTGACAAGACGCCGAATGCGGCACCGGTACTGAGAAATCTTAACAAAGTACCAGGTTCTGTCAGACTAAAGGCGCTGAACGAGGTGTGTTCATGCCCTATAAAACCAGGCATTCGACTCGCCTTTACCTCAGCTCACTTCCCTTCCTTACTTCCACTTCTGAGCTCACATCGAACAGGTGCCGGTCGGTGAGCACATATGCATTTGACTACGTGCTTTCCATGATGACCTAACTCGTCTTGCAGCCTCGTTCTCTTTCTGTTCGCATTCAATCGTTATCATCCACGCACACACTCAACCTTTCACGTCCACCCTTCTCACACCCTAGCAGTCACCATGCGTTTCAGCACTGTCCCCGTCGTTCTTGTCGCTGCTGCGATGGGTATTCCCGCTCTCGCGTGGCACCCAGTCGCGGGTACTATCGACCACTCGGAGTACGTCGCTCACATGAACTGAATGATGCGTAAGGCTAATGAAGCCGTACCCAACAGGCCTGTGCACTGGCAGTATTCTGGTATCCCCTCTGCTGGCTCGCGTCCTGACATGATGCACCATGGGGGCCCCCACGCTCACCACGCGGGCTCTACCAAGACGCCCGAACACCACCGCAGTGGCCAGCACGCTCACGGTCACAATCGCCAAGGCAAGGCGCTCTCTGCGGGGGGCAGGCATACCACCACCTCCCCCAAATTGCCCCAGAACCGACGAGAGGTCCTTAGCCGCTTCTTCGACGATGAGCAGCTCTATGGACGCGACATCGACGAGGAGTTATACGCACGAGATTTCGACGAGGAGCTTCTCGCTCGTGACTTCGGAAAAGTGTTCGCGCGTGCCTTCGCGGCCGGAGACGACGAGATTATGGCGCGCGCTGCTGCACCTCCGACGGGCAGCGGAGCTCTCAACTTCGGCAAATTAATCAAGGGTGGCTTCAAGTTGTTCAATGATGTGTTCCGCAGAGAAGACGGCCCGATGCTTGTCCGCGCGATTCTGGAGGAGATGGACGCCCGGGGCATGGACCTGGATGAGCTTGACTGATACATTCCACGGTGTCATTACATGCTGTATCAGTCGGCGTGCTGTTTGTAGCTTGCAGGTTTCTGCTACTACCTAACGATGATTTGTGAACAGTCAGTCAGGCTTACGCTATTAGTCCGGTCATACGTGAAGGAAGAGTGAACGAGGTCCTCGTAGCAGGGAGCACTGAAGCCGCCATTGACCTGATTGCATTGATACAACGGCGCGCAAGCAGTACCCCCCCCCCCTCCTCCTCCTCCTCCTCGCGCTCATTTTGTATGTGACAGGCCACCGCTACGCTTGAACAATATGCCAACACTTGATTATTCTCGCTTGTGCTTCTGCTGTCTCAACCGCGCGGCCCCGCCGGGGGAAAACAATGGCACCGCACACGCACCGCGCCTCTTCTGTGCCTTCTCAGACAAGGCTTTGCCGCCTACGGACCGCTCGTGTTGTGAGACTGCGATGTCGAGACTGTTCTGCTCGCGGGAGGGGAGAGCGGCTCATCGAATGTCCTCGCCGCGCAGTGTGAGGCAGAACTCGCCTGGAAATTGGTGTGAATGCGCGTTCTGCCTGGTCGCTGGTGGTATCTGTGCGCGTGTACAACAGCCACAGGACAGACACTGACCAGCGAGAATCTCTCCATGACGCGGAGCCGCATCATGCATGGACGGGGCGTCATCATGGATAGCAAGTGCAGGCGCGACGGTAGTATACTTGAAGCCGTTTATTGAATGGCCGCGGCTGGTTCGAATCAACAGGGACATGTCATGTCTCTAGATTTATTGGCCACGGCGAAAGTGCGAGCTCAAAGAGCTGACTCACCACATGCGTAAAGAATGGGTTACATTGTCATGTAGGAGCCCCAACAAGGACCGATGTCGGAGGTTCTCTTGAATGACTGGGGCGGTGCCGCTGGGATCACGAATAGCAACGAAGACCGTAGTAGCGTCAGCAAGACATGTTACTTCTCGAAACACCACAGGAAGCATCGCACGTATTCTGATGTATCATGTAGGCGTGTAATGTGGGCGTACCTAGGCATACGCGCCGGTCGCAATCTTGATCCGACAGCGACAGAAGACACCAAGGCGATATCATACCGGTACCATGATACAGGTATCAGGCGTGGATATAGTTAGTTGACGACGCAACCGGCCCTACCGGCAATAGCATACAAGCTACACATTGAACATGTTCAGACCAAACCAGACGAAGCTGTATAGGACATCATGATGGAGGTTGTGACTCCTTTGCGGGAAGCCATGTCACCGGATGACGGTTATACATGGGCCATGGCGGCAAGACAACCTATCGAAGCCCATGAACACGCGTCTAGGTTTACGTAGAATAGACAGACGCACCAGCAACAGAACGAAGGCAGCGACACCGAAGATGCCAAAGGTGACACTGAGAGACTGAAACAGTACTCCAACTATGAATGAGAAAACCTGGAAGCCGTATGTAAGCCCGTAAGCTCTCTGAGAGGACCCAACTGAACTTGAACCACTTACCGCCGCTGCAATCAAGGCAAACTTGGCGATGTTCTCAACCTGTCTCTGTCCTTCGAAATCCTGTGTAACCATGCCCTGTTATACTCGCATTGAAAACGCAAATCTGTATAGCTCACTATTTTTCCTTCAAGCAGATCCAGGAGATTGTCCTTGAAGCTCGCAGACATGGTCGGAGTGTTGTGGCAATGTGGCTGAAGCAGAGTTCGGGTGCGGTTACAGTGGCAACGTGGAACGCGAATCCCAAAATGGCAACTGATGTTTGTGGAGTACACGGCGCGACCGTCCAGACCGGTCACCGCCATGCCCTCCGTTGACCCCGAATTTGAACTGAACCGTCAGACATTTTGGTCTTGGTGGCCCACTTATACGCGGTAAATGCACTTCTCGGTCTACGCTTATTTAGGGTACTGATCCACTGTGCAGCTGGTCACACTATCATCACGGTCATCACCTCAGGCTCTCGACACTACGCTTCTGCGGTGGTCCGTGGATGTGCCTCGTATATATCGCACGAAACTCGAATACACATACAACAAGAAGATACATCATAATGTGGATGGAAAAAGCTGAGTATCACTGCAATAACTTATAATTACTTATGGTTCTCCGAGTCGACCGGCTCCCCAACCTCGAGCTCAAGCGCTGCCAGACTTCAATTATGTAGCACAGCGCTCAAGACGAGCCGTTGACAGCAGGCTGAGGTCGTGGTGTTCTCGTAACAGTCGTGACGGTCGTGACAGTCGTCGTCGTCGTAGTGCGTGTCGTGATGATGTGCTCCTTGCCCTCCGATACGATGATGGTTTCTGCAATGACGGGCTTCGTCGCGGTACGTGCGATCTTCTCTTCCTGCTCCTTCGCGAGCGCACAGCGCGTGAAGCGCCATAGCTGGCAGAGCTCGCCCGGCTTCGCGTGCATGAGCTCAACCTATGCGCAGGAAGTAAGCGTCAGCCTCGGGTATCGCACGTTGTATGTATATATCCGCTTACCTTCGTACCAGGCGTTGCATTTCCCCAATCCGCCAGATCTATGACGAAGTTGGTGTTCGGCCAGGATATCCTAGGGTTCACGTCACGTATGTTAGGACCTGGTCAAACCAAATTCAGGCCGCGCGCATGGGACACACACCTAATGGCATCCTCCACCTTCTCGGCAAAGTCCACGTTCCAGCTGACAGGATACGAGCTCGCCACGATCGGTGCACCCTCCCTCAGCTCCTCGACGGTCAGGTAGAGTCCGCACGAAGAAGGACACGCGCTCCGGATCATATATCCCTTTCCGCTCGGGATAAACTCCCACTGTCAGAAGGTGAGTCCGGGATGTATTCTAAGGTGAAGACAATCAGCGTACCTGCTGGTTGGGCCCCATGTTCACGGGAAATCCAATCAAGTTCCGTTGGTCGGCTCCACAGAGGTCGAGCGCAGTCCCGCTGCGCGCGTTGAGGAGGACGTGCGTACCGGGCAGCCAGATCTGCCTTTGCGAGTCCGTGCTCTCCTGCCTGCTAAGCGACTTTAAGCTGTTACCATTTGGCACGCTCGCTTCTGGCTGCTCGACTTTGGCGGGTGCGTCCGTCTCCGGAGCTACCGGAGGTATGAGCAGGAGGACCTCGTCGGTGGGCTTCTGCGAGTTCTGCGAGCCTGCTTGCTCGTCGTTCGCGGTGGTCTCGGTACTCTCCTCCATCCCCTCCTTCAGCGGCGAGTCGACCCTCGGCGGCTCTGCGCCCGGCATGCCCACCGACGACGAGAGCGTCGACGACCGGCCAATAGAGCCAGCCTTACGGTTCGGCGAGTTCTGCGTGCTTGGTGCGTTGCCCATCTTTGAGCTGGTATGAGGTGCGTGTGCTGAGGAGCTGGTTGGCTCTTGTGAGTGGTTGCTGCTGGCAGAGCGGCTGGGGCGTTTTATCTTGGTGGTGAGGATGCGGTTCAGCATGGCGAGTGTTCGTGTGCGCGGCGAAATGAGGTGCGCTCCTGGTATATGTGCTGCTTTGTGCGTGTGTGCCGCGTGGAACGCCCGCGGATGAGGGGCTATGTACGACGTGAGGATCAGGGATGCTCGCGAGTTGGAGCACTACCGCTAATCATCCCCGTCGGTTGGTTGCACGGGGTGTACCGCCACTGCGGCATTACGCTGGACTGTCACCAGCATGTGGTATTGTTTGGGGGCTGAAGATGTGCCTTTGCGCGCGTGGCCTTCATTTGACAAGAGTGGGTGAGGTGAACACGCGTGCGGCGCATGGTCGGATAGTACTGCAGCGTGAAGCGACACAGGCGACGTACTGAGTGCACAGTAGGCCTCGCTGCAGGTCGACACCTGATGCACCTTACGCACACTACCGCGGATGAGGACTTTGCAAGTTTGATATTGTGACCGCTCAATGGTTTGCTCAACGCCTTGGGTTCTTGTTGGGTTCATTGAACAATTTAGCGCCCACGCGACGCGCCGCCGCGACGCGGTACATCCATGTCACGTGACCGATACGAGCTGGCCACCAACGCGCGTGAGGACGAGCCTCTTCTCCACCGACCACCGACCGCCGACACTGAGGACCCCCACCACTTCCTACTCTTCTGTCACGCAAAACATGGGCGAACAAGGCGAAGACGTAAAACCCAAGCTTAATGTGACTATTGAATATGAAGGCCAGAGTGAGTACGCGCCCGGGACGGCAAACATTCATTCACGTCGTCTCACGCGCGTTCTGTAGCTTGTACTGTTAAGGTCAAGGCGGTTACCCCCTTTGCCAAAGTCTTTGGTGCTGCAGAAGTGAGTCGTGGATCGTGACATTGAGGAGCCTCAACGGCTAACGCCTACAAGAAACGATTTCAGAAAGAACCAGGTATGCTGTGGCCACTACTGTCTCTTGCGAGTCCTCATCTCTTCATGTTTCAACAGGAACGCTGAAGTACTTGTTTGAGGGGCAGAGAGTACTGCCAGAGATGACTCCAGCAGAGGTATGTCCCTCGCAGACCTTTGTTCCTGGAGCGTTGCGTGCTAACTTGGACGCGGCAGTTGGGCATGGAGGATGGAGACACGATCGATGCTCATCTCGAACAGGTGAGTTGCTACTTGTCTCCATCCATCCTGACATCGCTCATTCTTCCTCACAGCTCGGTGGCGGCTACTACCATTGCCCGCGTCCGTCGGCATAGTCCTTTACTCCCTATAGGGCTGCTGTCCCTCGTCTCGTTGCCCTAGTCGCTATCATACTTTTGCAGATCGGCTGTGTCTTACTCTTTACACTTATGGCTTCTTATTGGGTTCCTTGGCAATATCATTATGCTCCTCAGTGATATTCGTGACATGAGCGTGTTGGCCCTGTCGGTGTGTCGTGGGCGCCTCCGCGAAGGCTAAAGTAACGCCTGCGAGCGGCCGCCTCCCAAATGTGACGACCTGTCTGCACACACCACGCTGAACAGCGCCATAGCTTTCTCATACTCTGAGCTCCTTCCTAGACGAAGGCTGAAATTGAACGAATCGCGAGCGCCAACCTGTGGACTCGTACGATGGCTGCGTATTGAGCACTGAGCTGACGTCGACCTCTGGACTACACCCACGAATATGACGAGCATCGTCCTGCTGCCCGAGGACAGCGAGGACACTACGAAGTATGACGAGAGGGGGTACAAACGACACTTCCGAGGGTGGTTGAGCTATGCGTTCGCGAGGTATGTTCTACGTCCTCTGCCTACACTCGCTAGGAGTGACCGGTCGCTGTCCTGCAGTGAAGTGTTCGTGGTCGTGTCCTTGACACTCTTTCTTCCCATCTGCCTCGAGCAATTCGCTAGGTAAGTGGTGCAGTCGGTACATAACCCACGGGCTGACCCAGGATCCTCCCAGAGACAACGGCTACCTCCTTCCTGACCGCACGCAACCATGCAAGGCCGCCCAGAACACCACTGTTGGACCTACGGCTGAACCGGGCCAGGCGCGCTGTGTGGTGAAACTCGGTTGGGTATGGATTGACACTGCGAGCTTCAGGTACGTAGTGGTATATACGCTCACGTATCCCCATATTGAGGGTTGCTGCACACGCAGCCTGTATGTCTACTCAGTCTCCGTCGCCCTCCAGGCCCTCACTGTGATCTCCATGGGCGGAATAGCAGACCATCGTGCGTCCTGCCTTTCTGATTCCTTGGTCCAATCCCGCCAACTGATCCCGCCCTGGCACACCAGCACCCCACCGCAAACGCCTCCTCCTCGCCTTCGCCGCGCTCGGTTCGTTCGCTGCGATACTCTTCCTTGCAGTCCCCTCTTCCACGCAAATATGGCCCAGCGTCGGCCTCCTCGCAATATGCGCCAACGTCGGCTTCGGCGCATCCATCGTCGCCTTGAACGCATACATCCCGTCCCTCGCACGGTCCACACGAGCGGTAGTAACCGCACAAGCAGAGCTCGTCCGCCTGCGCGAGCTGCACGCCCGACGAGCCAGCGCAGACCCCGACGTATACGCCACCACGCCAGACGAGCGCGGGCCCGATGACGGTGACGGTGCCGCAGAGCGCCTCCTCCAGCGCACGACCGCAGACAGAGTGCACCCCGACGTGTTCGCCGCGAAGCTCGCGCACGATACCGCGCTCTCCGCCGCAACCGCGCGCATCTCCTCGCACGGGATCGCGCTCGGGTACGGCGCGGGCATCTTCATGCTCCTCCTCGCGCTCATCCCCGTCACGCGCCTCGGCGGGTCGACGTTCGCGCTCCGCCTCGCGGTCGGCCTGAGCGGTGTGTGGTGGGCGCTGTTCTCGCTGCCTGCGGCACTGTGGCTGCCCGGGGCGGCGCAGCTCGGCGCGAGGATCGCGCTGACGCAGGAGCCTGGTGAGGGCGAGGCGGTGGAGGAGAAATGGAGTGTTTGGCGGGAGATCGTGGGTGCGTGGAAGAGGCTCGGGGGGATGTTGAGGTGGCGCGAGATCAAGCGGCTGCGCAACACCTTTGTCTACCTCGCTGCTTGGTTCTTGCTCTCTGATGGTAGGTGTTGTGTCCAATGCTTCTCTGTGTATCGTCTTGCTGAGGTGCCGAGCAGGGTTCACGACCATCACATCCACCGCGCTACTGTTTGGGAAGACGACATTGGGGATGCCGCCGTCTGCGCTGATCCTCATCGGTGTGCTCACCCCTAGCGCAGGCATCCTCGGCTCGCTCGCCTGGCCGCTCATCCAGCGCCGTCTAGCATGGTCGAACCTGCGCATCCTTGTCGTCCTAGTTGTGATGGCGTCGCTCATTCCGGCCTACGGCTGCCTCGGGTTCCTCCCCGTGTTCCAGTCTGGCGTGAAGTTCGGCGGCCTGACGACATGGGGCGAGATGTACGTCCTTGCTGTGTACTTCGTGAGTCGCTTGTGGCATCGCAGAGTCGTGCTTAGTGGGAGAAGCTTCTGACAGTCGGCCTTAACAGGGCTCGGTATATGGGGCCTTCCAAGGCTATGCTCGCGCATTCTACGCAGAACTCATCCCTCCAGGCGAGGAGGCGCGATGGTGAGTGGCATGCATTGTTGTACCTAATGCTAAGCTCTTGAGCTGACCTTTCTCCAGGTATGGCCTGTTCTCGATAACTGATAAGGTACGCACCGCGGATTTGCAACCAGCATGTTTGTACTCATCGATCTGTGTTTCGCACGGCAGTCGAGTTCCTTCGTGGGTCCGCTTTTCGTGGGCCTCATCGCGGACACGACGGGAAATATCCGCTATGCGTTCTTCTTCCTGGTGTTGATGGTGTGGCTGGCGGTGCCTATATTGATGTGTGTGGACGTGGAGCGCGGACGAGAGGATGCCAGGCAGTATACATACGACCAGGAGATATAGCTTGGGTGAGCGAACTTGTGATATGCTTGGACTGTAAATTAGCAGTGTCTCCGCTTTCAACGCTTCATGGGTTGTGACTATCCCGGCGGAATGCTTTGAGATTGATATATCTCAGACAGAGATCGCAGCTCTGACACTTGGGCTTTGTGTTTGTGTCCCTTCTGCGGCCGAGTACATGCAATGGTTTCTTCCGAGGCGGACCGGTACAAACGGAAGCGCCCATCGGCCGCAGATAAGATTAGATCTGGACGGCAAGGGCAGCTCGGGATCCCAAGATAGGCAGCTTCGCCAGCTCCTGGATTTATATTTATAACGCCATGTTCGCAGGGCCAGGAGCCGCACGGCCTGCCGCCTGCTGGTCGCTATCGCCCTCTTACAGCTCCAGCCATGTCCCAGGCCTCAGCAGAGCCGCAAGTCCCACCAGCCGCTGTCGACGAGCGGCAGCCGCTGCTTGCGATCGTCGAGCAGGACCCCGAGGAACAGCTGGATGATGTCGACGTTTCCCCTGAGAAGAAGAGCAGCTGGTGGACGTATAGCTGGTATGCGGTGTTGACGATATTGGTGGGCGTCGCGTTGGGATTCTTCATCAAGGGGTTCATCGACGCGGATGATGTCGAGGTGTGTTCGATCCGCAGGACTAGGGTCGACTACTGAGCGAACTTTCGACTAGTTTGACCTGGGAAAGGCACTGAAGAGTGCACTGGGAGGCGGGTTGAGTGGTGCTGCAGGTACGCTGAGCTGTCCTCGACTGGGTCTATCTGACAGCACCCGCCAGCCATGCTGCTGCAAGTGCTCACACTCATGCCGCTGCGCACGGTCATGAACTACCAGTACCGCTACGGCACGACCATGACCGCGGCGATCAACACCCTCTACGCCGACGGCGGCTGGACGCGCTACTACCAGGGGCTCACCGCTGCGCTCATCCAGGGCCCCGTCTCGCGCTTCGGCGACACCGCCGCGAACGCGGGCATCCTCGCGCTCCTGCAGAGCAACTCCTTCATGCGGCGCCTGCCCGCGCTCGCGAAGACCGTCTTCGCCAGCCTCGCCGCCGCGCTCTTCCGCATGATCCTCACCCCCGTCGACACCGTCAAGACGACGCTCCAGACGGAGGGCAAGCCCGGCCTCGCGCTCATCCGCGCGAAGATCCGGCGGTACGGCGTCGGCGCACTGTGGTACGGCGCGTGGGCGACCGCCGCGGCGACGTTCGTCGGACACTATCCGTGGTTCGGCACGTACAACTGGCTCGACGAGGTGCTCCCGCCGCCGAACACGCTGTTGGAGAAGCTCCTCCGCCGGGCGTTCATCGGCTTCTGCGCGTCGGTCGTGTCCGACACGATCTCGAACTCGTTGCGCGTCGTGAAGACGTACCGCCAGGTGCACCGCGCCCGCATCGGCTACATGGAGAGTGCGCGCGCTGTGATTGCCACAGACGGGCTGAAGGGTCTGTTCGGCCGCGGCCTCAAGACGAGGATATTGGCGAACGGTCTGCAGGGGCTGATGTTCTCGATCCTCTGGAGGTTCTTCTTGGATTTGTGAGTACCCATCCTGGCAGCCCTGAGGCCGAGCATTAATAGTCTTGGATCCTAGGTGGAACGAAAAGACGAAGTAGGAGGTCACCAAACTGATGACGGACCCATGGATGGTCATGTTGAGAGTCCTGTCTTGTATTGTCTTGTGGAGTGACTATATGCGCCCATATTGGTCCTCATGAGGTGCGATGTGAGGGATTTGCTTGGTGTAAGTCGAGGACCAGGGCGCGTTTGAGTGGTCCGGCGGCGAAAAGACGATGCGGAGGCCCGTGCATGGCGTCTTGCTCGTCGTTACGGCCCCTAGCCGCAGCGAAGGTGGAGGTTCAGGGCAAAGAAGACTGGTCAGTCGCGCAATAGGAGTAAGGCCCTTATGGGTTACTAACGCAGCAGCTGTGCGTTGCTGATGTGGCTTGACGGGGAACATCCTATGGTGACGTCTTGCGGGGCAACGCAGCTGAAGCTCGATCATTAATGTGCCCAGGAACGACAAGTGATGAGATCTCGCGAGACAGCGCCCCAGATTAATATTGGCATCTTCATGTGGGTGACACTGTTGGTCGACGTCCCTTAGGCCTGCTGGTATGATCGCTCTCGCAACAAGTTAAAGGTTGAGCATCACATCTCTTGACCCAACCCGTGTCAACTACTTTACACGTGTAGTACACTAGGACAACCACTGCCCATCACAAAGCACTCAATCGAGCTCGTCAATGTCCATCCCGCGTGCAACGATCTCATACGCGAGCTCACGCGCGAGCATCTCCTGGTCCTCCCGGCGGAACAGGTGCTCAAACAAGCCGACGCCGCCCTTGATGATCTTGCCGAAGTTGAGCGCACCGCTGCCCTGCGGCGGAGGATCGCGCGCCACGAGCTCGTCCTCGTCGAAGGCGCGAGCGAAGAGCTCCTCGAAGTCGCGTGCGAAGAGCTCGTCGTCGAACTCCCGGGCGATGAGTTCCTCGTCAATATCGCGGGCAAGGAGCTCGTCGTCGGACTCCCGGGCGAAGAGCGTCTCGTCCTCGAAGGCCCGGGCGAAGACATCCGCGCCCTCGAAGTCGCGCGCGTACAGGTCATAGAGCTGGCCGTTGTCGAACGAGCGAGAAAAGAGGTCTTCGTCGTCGAACGAGCGCGCAAAGAGCTCTTCGTCGTCGTACGCGCGAGCGTGGTGCGCGGCCTTGGCCTTCGTAGCGGGCTTGGCCTTCACAGCGGGCTTAGCCTTTACAGCGGGGTTTGCCTTTACAGCGGGTTTTGCCTTCGCAGCGGGTTGTGCCTTCGAAGCGGGTTTCGCCTTCGGAGACACAGGGGGCTTTGCCTTTGGAGACACGGGAGGCTTCGCCTTCGCAGACACGGGAGGATTCGCCTTCGCAGACACAGCAGGCTTGTCATGGGCGACAGTCGGAGGAGCCGCCGCGAGGTGGGAGTGCACGCCATGAGAGTGGGTGTCGTCGTGGTGCTCCCCGGTCAGGGAGTGAGCGCTGTGAGGGTGAGTACCGTCGTGGTGCTCCCCCGCGTGGTGAGCGGCGTGAGGGTGGGTGCCGTCATGGTGTTCCCCTGCGTGGTGAGCGCCGTGGGCACCGTGAGGGTGAGTGCCGGCGTGGTGCTCCCCTGCGTGGTGCGCGCTGTGAGAGTGAGTAGCGTCGTGGTGTTCCCCTGCGTGGTGAGCACCGTGAGCACCGTGAGGGTGAGTGCCGTCGTGGTGCTCCCCCGCGTGGTGAACGGCGTGAGGGTGAGTGCCGTCGTGGTGTTGCCCTGCGTGGTGCGCGCCGTGAGGGTGAGTAGCGTCGTGGTGCTCCCCCGCGTGGTGAGCGCCGTGTTGCTTGCCCTTGTGTCCGTGAGCGTGCTTCCCCTTATGGGCGTGCTTGCCCTTGCCAGAGTGCTTCCCCTTGCGGTGGTGCTTGCCCTCACCGGCGTGTCCACCCTTGTGGTGCTTGTGGTGGTGAGCAGCGGGATGCGCAGACGCAGGCGGGTTCTCGGAGCTAGCGGGAGATGTCAGGCCCAGCTCGGTGAAGAGAGAGCGGCGAGATACGTACATGAGGTCTCCAGCACGGGCCTCAACCGGAAGTGCAAGCGCGGGCACCGCGGACGCAGCGGCGATGACCAGAGGAAGGACGACGGAGAGACGCATGATGACTAGTAGAGGGGCGAGTATGAAGAATTTACAGCGGAGTAGTGGTGAAGAACGTAATCTGCGGATCGTTGGGTAAAGAAAGGGATATGAAAATTAAAAGCAAGGCTAGGACGCGATGCGTTAATTCAGACCATGTTGACGTCAAATTATAGCTACTCACTGGCCAGCACCTGTGCTTGGAGAATGAGCTCGGAAGGAGAAGGAAGGAGAGGAGGTGAGCTGAAGAACAACCGTAGACAACTGCAGCGTTTTATACCTAGCGTCCACGCTGCCCCCTCTGCGCCAAGGCTCGCCGTGAATTGGGCGCCATTGTCCGCGCTCTCGGTATCGAAGGTCGTCCGATTATGTTGTACTGCAACGCACGGTGGACAATCCCACACAACCAAGTTCTACACGCGCTGGGCACGGTCCAGAGCAGTCAGCCTCGAATCGGTACTAATCAAACTTGCCTGCAAGAGACTTGATTCTTCAAGGGCGGTCATCAGTAAGTAGCGGTCCTTCATCAATACCGTCTTGGGGCTCTAGCAACACGGTGCGCGGACATCGGGGCCTCCGTCCGGCCGTGGCGCCCGACGCATCGCCTTTGCTCTGTCCAGTCGCCCCGGCAGCGCAGAACGGGTAGCCCAGTGCAATGGCTGGGAAATTATCTCAAGGTGAAACCGTCTCGAGAAGAGAAGAAAGTCGACGGAATGGCATGAACAAGCGGAGACGTTGAATTCTGCGCCTCTGCAACATCGACCTGGAACTGTCGGGCTTTTTCAATTCACGTATAAACACAAAAGCAGACAGCTAACAATACTACACCTTATGCTGGATTTGAGGTAGTGGCACATCAATGCACTTGGAAATTGTGCCAGGATGACTCGGACAAGCACCATACCGCTTGAGGCCTCGTCACTGAGGTAAAGTCGCACTAGGTCGGTCTGGAACTCATGCATAACAAAGCAGTAGTCAGCATTATTCAGACAGAACTAGCCGACTCCCGGTCACAGATTCGCTTCGCGTGGGTTGTCGTTGCAGGTCGTAATCGAGAAGCACCAAGGGGTGTGGCGCAGTGGCGCATCGCTGGCGTTCAGTATGTGACATTGCCTAATGTGGGGATGATCGCACGCACATGATTGGCGAGGCCCGAGTCCCAGAAGAGCCGTCACGGTTGCGGGCAAGTTGAAGCACCAGCGGAACGCCTCTGCGACACACTTTTCACGGCCTGCGACTACAAACCGTACTGGGTATCCGTGTACACGATGGCGCGCAACGCGACGCGTCCTCTTGTACGTACTGCGAACGAGTTCGAAATGAATCACTGGTCACGAGCATAGCGCGTTGCAGCCGATCGAACACGTACATAAGAGGGTGCTTCCCCTTCGTTCGTTCCTCCCCGGTGCCTCACCTGTCAGTAAGCTAGTCTCTAGTATGCACTTCATAGGAGCACTTGTTAATAAATTGAACCAACCAGCACTCTGCTGCGTTCTGTTATCTACCCCTCATAGTACCATCGACGCCGCGGCCCACCTCTCACGTTCTCTATCACAACGCGCCGCAAGATGATGACCCATACTGAAATCGTCTTTGATGCTTCTGAGTCTTTCACACTCGAATATTCGCGCCGCCAGAGGTTCAAATATTACACCGTCCTGACTTCGATCCAACGGAGGCCCAAGCTCTGCGAGACTCCAGTCAACGATGTCAAACTCCGAGGCATACGTCGTGTGGAAACTTTCTGCCCATGCATATACAGCAGCCAGCTCAAATGACGCAACCCTAAGTACATTGGCAGGAACGTCGTAGTCGCCGCGGAGCTGTCGTTCACGAGCGACATACTAGAGACGCCGGTTGATGTAGATCGGCGTCGCCGCGGACCTAAGTAATAGTCAATGGCTCAGCGCTCAATCATTGCCCCCTCAATGCAGTACAAGTCACCCACAGTGTTTGTAAGATCAACCCTGCCTGCCTTCGGCAAGACCTCCGGGTGAGTCCTAAAGGCTAAGGGCGCTGTTTTGTGTCACTCTGAGCCTTCATTGCCCTTAGCGTCGCCTGCGGTCCGGCCGCGTCGTATCCGAACACCGTGGCGAATGAGACCAAGAATGAGACCAAGGAGATCAACGGTATCACCACAGACTACTGCTTGGCTCATCCAAAGTGATGTTCGGGCGGCTTTCAGGCGCTGCACGCACGGTCCACGGAGGAGTTGGCACAGACCATGGAGATCCTCGGCTTCCGCAGCATGGCTGGTAACGGAGCGCGAATGGGATCCTCGTCAAGCCTTCGCGGATGTAAGTACTACAGCGCCTGGACAGGCAAGGAAGGTTTCACTCCCTTTTCAACTGCAACAGAACAGCGACCACCGGTATTTATACCTGATACGACTCCAAGTGTTCAAGGTGACTATCAGCCGCCCACTCGGGTTTGGGCTTGGGTCAATGGGGTGCGGGAGGAGGGGACTGTGCCTCGGGGATCATTGATCAGCGCTCAGCGCTCAGCTTTCGTCGTAAGCTGTGTCTTACAAACACCAAGACTCGGAACGGGATGCGGACTTGGCGGCCTATATCAACGTCTGCTCACGTAAAGAGCTTCTGAACCCCCAGTTGGTTTGATTTACAGACTTCTACTGGTCGTACAACGAGGCGATGGGACTCACTTATTCCAGTGCCATAGTATCTGACCCAGCTGCCTTCGCCTCTCCAGTCGACGATGCCAGTGACAAGGATAGGTGGCGGGAGTATGACTACATCATCGTAGGCGGAGGTAGGTGTAAAGACAAGGCTTTGATTTGTGATTCCGAACTGCTCTCATAGGTACTGCTGGTTGTGTGCTTGCATCTCGCCTCTCTGAGGACCGCAATGTCACTGTGCTGCTTATTGAAGCAGGGAAAAGGTGCGCGTCGTCTCCCATTGGTATTAGCTACTACTGAACGCTGACAGCTGAATAGCTATGAGGGAGACTTCCCCACACGCATTCCTCTTGCATACACCAAGCTATTCAAGAGCGAGGTTGATTGGGACTACGTGACAACGTTAGTGCGTTTCGAAGACGATGCTGACATTGAATGAATGTGAAAACTGCAGGCCTCAAAATGGCATGAACAGCCGTAGGGTTCACTGGCCTCGCGGGAAGATATTAGGTGGTACTAGGTGAGGTGTATCAGTACATGCACTCCTTCAGCGGCGGCCCACACACTACACAGCACGATCAACGCCATGATATATCATCGCTGTGCACCGGAAGGTTTGGTACTTAAAAGGCTCTCTAAGGCTCTCTAACCCATCTATCAGACTTTGATGAGTGGGAGAGGCTCGGAGCGACTGGATGGAGCTACGCGGACCTTCGACCGTGCGTTGATTGACGTTGAATGGTTGCGCGTCTCTCACCGGGTCGGCCCACCAGATATTTCGATAAGGCAGAGCGCTACGCTCCGAGTACATTGTACCCACAAGTAAGGGTTGAAGAGCATGGATTGAAGGGTCCATGGCAGACGAACCATACCACAGAATTCGCGGTGAGTAGATTGTCTCTCTTTGATATACCGACTTACACCATGCGATCAAAGCCCATTTTAGATACGATACTGAATACTTGTGAGGAAGTGGGCATACCGTACAATCAGTGGGTCCCCCCTCTTACGATTGTCGTGACAGATCGCTGAAATACCGCGTGCAGCGACGTCAATTCCCCAAGAGGGACAATAGGCGCCACTCGTCTAGTCGGTTGCATCGACGATGGTGGCCGACGTTGGTACTTTCTCTGCATCCTAACCTATCGGTAACTCACCGTAGCGCAGGAAGCTCCTCAGCAACAGCATACTTGACGGCCGACGTTCTGAAGAGACCTAACTTGACTGTCGCGGTCCATTCGACTGTGGAAAGGATCCTCTTCGCACACAGCGCCAACGCGAATCCGCGTGCGGTGGGCGTCGAGATCTCAAAGAGCAAAACCTCGCCTCGGTACCGCGCATATGCACGCGGCGAAGTCATCCTATGTGCTGGGACTATCGTAACCCCGCAACTCCTGCTTGTTTCGGGCATTGGGTCCTCAGACGATCTACGGAAGCTCGACATTGAGGTCGTGCGCGATCTGCCCGCCGTAGGGAGGAATCTCAAGGACGTATGTCGCGATGAATTATATGCTGGGAGAAATATGAGATTTGACACTTCAGTGCAGCACTTGACCACTGGTCCAGTAAGGTTCCGCACCAAAGCAGATATTACATGGGATCGGTATAATCAGCCCTTACACGGGGTCATTGCCTTTCTGAGGTGGCTCTTCGCAGGCAGTGGACCTCTCTCTGCACTAGGGACATCTACTGCCGCCTTCGTACGATCGGACGATCCGAAGTACGTGACACGGTCTAAGGAACCGGATCTGTTCTGAAGTTGTCCGGTGTGCAGGCTATCGCGCTATTGGGAGGAGTCGACGAAAACCACGGTTCGAGACGCGACGTCAGGTCCCAGTGCGCCTGATATGGAACTCTTCTGGTTCCCATTGCTGTTCGGCATGGAAGACGGAGTGGTTGTGCCTACGTCAGGATCCTACGGTGTCACCATGGTCAGTCTTATGTTAGCGATTCTGGTCCGCATACATCGTCATCCTTATGTTTCAGGCTGCATCACTGCTTCGCCCCGAGAGCACGGGCCAAATCATCTTAGCATCTCGTAGCATATGGGACAAGCCAGTCATTGACCCACGGTGAGTTGAGGTACTGCTGGCCATTTCGAAGATGAGCTGACGGATACTCGCAGTTACCTTGAATCCGAGAATGACATAAATGTAGCTGTACGCGCTACGAGGCTGCTCTGTCGCATGGCTCGGGCCGAGCCTCTGAACTCCTTGCTGGACTGGACGACAACTGAAGACACCGACTACTTCTGGCCAGGGAACACCGACCCTAGTGAGGTCAGTGCGTCACAGAGATGTTCCCTTAACCCCCTTTGCTGACTCGAACGTCCGGGACGAAGCTGTCAGACGATGCACTGAAACAATGGATAAGGGATAATGCGAACCCAATTTTTCATCCTGTGAGTCACCGTACTACGACAAAATCGCGCTTATACTGAAGGATTTGCTACAGGTTGCATCCGCACGCATGGGAAAAGATCCACAAACAAGTGTCGTCGATCCTGAGCTACGGGTTCATGGCATCGCCGGTTTACGAGTAGTCGACGCCTCTGCATTCCCTGCGCAAGTCTCTGGCCATCCTTGCGCTGTCGTGGTTGCAATGGCCGAAAAGGCAGCCGAGCTTATCAAGGTGTCCGCGTCGCAATAACTGTCGGAAGTGACGGTGTCAGTCCGAGACCCGCTACTAGCCAATCCTAATTGAAGGCTGGACCATAGACACGGCGCAGTCACATTATATGGTAATGTATACACGAGTAGATGGGTACAGACAAGATATGAGGAAAACTGTTCCGCAGAGTTCTGCGCTTTTGCATCGACACATAATACATACAAGATGAAAGAACAACAGGTGATAAATACCAGTGGAATCAACTCAAGGTCATTTGGAACTCGGAAGCTTCCCCTCAAAACATGCCGCTCATACCCATCTGGATGCCATTTGAGCCCATGCCTGGGGCCATCGAGCTGCCACCGTTGGATATCATTGAGGACGATGGTGTGCTTGTGGCGGTAGTCGGACTAGCCGTAGCACCTCCCGAGCATTCGGCGGTCAGGTCTTGCATCATTTTAGCATAGCGATCTGCCGACAGACCGACCATCAGTCGCCGGTCGTCGTCACGGTGAGATGAAAAGGTGACATACAAGCAATGGGTATGCGCTCCCCAATCTGCGACATAGCAGTACTAGAGCTCGCTGAGTATATGCATCAAGCATCACTGGCCATTAAGATCTTACCGTATGAAATCTAGCTCTGCGATCAGCGTTGCCGTTTGTTGCGCTGCTTTTGACTGAACGGCAACGCGTAGGAAGCGGATGAGCACTCGACCAGCCATGAACCACGCAGCCTATGTGAGATGACGTGAGCAAACCTAGCCTCGATTGACGTGCACTACTGACCACAACGAACTGTCCCAGCAGCGACAGATTATAGCTGGTCGCGCAAACATCGTACATGAGATTCAGAATGCCCCGTGCAGCGTTCAAAATGTTCAAAGACGAATGGCATGTCTTTGACTCGATGTGCGCGTGCGTCTCGTGGAGGAGGATAACAGCGCTGTTCGTGCGAATACCGTTGAGTCAACGGTCAGACGTCTACATGAATCGACGCACAGATGGGCTATCGTACACGCCGAGAATAGATGTGCGTTCACGACCCCGTTCTTGACCGGCCGCTTCAAGTGTGGCGGGATCGAGCTTTGAAAGTCGGTGATGAGCTGGTTGAGCTCGGAGAATGCAGGCGTGTGCCGGATATCCTGGGATGGCGTGCTCTGCCCGTTAGGGTCGACTGTGAAGGTCGACGGGTCGCCGGCGTAGTATTTCGCGCGGAAACGGGCGTTGAAGTTCTTCACCCGAGAGAGAAGCATGCACGACTTGATATAGAGGACGAACGGATCCGTCTGCCGTGGTGGGTGCCGGATGAGGACATCATGATCGTGGGACCACTGTCGTTCGTGTGTAGCCACAGACCTCTGCAGCCCGGATCAGCTAAAATTAGAGCTAGCCAACGAAGACATGAGCATACCATTTCCTCGAAATCTTCGCCACAGACGGGTAGCATTTGGGATATATCTTGGTCATCGAGCATCAGCGCCCATCCGTGGCCAGATCCCATGGTGCGCTCCAGTGCATATGCTGTATGACTGTCAATCCCAGTCTTAGCTTAATGATATGCCAAGTTCGCACCTAGCCAGAAGGTATTCCGCCTCAGCTCTTCTTCTAAGACGGAATTCGCCGGGGGCAAGAGCGACGGTGGTCTGGCGCTGCCTGAGATTGGGTGGAAAGGCGCGGCGACGTTCAAGCCCATTGGCAGGCATGTACGCAGTGAACGCGCAATCGACATGTACGCCTGCGTGATGCGTCAAGCACCGCATTTTTATACTACTTCGTGGAATCGTACCGCTGCCCATCTGCGTCCGTGCGCCGTCAACATGTGTAACACGAAGTGGAATCACTGAGGACGTACTTCGCTGATGTCCAATACCAGGTGCTAAGAATGATCTCGGCTGCATGACAACTGGTGAGTGGAAGCGCGGACAGCAGATCCGCGTAGCAGGCAGACCTTGCAGCCCTTGTATGATATCTTCTCCGACCGATGAGGCGCTCAAAATAGCAGTGTTCGCATGCTGTACTTGTACCTCCGCGAAGGAGTACGGTTTTCGCCCATGCATCCAGTGTCTACTATCGAATGGGTCGTCTGGGCAACATTTAGTGCGTGCGATGTGGTAGGCCATGCGGGGCTCACCCATCGGGAAAGGCGATTTTGTTGGATTCGGCGAAGGATCGACTGCCGCAGTGTAGAAGCTGCCGATGGCACATATCGCGTGGAGTAACGCGGTCGAGGGAAAGCGTGGGTGTGTCGGAGGGAGCGAGAGGTCGGCCATAAACGTCGGACGGTGAAGGAGCCTACTCGCATCTGCGTTGAATGAGAAGTATGCATCCACTCTGCCGACGGTCGTGATTCTGCGTCAGGATGCCATAGCGAAAAGTCGCGTTGCACTTACAGATGTCTCAATAGCTCAGGACTCGGCAGATTCTTTGACCAGCCGAGCGCAAAGACTTCCTCAACGGGGTGCGGCCTCGGCACATGCAGCGCAACGCTCTCCTCGATCTGCATATCCTGGTCATTGACCGAGAGCGCAGCGGCCTCCGCCAAACTGTTCAGCGCGCCCGCTTGTAGATGTTGTGACATGTCGTATCCGCCGGTCAGGAGCGGGTCGATGACGCTGTCCGGTGTCGATGTGAATGGGCCCTGATAAATGAGCGTGCGCGCCTCGAGATCAGGCCCTGGCAGGAGGGCAGGGTCGATCGGGATATGCGAGGGCCCTGGCACACCGAGCTGAGGGTGGCCGCCCAGCTGCGGGGGTCCGCCGAAGTGCAGCGGTCCAGGAAAGCTGGACGGGCCCGCTTCTTCGTGCGACTCAGCAAGCAACGCCTCGAGTTCCGCTGGTAGTAGGAGAAGTGTGAGTTGCAGAGACGCGGCGCGATCGGATGACGTGGGTACGTCACCTATCCTGGTTTCGAGCTTCTCCAGCCGGCCTTCTGGCGGATCTTGTTGTAGTAGCCCGGACAGATTGGGGACTGTATCATCGGGGTAGATACGGCGAGTTGACAGGTGGACCGAGCGGATGACTTACCGAGGTCGTACGTGCAGTCCGGTCCCGCAGGCATCGTCGCGCCGGGTGGCGCATGCGCGAGCGCATATGCATGCGAGCGGATACATGTTGTACAGGGCCGTTTCGCGTCACTGTGGTCGGGAAGCAAGTGTATGAGAATCGAAATCTACTTGCGAAAGGGCACAAAATGAAATCTGTAGAGGTAGTCGATTGATCATTGTACTCGGGGTTCGGTCCAACCCAGTGAGAACATTGTGGTTCATGATCTGTCAAGAATATCTTGACACAGCGAAGCCGCAATGTTATGAGTTAGGCGCAGACTGCCGCGAGGCCTGACAAACTTCCTTGCTAAATGCGGATCACTGGTTATATGCGGGGAGGCTCCGGGATCTAATTCGAAATTGTGGTGGGCGTGGATGTCATAAACCAGCGTAGTGCAACTGTCCGATAATATCAACGCCAGTGGGCTCGATGGCTGAGAGCCGTCTAGGTCCAGACAAAACCTGGCATTGCCGGAAGAGCTATCAATATAGCTCTTCCATACGGTGCGAGCCTCGCCGTCTACATCTCTGAAGTCAGCGACATGGGCATTGTCACTGCAAGGACCGAAGACGCGAGGGATCGCAGCCTTGGTTAAGATGCTAGCCACTTTGCCTGATTGCAAGCCTGCCGGACCAAGGTCAGCTGTCCCACACAAGGTCTGCCCGCGTAGCGATACCATGTCCGCAGGCAGCATAGGAATGAATAGAAGACGGTGATTCGCAGAACCATAACGTGGGGCCTGTATGGGGCGATCACGAGATATCTGGTAGTAAAGAGAATCCTGGCTGTTACGGTATGCGGCAGTTCCACGTTCAGAGTTCTGCTTCTTGTTCGTGTGACTGAGGCCGTGTGCACGACGACGCCCGAAGCGGTCATAGGGACCATTGCGATGGTCAGTGGTGTTCGGACGGTGTAAGGGACCCATAGCAGTGCCTCTGGCGTCTCCGTGGACAGAGCGTCCGCGCTGCTAGGCCCAAGCAGGACTGCGGTCAGGGAAAGTGCGGACGTGCCTTTCCCATCTTTCCCTGCGTGAACGGACTTAAGAGTAGGTGGACGATGAAGCCTCTCCGCATATAACCGTGATCTTCTGTGTAGATCCGACTCGGTGGGCGGTGCCCAGACCGACTCGAATCCCTTTATTTGCAGACTCGGGCAGTTGGGAGATTGAATGTGACACCCACCATTTCTAACGCATATATTAGTCCAGTAGCTTCACGGCCAACGAGAACAACCACTCACCAGCTTCCGCTTCCGACACTGGTGGCACGCCTTCGGTGGCACACATAGTGCGAGTGAGTTCACAGTCTATGTGACACAGCGAGGTACGGCATGCGTACCTGGTTGCGCTTGAGAGCATGGGGGTTGTTCGGTGACCGCCAGTCGCCGGCGTGGACATGAGTGAAAGTGGTCGAGGCTGCCTTCGGCATCGGGGAGCGTGTCGTCGCCGCAGCGTCGCCGTTGTCGCTAACAGCGAGCAAGAAGACCGAGTCATCACCGGCGCATCGCCGAGGCTGTACAATATTGACGCGTCACTGTCACATCCTCAGTAACATCTGTGACTCCCGAGAAGTGGCAGCCGTTTCCTGCTCCTGTTCCAGTCCTGTTCAGCGTCTTATGCTCAGCAGAATCGCATAATGTATCCTCTCCTCCAGCAACAGCTTTGTTTTGATTTTGTATCTGTTTGGTGAGCAATTCAACTTCTGGGCCGAGGCCGGGTTCACTGCGCGGTCACGTGGACCAAATTGTCATAGACAGCGTCTAACACCTCGCTACGTGGTCAGTACCAGCTTTGTATTGACCGCCATTACCACTTTCATGGGACAAATGTACGGAAGCCTAGCAACCTGACTTCTGTGTTGAATAGGCTGCGACTGCTGCTCATTGTGGACGGCCCGAGCGTAGACTGAGCGGGAAAATAGGTGAGTCGCAGCAAAGTTGAGTCTTGCCCGAAACTGATTGTCACCGGTGTATTGCTCAGGTAGATCCTGCTCGCATAGGTCACAGCGATCTACACTCACCTCTGACGCTGCCGAGTGCGCGCGTGAACGGACCTGGTTAACAGTAACGCACTATGTCTACCCGGAAAGGCCTCTTCCTGTTAGCCTGGGTTTTCTTCGTTCATCTCGCTGGGCTCTATCTCTACACCCGCGGATTTCTCTTGACTCGACTGGCACTTTCGGAGAGAACGACTTGCGCGGATGGTTCCTGCACGCTCGCGCCAACGCACAGGAGAGCTATAGTTCTGATCATCGATGCATTACGGTTCGACTTCGTCAGCCCAGACCCGCCGCAGCCAGTCTCCCCGTACCATCACAATGTACTGACTGTGGCAAGCGATATGACCACTGCACACCCTGGGCACTCGTTCCTCTTCGATTCATTCGCAGACCCGCCAACGACGACCTCCCAGCGCATCAAAGGTCTCACGACAGGCTCGCTCCCCACATTCATCGACATGGGCGCGAACTTTGGTAGTGCATCGGTCGCGGAGGACACCCTCATCAGCCAGCTTCAAGATGCAGGCAAGAAGGTACGCCGCGTGTCCTCACTCGCGTCCCAGACGTCTCATAACGTGAAGCCCAGGTAGCCTTCATGGGTGATGACACCTGGACGACCGTCTTCACCGACGTGTTCTCGCCGGAGATGTGCTTCCCGTACGAGTCGTTCAACGTCGAGGACCTCCACACCGTCGACGAGGGCGTTGTTCGGCATCTGTTCCCGCTTATGAGCAATGCGTCAGCACAATGGGACGTCATCATCGGACACTTCCTTGGCGTGGACCACGTCGGGCACCGGGTAGGGCCTGACCACCCAAAGATGCACGCCAAGCTCACGCAAATGGACGACGTGCTCCGACGCGTTGTCCGCGAGATGGAGGATGACACGCTCCTCGTTGTCCTGGGAGACCACGGGATGGACAGACGAGGCGATCACGGCGGCGACGGTGTACTCGAGACGTCCGCCGCACTGTGGATCTACAGCAAGACCCCTCTACTCCTGGGGCATAACTCTGCACCGGTGTCGCTACTGCCAACTCGGCTTTTCCCCGGCGCCAATGTTCCTCACCGATCCGTCCAACAGATCGACCTCGTTCCCTCCCTCGCACTGCTCCTTGGGATCCCCATCCCCTACAACAACCTTGGGACCGTCATTCCTGAGCTCTTCGGTCGCAGCGGACAGCTTGAGCGTGCACTCGAGCTGAACACGAAGCAGGTAAAGCAGTACCTCGACACCTACCGCGCTAGCGCCTCCGGGGGCGAGCTCGACGGCGCGTGGGGCGACTTGCAAGAACGATGGGCGGCCGTGCGAAATACGCAGGGCGACGAGACACAGTGGATCGCCATGGAGGCGTACACGCGCTTCGCACTCGCAGTGTGCCGCGAGCTCTGGGCCCAATTCAATGTCACACTCATCGGGCTGGGGTTGACGGTCCTGGTTACGGGTACAGTCGCCTCCGTAGCACTCTTTGCCAAGCTTGGCGAACTCAAGGACGACTGGGTGGATTGGGCTGCAAAGACGCGTTGGCTCTGCGTGCGCGGGATGGCCGCAGGATCCGCCCTTGGTGTTATAGCGTATATTCCACTGCGGCCGTTCATGAAGGGTGTCGACGCCGTCCATTGCATCCTGTTCGGCGCCCCGTTGGTGTCGTCGCTCGTCATCATTGCCACCGCGCGGCCCAAAGCATCCAGCCTTCGGCCGTCGTCTTCCCACATTCTGCTTATCCTGCATGCGCTCGCCTTCGCTTCCAACTCATTCACGATCTGGGAGGACCGCATCATCACCTACCTGCTCATTTCGTCCGTCGTGCCCTCTGTCCTCGCCGGGTTCTCCGCGCCCACCGCGCGCCTGCGCTACCGGATCCTCGGCTTCTCCGCGCTCTTCGCGTTCTGCGTGCGTGCAATGGCGGCGAGCACAGTCTGCAGGGAGGAACAGCACCCCTACTGCCACGTCACATTCTTCGCGTCGTCCTCCCTCCCCGAGCCGCCACTCCTCGTGTTACTGCTCGCAGTGCCGACCGCGCTTGGGCTGCCCTTCATCATCCGGCGGTTCCTACAGGTGTCAAAGTCAGACAATGGCGTCGCGGAGATTGTGCTGCCGTTGCTCCTCCCCGTGGTGTTCCTCCAAGGCGCAGCGCATTGGATCGCGGAGTGGCTTGACACTGCGGAAGTGCTGGGTCCGGAATGGCACTGGGTGCTACGGACAGGCCGGACGTTGATGGCGCAGGGCGCGATGGGCAGTACCGTTCTGTTCGGCCTGTTCGTGTGGTGGTACCATCCGCTCTGTCTGTCTGTCAGCGCCAAGAAGCAAGCAGGCGCGGATAGCGCTGGCGGGGAGGCGAAGACCAAGACGCAAGTCACCATCCTTGGCTTCGGCAATGCCTTTGGCGCCTCGTACCTCGTCCTGTGGTGCGGGATACTCGGCATCGTGTACACCGTGATGCAGCTGACTGGGCAACTTGTTCTCGCACTGGCGGCAATCGCGGTTCTGGCGCACGTCGAGGTCGTAGACAGCGTTCGCGACGTGCGCGCGCTCGAGGCCGCCTTCGCCTCCAAGACGCCCTCCGCCGCGCTCGACGCCGACGGGCGCCCCACCCCGGCCGTTCGCTTCGCAGAGATCCTGCCGCTCGCCCTCCTCTCCCTGCACACCTTCTACGCGACGGGCCACCAGTCTGCCGTCGCGTCGATCCAGTGGAAGGCCGCGTTCGTGCTCACGCCGACGCTCAACTTCGGGTGGTCGCTCGTGACGGTCGTGCTGAACACGCTCGGCCCGCAGTTCCTGCTCGCGCTCGCGGTCCCGCTCGTGGCGCTCTGGAACGTCGAGCCGCTGCCACACCCTGCCGCCGACGTGTTCGTGACCGGAGGCGCGGTGCGCGCGGCGCTGGGCATGATGCTGTACCATTCGTTGCTCCTGCTGGGCAGCGCGGCGAGCTCGGCGTGGCTTCGCAGGCATCTGATGGTGTGGAAGGTCTTTGCGCCTAGGTTCATGAACGCGGCTGTCACGATGATCGCGGTGGACGTCGCGGTTCTGCTGGGTGTTGGGGTCGGAGTGGGGAGGATCACTGCCCAGGCGGCGAAGTTGTTTGGGGGAATGGGACAGCAACAATCCTCGGACAACGCACAACGTCCTGAAAGTAAGAAATAATCATCCTTATGCGATGTGATGCACATCCCTTGTTGGGGAGGAATAGAAGTCGGATGGTCAGCCACCGGTGGCTGATGAGCGTGTGTCAAGCGGCTAAACAGCAACGGGGGACGCTTCATCCACAATCTACACGATTGTTCTCCTAGAGCAACTCGGGTCAGTGGTCCTCCAGCCTAACCGACTGACATAACTCACAGATCCCTGAGCTCGCTGCCTCGCGTGCACCAACTGTCCTTGCTCTGCACAAGTGACAGCCTGGTCACAACGACCAACACCAAGGGGAAATACTTGTCGCAGAGGCTGAACATGGTACGTGTTCGCTATGAGGACTCCGCGCCGTCGCCATTACTTCGGCCGGGTACCATGCAGATGGCAGCGTCGCTTACCAGCAGGTGTACGTGTGGCAGGCTACCGCAATAGGCAAACATCAGTTGCAGAAACCTATTCAGAGCCTCAGCCGTACACCATAAGAGGACGTGGACTTGTGAAACCACCGGTGGCTAATACGACGAGCTTTTGCCATCCCTGGATCTATTCTCGTAACTTTACAGTGTCGTCCGTAAGCATGCATGCATCCGTTGAGACAAAAATTGCGCCAATGCGATTGAGTGCCAGCGACGGGAGGGAATACGTACGCGTAGTCAGTAGCATTAATGTGCTCCCGAACTACACGATTGTTCTCTACGGGCCGCTAGGGTGGCCAACTCCGCGATGCCAGCCTGAGAATGCCATCAACAGAATTGGCCGGATTAGGCAGGTCGCGTGGATGGACCCTTGGACGTGCACCGCATCAGGGAAGGGCATTTCCGAAGACAATACGAAGGCGGACGTAATTATGGATCGGGCCACGAAGGCAGCGCGAGGCCTGCCTCTCCTTTTGTTACCACACTCTAATCCTTATAATACTGACCCCTCTTCCTGATCCAACTGTCACAGTGCCCCGAACAATAGCCAGCCGCGGCATCGCGCAGACCGCGTCCACCAATCCTCAGGCCGCTCCTGTCCATGCCTTCGTCCAACCTACAGCTTCCACACCTCGTTTCCTTCTGCGCGTCCTTCGAGCTCAGGACGAACCGACATTGTCGCCCGGTCACGATCGCTTCCAAGAAGTGGGCCGCGCAGTGCCCGTATCTGGACCACGAAGAACGCCAAGCGGTCGCCGGTCTGCAGCCCGGCCTCCTCGCCTCGCTCTGCTATCCGACATGCGATGTCGCGCAGCTGCAGTTCATCGCACAAGTCCTGATAGTCGTGGTGCATTGGCTGGACAAGCCAAATGCGGCAGGAGACGAGAGATTCATCGACCAGTACGTGCTCCGATCTCTCGTTCAAGTTCAACAGTTCCGGCCACCTGTTTGTGCAATATCGCGTTGCCCATCGAAACCCGCAATCATGGGCAGTCTCCTCCCCATCCGCTCAGCCGAGGCAGGGGGTCCCATGTCGATAGCTTCTGCAATGGTCAATCTCGCCCACCACACTTCAGCCACAATCCCGCCACCTACATTTGATTCGCATTGTACTGACCATCGACACGGGGCCCCCTACCTCCCTCAGCGGTTGGGTAGGAGACTGAATCACGGGAGGAGTGCTCCTTTATGATAGGAGCATTGCTACCAGACGGATTCCCAGCTAAAATGGCACCTCGTCAGTTTGCTGGTGTCGATGATCCACGACAATCGTACTCTGTCGCGGGCACGTTCGAGCACGAGTGTATGCCAACGCTGTAGAATCCGAGAGGGGATGGCAGTGGGAGTCTGCGTTGCAGTTGTATGGAGGAGCGAATCTTCCAGCATTCGGACCATGTTGTGGGAGGTGCTCGTCGATCGTCTGGCCGCGGGGTGCCCCTTAAGTTCTGACCTTGGCGTGCTCACACCATACTGATGCTGCCATTCCGCAGAGTCTGCGCAAAGCTCCCCCGGGATCGGCAGAAGTCATGGCAGCCACGATTCCGGCGGCACCTCCAGGCCTTCCGTGGCGCCCGGGTACTCGTCCAGACGGACAACGAACGCGCCGTGGTCCCTGACTTGGAGTCGTATATCCCCCTCCGCCAGGAATCCTCGTGCGCCAAGATCCTTCTGGACATGATCGAGTATGCCGTCGGACTACACGTCCCCGACGAGGTGTACGAAGACCCCATCCTCAGACAACTGCGGAGGAACGCATATGATGTTATGGCGTGGTCCATAGTACGTCTCTGTTCCCCGTGTAATAATGCCCGTTTGCTCATGCGCCGCAGGACATCGCCTCCGTCGCGAGCAAGCAGGCGACGAACGACAAGCACAACCTCGTCCTCGTGCTCATGGCCGAGCGCCGCCTGACCCTGCAGAGCGCCGTGCACGCCGCCGGCGCGCTCGTCAAGAAGACCGTCGGCGCCTTCCTCGAGAACGAACGGCTCCTGCTCGCGCAGCTGCCCTCGTTCGGGCCGTGCGTCGCCGCGGACGTGCGCCGCTACGTCCAGGGCATGCGCGACTGCATCGTCGGCCTCACACACTGGCTCTACGAGACGGACCGGTTCTTCGGCGACGCAGGGGACGACGTGCGGGACCTCGGCTGGGTCTTCCTCCCGTCGCGGTGACCGGCCAGCTCGGCGGCGGGAGTTGGCTTGTTGTACTATATGTACCATGGTTCACGCTCATCATCGCTCTCATGCTCTGACACGCGCACGGACTCGTGTAGACTTACAGCGCTACTTACTACCCACATACCACCAGACTCGGCTACGGGCACCTTCGTTCCGCCGCCCGCCCCTTAATTCTTGATTAACCCCCGCGTTTCGCATTAATGATAGACGGTATCGTGTGTACGTAGCATCCTCCGCGGCACTTGACTGGACCGGACGAGGAATAGGATCCTGATCATTGGAGCTGCTTGCGGACGATGCCCTGGCTGGCGGCGAGCCGTGCAAAGCGGCTGTCTGGGCGCGCGAGGAGGTCCTCAGGAGTACCATGTTCGACCAGCTCGCCGTCGTCCATGACGAGGATCACGTCGAAGTCGACGATCGTGGCTGCATAGGAGGATACCTTGGCATCAGCTATTTCACATCGCGGACACTCGCTCCGCCGGGAACGCACCGATGCGATGCGCCACGGCGATGACAGTGCAGTCGGACAGCTCTGTGCGGATGACGGCGCGTATCTTCTCGTCCGTGTGCAGGTCGAGGCTGCGGGCCGGCGCGCTCAGCTGGCTGGAACACTTGCAGCGACGTCCGCGAGTGCGATGCTCACCTGCTGCTCGCTTCATCGAGGACGACGATCTTCCTCCTGCGCAGAAGCACTCTCGACAGGCAGAGAAGTTGCATCTGCCAGCGGCTGCATCAGACGCTATGTCCATCCGTGCAATACTCATAACCACGCACCTGTCCTTTTGACAAGGAGCCGCCGTCTTCGAGCACCGTGTCCAGTTTCTCCGGGAGCCCCGCGACCGCGTCACTCATGCCGACGCGGTCAAGGGCAACCCAGATCTCCGCGTCTGCGTGTACTTCCTCTGGGTCGAGGTTCGAACGAATCGACGCGTGCCAGACGAACGGGTCTTGTGCGACGAGACTACGGTGGGGGCGGGCGCGGGAAGGCGTGAGGCGTGAGAAACAGAGAGGTAGAGGCAGCATAACTTACCTGAGGGCTTTGCGTAGGTGGAAGCGGGACAGACTGTGGATGTCCACGCCGTCGATGCTGATCTGACCGGATACAAGCGAGTCGCTCAGGCCGCGGAACAGGGCCAGTATCATACTACTCTTCCCCGAGCTGCAGTATATCCTGATCTCAGCCTTGCGATCCCGCAGACGAGAGATGGGGCCTACCCAGATCTGCCGCAGATGCCGATTTTCATCCCGGCGAAAGCGTGGAACGACACGTTTGACACGGCAGGCTTCAACTCCGGTCTGTCGACTTTGGGTCAGAATCGTCCGAAGACGGTGGAAGGGGTCACTGGGCCAGTTACTCACTGATACCGCATACTGACGGCCTTGAATTCGACGCTGCCGACAGAGGGCCAGTCCGCATCTGGTGTAGAGTAGACTGTGGAGTCTTCTTCGGGAGGCAGGTTCACGATTTCAAGTATCCTTGAGATCGAGACTGAGCCGTTCTCGACCTGCGCCATACTCTAGGTTGCCTCAGAGCGAAGGTCACAGACAGATGGTACAGGGACGAACCATCAATAAGAATGAAAGCCAATTAGAGAGGCCCGTGAGGTTAGACAATGCCAAACCCAAGCTGTTAAGAAATGGCGCTGAGTTAAACGTCGATCAGAAAGGGAGGGGCGTACGAAGAGGGGTTTACTGTCCGACGGAGACCGATCGTCAAGGCAGCAAGGCCGACAGCGATGACAAATGACATGAACGCAAGTATAGTACGGCTGTGATTGGATCGTCAGTCTCGTAGTAGTGATACGGTATGCTGTAGCTTACAGGAACCTCAATCCACCGAAGCGATAGTAGTACGGTGTCTGCGGTCCAAGTATCAACAATGTCGCTCAACCGATGGATGATTGACGCACCTGGCTACGGTTGAGATGTACGTCGTTTTGGTTCTGGAAATAGTTCTCAACATGAAGGGCTCTGCCAAATCTCGGTGTGAATGTGTCTATGAGGTCGCAAGAGCGCGGAACGTACCGAATTGTCTCGAGCCCAGATAGAGTTGTAGCGAAAACAGAATACAACGGCGATTTGCTGGATGCTTCGAGGTGCTGAAGCTGTTTAGACGTGCGCTACGAGAGGAGATCAGGCGTTGAGGTCATTTGCTTTCGGGCTCATCTCACCAGATAGAATATCGTTGTCATGAAGTAAAATGCTCCGAGAGGGAACACGGAGAGGGCGAGCAATGGGGTCTAATACCAGAAATATAGTGCATGACTCAACTGTCTTTATATTATAGGTACGTACCGGGATGAAGATGAAGACCAACGTCCCCACTAGATGTCGCAAGGTAAGCACACGATTGGGGCAGGTGGTGACAGTGACATACCAAGCATTACGAAGATTGACAACGCATCCAACAGATTGATCGGCCACTCAAAGTCTATCATGAAGATATCCTGCGAGGGCTCAATTAATCTCCCGATGGATGAGATGAAGTCCGACACAGATGACCTACCTGAGAGAAGCGATTGATGATCCTTCCAGCAGGCGTGGACATAAAGAACGAAGGTGCTGCATGAAGCAGCCCATTCAGCTCCTCCCCATGTACTTCCACGCTACCACGACTAGACGATAGGTGTTAGTGTCATCAGCAGGTCATCAACGGCCCTTGACGCACTATGCCACGAGCACAGCAAACTGCCAAAACGAAAATGCACTACAGATGCTGTGTGAGCTGGTCATCCATGATGTTGATGACTATTATCCATACATGGTCATGAGCGACACGAGGGAGAATCCGGCGTAGCCACCGGCCCATGCCCCAGGATGCGCGCCGTTGCTGTCTGCCCATTGCTGAAGATACACCTAGTTGAATGAGTGTGTCAATTGAGATTAGACGACAGTATGTGTGGAAAATACCTGTATCCCAAGCCTCATACCGGCATACATCGCGATTCCGAACTGACAACGGGGTCAAAACCTGCCTTGAGTCGAACTTCTAAATACATACCATTGCAACAACGAAGTTGAACCGTCCAACCATGCGGGTATAGAATCGGTAGGGAGTGAACCCTAACGATTCCTTGGTCAGCGCTGCCTCTCCAGATTCCTCTTCGGGAATATCTTCAGTAGGTACATCTGTGGATAGTTCACGCGAGGCGGCGCTGGTCGCATGCTGTACTGCTGTACTTTCTACCAAGACCCCATAGCCTTGCTTCGTAATATCTGACAGGGCTCCTTGGTATCGGATTCGACCGGAATCAAGGACGATGATTCTATGCGCAGCATGCAGGTGCTTTACTGAGGCACATACTTCTGCTTGAGTATCGACAACGGTGGAGGAAATGATAAAGGTACTGACCATTGTGCGTCACCAATAGGACAGCTTTGTGCGCTAAAATGCCGCCTGAGCCGAAGAGAGAATGAAAGACTAGCGTGAAATCATGATGAGCGACACAGCAGAGCTACAAAGAGCAGACACTCACTGTGCGATTCGCTCTCGGCATCCAGAGCACTCAGTGGATCGTCCAAAAGAGTCCAGGGAGCATCCGCGTAGACGGCCCGCGCGAGGGCCTGTGAAATATCAATATTCATCAATCGGAGCCGTTGCGAGATTAGTATCACGTACGATTCGTTGCTTCTGACCTCCACTCAGTCTACGGCCTTTTTCTCCGAGCCACGTACCGTCCCCAGCCGGCATACCGCGTATATCTAGCGTAAGGGCACAGGCATCTAGCACTCGAGAGTAGCGTTCGGCCTGGAACGCCCGCCCAAACAGGATGTTGTCGCGAATGGTACCCGGGATGATGAGAGCGTTCTGGGATGCATACGCACAGCGTGCCGAAAGCTTTTTGTACTGTCCAGCGGTTGCGGTGGTCTCTCCGAGAATAGACAGCAGTAACAAGGACTTGCCCTACGACGGGACCATACGCAGCGGGTCAGTACATGAGGAGAAAGTCAATCGCATAGAACACTCACCGAGGCGACAGCACCTACGCACATGTAGAGCTTTGCCTCGTCGCAGTGAAGCGTGATGTCCTTCAAGTAGGGCTCGGTATCCGGAGCCCACGCAAAGGCGGCCTGCTTCATGACGATCGGCGGAGGCGTACGGGTTTCCAATTCGATCCCGTCAGCACCCTCATACAACTGTGCCAACTTCTCACTGCCGCCGAGAAACTCGTCTTGACGTTCGTCCAAGAGGAGAAATCGCTCTATCCGTTGCAGAGAGGCCCAGGATGCCGCAAGGACGGGGAACTGCTGGCCTGTAGAGTAGCATAAGCATTAAAACAAAGCAACAGTGGAGAAATATAACCTAGGAAGTTCAGCGGTTGCGAGACTAGATTCAGACTTGTGACAATCGTAAAGAGACGTTGTACGTCGAGCGGTTGCTTTCCATGACGCGTGGAAAGAAGAACGTATGGGCCAAGTACAGACAAGATGCAGAGTATACCAGCGGTGTTGGACAATGACGATGAAAGAACAATACCGTTGCTGATCGTTCACATGAGTTGAGAACTATACAAAGAGCGTCGGCATATCCCGGGATGCGGGATGTACTTACTAGAACCTGCGAGCCTCGTTCATTTCCTCCAGCCGTAGCTTGTCCACCTTCGCCCCGAGTATCTCTTCATAGCAGGACCATTTGATGGACAGGAAGTTACTAATCATTGACGAAATGAACTTGACACGTCGGTCGGTAGCTGCAAGCCATGCGTTTTGTCGCCGGCCGACAGATCGACCGATGAACGAGGTAGCGACAATCAGTAGGACTGTAACCACTATCGGAAGGAAAGCAGGCCAAGTCACCTTGGATGAGAAGCGAGTAAGTATGTTAGGCCGAACAGCATGGACGCAGAACATACTTGCTGGTATACAATGACGATCGTCAGTCCAACGGAAACTAGACAAGCCCAGAGTTCATGGAAGCTTTGAGCTCCTTCACAAACTCGTTCGACGTCGACAGACCTGAACGACAATCAAAATCCTCGTTGGACGTAACTCACAGTGACCGCGCTGGATGCTCACATGTATGTGCTCGCAACACCACCACCCAGAGATCGACTTGCGGCAGAGGAGAGCTTGAGGCTCTTGGAGTATATGACACCCACAAGGGCGCCCCTCAGCCCCACAGTCGCGTCAAATACCTATAGCAAATAAGCAACGAAGAAGAAAGTATAAGGGTGAGCCTGTACTCACCTTCTCCCAGTACAAGGACGTAGTGATTGCGATCAGAGCGTATACGCAAACGAATGCTCCGACGAGCGCCCAGCCCTGAGTGTCCGAGTTGTCGGAAGTGACGAAGCTGATCGTTCTGTTTACCAGCAGCGGTTGAGCAAACGTGACCAGGAGTAGCGCTAGCCGTGGCCCGGCTGGAGCGAGAAACTTCATCGCGAAGGCCTTCGTTGTCGCCCGAGCTAGGTAATTACTTTGTCGTCTATGCATTGATGTATGAGATAGCCCTACTGCAACTCGTTAAAGCGTCGCGACGTACCCTGTGGTCGATAGCGCATCCTGCAGAGCTACGCGCGTACTCAGCGCGGACAGTTCGTCGGGGATCATGCCACAATCGTCGATGGTGAGGACCTTCTTTCGACCTGTCCACATCAAAGGGAGTAGCCAGAGATACAGAGAGCGAGTGATGAAGCTCGACGTCGATACAGGAGCCAGGACCTGTTTGGCGAGTGTCAGCGTGGGGCTTCCATCGACAGGAATTCCCGACCTTATGACGCAGCAACCTTCGCTTCTCTACCAGTTCCGCGCATAGAATCAGCATGTATGACGTCGTCACCAAGGTCCAAACCACGGCGGCAGGATGTGCGCTGCCAAACAGGCCGGTTTTCAGGTAAGTCCGCAGCGTCACAGAGCAGAACAGGCTCTTGAGAAGCGTGTAACAAATGACCAGCATGCTGGGTGCGGGCGACCGGAAGTGTTCCATGAGGACCAAGATGCCCAGTGGGATCTAGTGCTCTGGTTGTTAGTTCCGTGTACGCGTCATCGAAGTATCGACTCACGGATGCAATTAGCTGTAGTGCGGGAGAAGGGACCCATACTGGTATCAAGCCTTGATCCTTCGTTTGCAGAGTGAAGAATAGATTCGCGGCGGTACTGGCTATGGTCAAGAGCACGGAACCCAGTTTCGAAAGCACGAGCGGCCATCCGGGGGCTCCTAGCAAGCTTTTCGTGCGGGAAAGCGCGGCGAGTCGCACCAAAGCTAATGCAATGAAGATGACGTCGGGGGTGAACGAGAGAATCCTACAAAGAAGCGCGTAGTTAGTGCAGTGCTTCGGAGCTTTAGTGCCATGCGTGGACCAACGTTTGCTCGAAATACAAGGTGAAGTCTAGATTCCTGCACGTCGATGCAGGGCCGAACGCGCTATCCTGGTGACAAGAAAGCACCATGTCGACGAAGTTGTGAGAGCTTAATCAACCCGCTTGACGCGAACTTGAAGGGCTGCGGGCGATCCTTCCCTGCTTCAGGCCGTCACTGACTGTCTTTATGAGATCGCTGAGAGCGCAGCTATCAAGCCTTCGGGGCCGATCCTCGAGTCAACCTGCGTAGCGGATTGCCCCTAGCCAAAGGACTGCGCCGCGGGTGTCGATCCATATGGAACCCGAGGTTCTGGGCTTGCGCGATACTAAGTACTACTGCGCAAACCAGTCAGTACTTGGCATGACGCGCTTCGGTTGATTCAGTGCGGGTAGCACTTACTGTACTACATGCACCGGCCACCTGCGCAGGACGAGATCTACGCCTGCGGCAGCATGCCCTCGGCAAAGCGACAAAGACGCAATATTGAACTTGAACATCGAACTGATCCCACTAGTCGACTCTGGGCAAGCTTGCCATACGATGGGAGACAATGACTCTCGCGACAAATGAACGTAATTGGGAGTCGGTATTGCACAACTTATACGCTCAGGGCACACCCACCCGGTTAGTCTCCTCCGGAGTCCGGCGGAGGAGGAGGAGGAGGAGGAGGTGCGCGCAGTCGACGCTCCGGCCCGGGCAACGTCCGGGCATCGAGTTTTATCCGCAAGCAAAGGCAAACAGTGCAGCCACACCCCCACCGTGGCCTTGACAATGACATTGACAGCTGTCAGTGTGACCACTAGCGCTGCAGAGGTATGTTTAATTTTGATCCTTCTACGAACCGTTATGAGGAGAACACTGACTGACTTCAGGCAATTTCAGACTTCACTTAGCAGACGCCTGGAATGTAATCCAGAATACGAGTGAAGAACACCTGTGTCGAAAGGGTGATCTACGTCTAGGACGCCGCTGCACTTGAAGCGAGTCACACAGTAGAACGCGTGAGGCGAGGGCATGCGAATCGATCCAAGATACGATAGAAGAGCTCAGCCCAGCCGTGTATTCCCTCGGTCATACGTGCTCCATATTATATCGCTGATCGCTACCTTCCCCTCAGATTCGTAGCTTTCTCACATCGTGACGCTGCGCGTAAGCTCGTCTTGCCTCTACTCAAAGAGGTCTTCGCGGGGACCTGCCCAGGGGGGACTAGCGCGTAAGTGACTTGATATAGGCCTGCGCGGATCGTCTCTCATAACTTACGCAGGCACGCAGCATGCCTAACGCCTCCCCCATGGTAGCTGTCAGTCTGTCAGCCCGGCGAACACAACGTTAACGGGTTGCTGGTGCCCTTTGAAATCCGGTTCGACGCGCGGCGAAGGTTCGCTCCATTGCGCGCGCCCGTACCGACAACGCAAGAGCGCCCGCACATCCTTCTGTGGCGCGTCCTCCTTGGCTTCTTGGCGGCCGTACACGACAAGCGGATAGCCCTTCTCAGAGATGTGTGACTCCTCGCACACGCGACTGGGAATCTCGCAGGCTCGGTGGGGCGGAACGGTGCAGCTGCACGTCGTATGAGAAGGCGGTCGGGCCATCCCTTCTCACGCCAGGTGCGGTGCGCATTCATTGGACTACGGGGGCGAGGCAGAGCGTTGTACGTCTTGAGGCGTGCGGGATGCGGCGGTACGAAGCCACCAACGCCCGGGTGTAGTGGCTGGTGATGTGAATGCGCGCGACGACGTCAGGCTTCGCGTTCCAGAGGCCGCTTCGAATTCCCAGCAATGTGGGCGACACGGTAGGAGAGAGAAGCGGTCGCGGGCACTGGGTTCTCTGGACGTGAATGCTATTCGTCCGCGCAGCGGCACATTGATGGATACTCGTGTGCGCGGGGATTCTGGCGCTTTGCTCGCGCTGTTAATAAGGCGGGCGCGACGTTGGGAGGAACCTCCCCGCTTCGATACCTCGGCCTTCATTGTTGGGCGTCGGTATGTACCTCATTCTCAGATCATAGATACTCGGCACTCATTCGAGCAGGAAAAGCGACTGGCACAACGTGCGTTGCGTGTATAACGGTGTGAGTGTCCTATAACAGCGTTCACGTATGAGAGGCCGGGAGACTGACGACTACATACAGCTCTTGACACATCGGCCTCCAAGGCTACTTCGACGTATCGTGCTCTTTCCGTCCAGTGAGTGAGGATTGGTCACTGAGGCCCTCGAGCTAACCGTAAATGGGACCCAACACTAGGTTTGCGATCATGCTCGCGCTGATAGCTCCGACCTTCCCGGAAACTTCGGTCCACGCCTGGCGCAGTCCAGAGACCCGAGGCTATAAGGAGCTATGCGCAAGTGCCCGCCCGAGTGATAGGGAACGGCGCGAAGGACCCCATGCACGCCATTCGCTTGTCAGAGAAGGCCGCGCGGCTCCTGTTCACAGAGTACCGCCGGAGCTCCTGATACACATCTTCCTCCTCGTCCGCGACTCCACTCGCACTACCTCCTGGATCGGGCTCACGCACGTATGTCGGCCGTGGCGGACGGTCGCGCTCGGGACGCCTCTCCTGTGGACGACCATCCCTGCGGACAAAGGGCTCCCGTATCTTCGCGCCTCGCTCGAGCGTTCGAGCGATGTTCTGGTCGATGTCATTTCACAGCGCGCGTCCATCAGCGTCGACGCCCTGCTTGACACAATGCGTCCGCACGCCCACCGCCTCCGAACGTTGAAATTCCCGGCGCGCTCCTGTGATACAGTTGAGAAGCTCATCACAGATATTGTCGCCCCAGCGGCCCGTCTACAGGACCTCGCTTTGCAAGTGCATACTCCATCTCACAACTATGCCCTTCCGCAACTCGCATTACCTGAGCGCGAGTGGACTGGCCTCCGTACTCTGCAGTTGAAGGGCATCGCGCTGCCAGGGCACGCATCGTCCATGACGAACCTGACCTCTCTGATCCTATCTGACGTTGTCGCCGGAGCGCGCGGGGCTCTGGAGTCGCTGATGGACCAGTTGTATGACTGTCGGTGCCTCAGACACCTGTCAATATCTGACAACTGTCCGTCCCCTCTTCGGGACGACGATACCCAGGGTACCATCCGAGGACGCTCGATTTCCTTACCGATGCTTGAGACGCTGAAGCTCTCGGCCCACGCTTCTGTGGTGTCCGAGATCCTCGCATCCGTCTCTGTGCCCGCGCACACACGCACCGACGTCAAGTGCGTGCTGGACCCACGCCAAACCTCGCACAATCTCATCTCCGCCATCCTCCGGCGCGGGCCGTGCAACTGGGAGAGCTTCGCGCGGGCCCGCTCGCTGTACCTCTTCGTCGCGTCGAACATCTTCCGGGTGCGCGCGCTGGACGCGGGTGCGAAGCTGCTCGACATGGACATCGAGTGCAATCCGCCGATGGACATGTCGTACCTGCTCCCGGACGCGCTGTGCGATCTGACGCAGGTGTTCGGGTGCGCGCCCGTCCGCGAGCTGCAGGTGTTCGGGGACCAGCGCCTGATCAGCCAGGACGACTGGCTGGAATCGCTGATGCGACTGCCTGGGCTGGAGGCGCTGGAGGTGGGGTCGCGCGGGCAGGCGGACGCGCTCTTCCAGGCTCTGAGCCTGTCCTCCTCCACGCCGCGCATGTGTCCGAGGCTGCGGAAGATGAGCGTGGGCGGAGCGGACGTCGACGAGCAGGCGGCGGACGTCCTCCTCACGTGCCTCGACAGCCGCGCGGCGCACGATCTGCGGCTCGACGTGCTGGCCATGCGAAAGCGCGCGGGCCGGGCTCCCCTCACTGCCTGCACTGTCCAGTCCATCCTCACCACCGTGGGTGTCTTCGACTACAGGTAGCCCTCTGAGTCTCCTCGCTATCCATCCTGCAATATCCATGTAGCTTGCCACTCACTAGACACATAGAAGAGTACTTCCATCTGTATGCACACGCTAATATTCCTCGCTCGGACGTACAGACTCTGCAGGAGCAGTCGGTGTGACTTCCATCGGTAGGCCAGCCTCCCTCCACGCGGCATAGCCGCCAATAAGATCCGTCGCACGCAGCAGCCCCAGATCGTGCAGCGAGACCGCAGCAAAGGACGACGCGTCGCCCTCATGGTCGAATATCACGATCCGCGTGTCGTAGCGGTTGGCGACCGCAAGCCGCTGAGGCGACTGCGGGTCGAGGTGCCACTCGAGCAGGCCGCGCTCGACGACGATCGCGCCGTGGATGCCCCCGTCCTGCATGCGCTGCCGTGCGGGGCGTATGTCGACGAGGATGATCGCATACGGACGGTTCGTGCTGAGCAGATCCTCGTATGCTTGCTGTGGGGTGAGCCTCTCAAGACGTGCGCGCGCGTGCGACAGGAGCTGCTGAACGCTGCGCGCCCCCGGCGGCGGCGCGAGGGGATCGGCGGGTACGCGCGCGGCCTTGCGGAGGCAGTCCCACAGCGCGAGCTCGTCGTAGGCCGTCGCAGCGAGGTTGCGCACAGAGCAGATCCACAGCTGCGAGACCGCCGAGGACCCCTCCGTGACGCGTCCGAGGAACTTCGCGCTGCTGAGCACGCCGGCCCGCTGGACTAGCTCGTCCGTGGTGCCGCAGAAGACCAGCGGGCTGCGCTCCGCCGGGGACGCGCTCGGGCAGCCGATGGCGAAGAGGAATCTCTGCCTGAAAGACACGCGCCTGATGGCCGAGGCGACCAGCCCCAGGAACTGCTCGTCTGCAGAGCGCGACAGCGTGAAGACCACGCCGATCTTTGCCCCATCCACATCCTCGGCTTGTTGCACGGCGCGCACTGCCATGCTGTCCGCGGTTCGCTGTCGCACGCCGTGCAGCGTGCGCGACGGCGGGCTGGCCGGATCGACGGATGCGATGCTCGCGGTGCGGTGCCCGGACGCGCTCATAGTCCCGCTGCCAGCAGAGAGCGGGATCTCCGGGTCGAGTGGAATGACTTCTCCGTAGCTGCTTGATGAATACGACGCAGTGTCATCTCGGAAACTGTCAGGCATGTCGAGCAATGAGTATTATATCTCTTTTACGATCAACCGTTCGTACCTTCGCCGACTCGGGACCCGACTACTGGTAGGAACCATCGGACGCAGATCGATGAACAAGCAACCCACAGAGAATGTCGCGTGCTTAGAAGAAGACGTCAACAACTTGAGGAAACAAGGTCAGCCTGAGGATCGTCGGCGCAGCGCAAGCTAGGGCACACGCGTGCGCGCCAGGTCCCGCGCCACAACTTAAGGAAGTGGCCAGTGAGTAGTGCCGAGTCAGGCATGGGAGCAATATTGTTGCCTTGAGAGCAAGTACTTTGAGGTACGAGCGAGCACCGTCCATGGTGGCCGCTGGTCTGTCGCTGGTCGTAGTTGGTGGTCAAGTCGATCTTCAACTTAGCGCTCTGCGTGCGCAGCGATAATCGCTTACACCAACTCTGATTCCAGTGTTGTGCCTCCTGGCCGGAATCCGACCAAGTCGACAGCTCCGACTGACCGGTCGGAGATCCGGCCATTCCGCCCGCAGGAATCCAGGAATCCACGTGATATGTCGCCGCCGGTGGCGGTCGTCCGCGCGCTGGTATGTAGCACTAAGCAGATGAACATCGAACGGGTACGTTTGCGGTGGAATTGCTCAGGATGGAGGGGCTTGTGGGGTCAGCCATAGAGTACAGTATACAACAGATAATGCACCCAGGAATGAGCACCATTTCGCCTGCACTATCTGTCTCACCCCTCGGCAGCCAAGTCCAGCAACAGTCCGAAATGGCGAGGTCGGCAAGATGTGTGGTGCCGCGTGAGCCTGGAACGGAGATGTCCTCCCAGACACAGAGAGGATCTGAGCTTTCACTTTGGAGGAAATTTGGTGCAGGGAGAGGTTCCTCACGGCGGCATGCTCATTTTCGGCGCGATCGCGAACAATTTGCGGTTGCGACTCGCAGCCTCGGAGGTGTTGGGGGCAATTCTCGCTACGGCTCTCGGACCAGTGGTACTGCTGTGCACTACGGTACCTAGGATGTGGATCGAGACTCCAAGCTACAAGAAATCAATGCATATATCAACTACAGTAACCTCTCACTTATGAATCTACGATAGGCCACCTGGTTGTCGTCAGACTGCCGATGAAGCAGCTGGCCCAGCTGCCTGTCAACACATTTCTTATATCAGACTTTCACCTGTCTTCCTTTGGTGCAGCATTCGTGCGAGTTCCTGTTGTATGCCATGGGGTGATCATAGAAGCAGATGCACCTCCAATTCCGGCTTTGAGGAGTGCCCGTTGAGCCATCTCCTTGGGCACTAGTATCGGCCATGAGCAGGTTGCCGTCGCAGCACAGACAAGAGATCAAAGCGATCGAGTATATTGATAATGTCCTACGCTACATCGCGCAAAGGACAACGCGTAGACCACCGTGACGCGAGTCACGCGACGCGCGTCGCGCACCGCGGCAGTCGCCCGTAATCGAGTCACATGCCGGTTCTATTCAGCCAATCAAAGCTGTGGCTGATACGCCTGGGAAAGACGACAGCTGTCGGAAATCCGACAGGATCAGTTACGGCTGCCGGCTCCGGCCATTCCTGAACGCAGGAACTGCGGTCGGTCGGTCGGAGGCACAACACTGCCTGCGTTCAGGAATGGCCGGAGCCGGCAGCCGTAACTGATCCTGTCGGATTTCCGACAGCTGTCGTCTTTCCCAGGCGTATCAGCCACAGCTTTGATTGGCTGAATAGAACCGGCATGTGACTCGATTACGGGCGACTGCCGCGGTGCGCGACGCGCGTCGCGTGACTCGCGTCACGGTGGTCTACGCGTTGTCCTTTGCGCGATGTAGCGTAGGACATTATCAATATACTCGATCGCTTTGATCTCTTGTCTGTGCTGCGACGGCAACCTGCTCATGGCCGATACTAGTGCCCAAGGAGATGGCTCAACGGGCACTCCTCAAAGCCGGAATTGGAGGTGCATCTGCTTCTATGATCACCCCATGGCATACAACAGGAACTCGCACGAATGCTGCACCAAAGGAAGACAGGTGAAAGTCTGATATAAGAAATGTGTTGACAGGCAGCTGGGCCAGCTGCTTCATCGGCAGTCTGACGACAACCAGGTGGCCTATCGTAGATTCATAAGTGAGAGGTTACTGTAGTTGATATATGCATTGATTTCTTGTAGCTTGGAGTCTCGATCCACATCCTAGGTACCGTAGTGCACAGCAGTACCACTGGTCCGAGAGCCGTAGCGAGAATTGCCCCCAACACCTCCGAGGCTGCGAGTCGCAACCGCAAATTGTTCGCGATCGCGCCGAAAATGAGCATGCCGCCGTGAGGAACCTCTCCCTGCACCAAATTTCCTCCAAAGTGAAAGCTCAGATCCTCTCTGTGTCTGGGAGGACATCTCCGTTCCAGGCTCACGCGGCACCACACATCTTGCCGACCTCGCCATTTCGGACTGTTGCTGGACTTGGCTGCCGAGGGGTGAGACAGATAGTGCAGGCGAAATGGTGCTCATTCCTGGGTGCATTATCTGTTGTATACTGTACTCTATGGCTGACCCCACAAGCCCCTCCATCCTGAGCAATTCCACCGCAAACGTACCCGTTCGATGTTCATCTGCTTAGTGCTACATACCAGCGCGCGGACGACCGCCACCGGCGGCGACATATCACGTGGATTCCTGGATTCCTGCGGGCGGAATGGCCGGATCTCCGACCGGTCAGTCGGAGCTGTCGACTTGGTCGGATTCCGGCCAGGAGGCACAACACTGAACGCAGGAACTGCGGTCGGTCGGTCGGAGGCACAACACTGACTCTGAATCAACCGATCTAGGATCTCGAAGCCATGCAAATAGCATCGGAGAACACTGACACAAGACGTACAGATCTCATCTATGAGTCCAACGAGTTCGAGCTTCACTGCCGCTCGATGGTCGCGGACTCCTCCGCCCTCAAGAGCCCCAGTCTCTGTTCGATGCCATCTCCAATCGCAGCAGCAGCCGAGAACCCATCCCGGGCCTCCATCCGCGTAATGCGGTCCGCCGCCAGACCGGGCAGCGCATCTACCTCGACGATGCTCTCGCCGGTGCCAGGCGCGTTCGCGAGGTCCCGCTGGCTGAGGCCTCGCGAGACGATCTCGCCCACCTTGTCCAGTGCGGACTGCCTGACGAGGAGCCTCTCCGCGTCGACCTTCTCATCCGCAGCAGGGCTTGCAGTTGCAGGGAAGTCGGGGGCGTGGCGGGGGTGGTACAGAGCGACCACCTCGGGGGACGATGGCATGGGAGGACTCAGCGGGACGACGTGCCAGTGGTGGGGCTTCTTCAGCCTCCCACGGTAGGGCGAGGACGTGCTGGTGGACGGGAACGGAAGCGGGTCTGGTTCCCTCCTCGTGTGGAGCTTGTTGGCACGCCTTTCCGGAGTTGGTGCGGATCCCCCGGGTGCGTTGTACCGATCCGCAGACACCTGCAGGTCGAGCGAGGGCGTCGACCCGAACTCGCTGAAGAAGAGCTGAGAGTGCAGCGGCGGCGACATCACCTGCGGAGGGCTCGACGGCAGGACAGACGAGTCGACGCGCGCCAGGGGAGGCGCGACCGGTGGGTACTCATCCGTCCGTGAGAGGCTGGGGGCGCACGCAACGGGGCCCGACCTCTTCGTCGGGCTCCGTTTCACAGGGAGGGCGGTGTATGAGTCCTCGGTGCGGATCGACGGCGAGGGCGACCAGGAGGCGATCCATTTCCAGGCGGGGTTCTCGCGCGCAGGCGTGCCGCCTTCGGATCCGTCCTCGAGGCGGTCCCTGCCCAACAGGTGGCCGTGTTCGTGGTCAGCGCCGTGCATGTCGGCTTCCGTGTCCTCTTCGATGATCCTGAATCCAGGCGGCGAGAGGATGGGCGGCCGGCCGGCCATCTCGCGCATCAGGGAGTTCGCCCGGCTCGGATTGCCTGCAGAGCCCGCTCGCTGCAAGTCCTCGACGTTGAAGTCCGGGTCGTTCCGCCGATGTCCACGCCTTGAGCTGACACGCCGTACAGGTGTGCCCGGCACCCGACCCGTTTCCACGTCTGGAAGATATTCTGCCTTGTCTTTGGCAGGCCTACGCAGAGTTCCGAACTTCAGCCGTTCCATGATAGCGCGCCGGATGGACTTGTGTCGCAGCGTGTCGTAAGGCACATCGTCGTCCCCAGGGCTGAGCAGTTCCGGCGAGGCGATTTGGCCAGGCAAACGCGTCCCCGACCGTTCAGGCCCATTGCTGTCCATGGGCATAGCCCCCGCGTCCTCCGAGTTGGCATCATCTTCGACCGCAGAGTAGAGATTGTTCATCGACGTGCGAGGGACACGCGACGAGAGCTGTCGTCCAACAACAGAGATCGGTGTGACCGGAGCCGCCGCCGACATAGCCTGAGAGTGACGGCTCGATCGAGAGAAAGCGCGCGCGAGCCAACCCTCCTTCTTTGAATCCGTGCGGCCACGAAGAAGTTTCGAGCTCTCGGTGGCAGAACCAGACGAGCTACTGCCTTGCGGTGCACTGTCTTCGGTGAAGCCCGGTGGAGGAGCATAGCGCGGGCCAGAGTGCAAGATCGAAGAGCCGTGTCCTTGCTTGTCGCGACGTCGTACTTGCCAGCGGAGTAAGTACCATGTGAAGAGAGCCCCAGCTATGGCCGCCAGCACAGCAAACAGGGGAGCCAGATACGCTATGTCGAACCCTGAGTGTGAGTAGGCCGTGGATTTCTGCGAAGAAGTGCCGTTGGAGGGCGGCAGCGCCGTGATCCTGATGATGGAGCCGGACGACGTTGTCGAGGCAGAACTTGTCGCGACTGGATGAACAACAGATGACAGTGCAGAATCAGTCACGGAGATGGTGACCAGAGATGGTGCTGGGGTCGATGCAAGAGGTACAGCTGTCGCCGCGCCTTCGGCGGTCGTCGCGCCCCACGCAGGATACGGCCACCAATAGTCGTAGCTGCTCGTGGACGCCATAGTCAGCGTGCACCTCCAAGTTGAATCAAGAGCACCTTAGGAGTCTGAACAGGGTCGGGTGGGCTGAGGCTGCGTCTGCTTGCGGGGCGCATTGATATCTCGGCTGACATTCCGAACTGGGCTGGACCGGCCATTTCACGACGAGGCGGCTGACAACTGCATCCCGGGCACTGCCCCCCCCCGAGCAGATGATGAGTACTCCTAGGACGAAGACGCTGTACTGGGGCCATGGTGAATTGGGACTTGAAGATCATCCGAAGTCGCCAGTCGACTAGTAAATTGTGAGAGCGCGTAGTTCGAACAGTCCTGTGCAGTACGCGCCATAAAACCCGCTTCCGTTGCCTGCCATAAACTCGCGAGATATCCCAGGCGTTGCGCTGTAAGCAAGTGGGTTGGACGAGGTGGACTAAAATCTACTAAAATTGAAGTGGTTCGAAGAAGAGCGCGTATAGAGCGCTGAACGAACTCTGTGGCGTGGGAAGCGACCTGGAGGACTGCATCTGCCCGATCAGGAAAGTCTGTGCCTCGTGGGATTAAACGCCAGCAATGTGTTTGCAACCTCCTCCATTTCGAACGTAGTCTAAGTCTGAACAGTTCAACTTTTTATCGAGGCTGACATGAACTGTGCTGTTGGAATGGAGATGGGTGCATACGTCGTACTGGACGACTAACCGCTGGCACTAGGGGCGCTGTGGCGGTGTGCTATCTATTTCTGGACCTCAAGTACGTCGTGGAAACAGTTGATGTTATGCCATCGTGTACGGGCAATGCGTTTCGTAAAGCTGAAGAATGATGATGTGCCGACATATCCTGCTCGTCAGATAGATCCAGGAGGGGGGCGCTGCCGAGGTGGCTGTTCGTCAGTAGGCAGCCTGTCACGACTCGATGTCTATAAATTCTGGGGTCTGTCGACTCGAATGCCTCAGCTCAATTCCCCTCGTTCTTTCAACATTCTGAGCTCGCCTCTCAAGCTTAGGTGCTGGTTGGTGAGTGGATCTGACAAACGCTGTCGAAATGAACTATACTAATACACCATCCTTCTGCCACAGCCTAGCTTGTTTGAATCGCATTCTCTCTTCACGATCCATTGATTCACGACTTACGTTCTCCTTCGACTTCTCTCCCTTCCCCTCCTATCCCTTCCTCAACTAGTCACGATGCGCACGTCTACTATCCTCCCTCTCCTCATTGCTGCTGCGTCCCTCGCGCCGTCGTTCGCTTTTCCTCTTGCTCCTACCCAGGCCCCGTGCGTACTGTATCCTTTATCATGCACTCCATGTGACTGAGTACACCCACTCACTAGGGAGACACCTGCAGGCTCTGCGCCTATGGATGGCGAGCACCCAGAGCAAGTTGGCCCGATGGGACCCGGTACCGCATCGCCCCACCGTTCTGCCGCACACATGCACGCTACCGGCGAACATGCACAGGCGGCTCACAAGAGTGGCCAGAGATACGGACAACGCAAGCACGGCAAGGGACAGCACAAGTACGGCGAGCCTGACCTCCGCGGCTCGTACCGTCACACGGGGCAGCGTCGCCCTCAGCGCGGCACCGCCGCTCAGGGTCAGGGTCAGGGTCACCACATGAGCACCGTCGGCCACGACGATGCTGCTCAGCACCCCGCCCGCCCCAGCGCCACCCAGGATCAAACTCAGCCTCAGCCCGCAGGTGTTTCCAGCCAGCCAGCCCAAGCCCGCGCTTTCGAGGAAGAAGAGCTGTATGGCCGTGACTTCGATGAGGAGCTCTTCGCCCGCGCATTTGTGGACGAGCTCGTCGCGCGTAAGGTCAACTGGGGCAAGGTCGGAAACGTCGTGGGCGACATAGCTAGCGTCGCGAAGTTCATTCCCTTTAAGCGCGAAGACTCCGAAGAGATCCTCGCTCGTGCAATTGAGGACGAGCTCATGACACGCAAGGTGAACTGGGGCAAGGTCGGAAACGTCGTGGGCGACATAGCGAGCGTCGCGAAGTTCATTCCCTTCAAGCGCGAGGACGATGAACTGCTCGCTCGCGCATACGAGCTCATGATGGCGCGTGACGCCATGGTCATCGACGAGCTGGACTGAGCGACTGGAGCACATTGATATCGGATGGACACAGAGGACATCGAGTTGAACCTGTAGGTGTACTACAGTGTGATAAGTCAATCGTCGTGTAGACTTCGTAGAATGCGATTGTTATTATCATGGATTCGGTAGCCATTCCCATGAGTCATATCGTATATCCAAAAGTACCTATGCGCGTGTCACCACACAGGTCCACAATTGGCGGCCAAATGGCTGCTCCGTGGTCGCCGACCGTCTCCGTCGAACTTGTTGACTCCCACCGTCGTTACCTCACCTGAAAACCTCACTGCCTATGGCAGCGACGGTGGTGGCTCACGCCGGGTGCCACTCAACGCTGCAAGTGCATGCGGGTAAGTATTACAAGGGATTGCTTCGCTTCGCTCCGCCTGGCCGGTAGGGCTTGCTTGAAGCTTGCCCAGAGGTTGTTTGAACGAGTATGAGAAAACCGTAGGTGACGGAGGTGACGATAGTCGGTGTTTGCGCACACAAAGGGGCGACAAACAGCTGCCCGGGCCCCTGCGGAGCTCGAGGAGGAGTAGGTTCCTAGCAAGCAGCTAAGGCAAATCATGAGGCTGACCATGATGAACCTATCCTTGAAAGGGAAGGTCATCATCAGATGAGTTAAATGTCGAACATAAAGGGAAAGGCGAAGACGGTGAATGTGCATGTGGGAGATGCCAAACAGATGTCAACGAATTCACCGGATATGCATATAATAGTAGTAATATGTCGAAGGAAGATATGATGAGACGATGCGACTTCCTGATCGTCTAGTCCTCCATTCCGTTTCCGACGTCGGGTGCGCTCAGCCTTTTGAACTGCGATGGCACAGTGGTGGTCGTCACTTACTTCCCTTCGACTAAGGATAACCAACCATCCTTTCAGTACTTCCGACGCTCTCCTGGCGTCCTACATCCTACACGATCTTGAACACAGGAACAGCCTGCTGCCGTGCACATAATGGAACATTGCATGGAGCGCTAGAACGCCTCGGCGGAAGACGCCGCGCGACCGGAGGTGCCAGCTTCACCTGCTGCACGGCGGCACCCGTTGTGCAGGCGGCAAGCGCAATTACCGCTCGAGCATTCGAGGACGAGGCGCTTCCCCCCGCGACCTTGATGAGGAGCTGTTCGCCAGCGCCATTACAAACGAACTCATCGCTCGCAAGGTGAACTGGAAGAATGTCAGCAGTACCGCGGTCACGGTGGCCGGCGACATTAATGGCAAATTCCTCTTGCATTTGCGCTCGAGCGAGTATCCTGTGATGGTGAAGAGTGAGTTTGGACGAGCTCGATTAGTGTGTTGCTATTCTATCGCATGTAGAGAGTGTAGTACGCACCCACCCATAGCAATGAATTGTCATTGGTCGTACAATCAGGCTGCCAAAACGTCGTCAAGCGTACTGGAAGTTAAACACTTGGGACCGCGATTGACGCTTAGCGTCTCGGTATGCCAGCGGTGACAAGAAAGAGTCAGTGATACAAGATACCGCTTAGTGTGTAATAAATCGCGCCAACACCTCCTACATATACACGACCTACGTGGCTGTGTTCGTCTCCAGATGTCGCTGATCCCAATCCGACGGCATCTCTCCCTTCAGATTCTCGTAGAAGTCTCTCGTCATACCAGCCTGCTCTCTATCCTCGATGTTGAACGGACCCTTGACGTCGCCTCGCCAGCAGCGCTTCACTTCATCGCGGAACGTCTGCACCGGATCAACGCCCTGCTTTTCGCATATCCACGTGAACCACCGGTGCCCGGTCGTGACGTGCGTCACCTCGTCCCTGTGGACTATGTTTAGCACGTCGACACTCTCCGTATCGCCTCCCCGGCGGAACTTCGCGATTGTACCGGGGTTGACGTCGAGCCCGCGTGCTTCGTGCACCAAATGGATGATGGCCAGCCGTGCGCGCAGGGAGTTGAATGTAACCCGAGCGGATTCCCATAGGGATGCGTGGACAGGGAGTGAGCCATAGGGAGTGTCGGGGGAGAGTGAGGAGAGACGTGATGTCAGCAATGAGAAGTGCTTGGATTCGTCCAGTGCCATTTTGGCGAAATCGGAGAAGAATGCCGGCGGAAGATCAGGGTGCTCTGGCCCATATCTAGCCATGATGTCCCATCTTGAGGGACGTAATGCGGCGTCAGACATGATATGCGGATATGACGCGTGTACCTACGCCAGGTCAATACTGGCATAATGAGATCAGCAAGCTTCAAGTGACGATACACGAGCATCGCAAACCCGTGGCTTCGCCACGGGTTTACGGGGCGATTTTTTCATTCTATGCTTCATGTAACTTTTAAGATTTCATACTTATGCAATGCCAGACCTGGGCTTCGCCTCAGGTCTGGCGGCAGTTCTTTCATTCTGTGCTTTGTGTTACTATGAAGGTTATATTCTTGTGCATTGCCGACCCGTGGCAAAGCCACGGGTCTTGCAGGCGATTTGAAAATTCAATGCTTCATGTAATTATTGTAATAAATGCTTTGGCGTGCCAGCCTGTGGCGAAGCCACAGGCTGGCAGCATACCCGTTAGTCAATGCTTTGTGTACCTACTGGAATAGATGCTCTGGCATGCCAGCCTGTGGCTCCGCCACAGGCTGGCGGCGTACCCGGTACTCAATGCTACATGTTACTCCTTTGAACTGCAGTGCGGAGGGCGCCCGAGGGCATATCCTGGTGTGTATATTGGTTCCCGTTATGTACTTACCTCCTTGCACCCGCCACGATGCCTCGGGAACACCTCAAGAAATTTCCCAATGGGTTTCTCAAGTTTCCCGGGGACACCTCGGGCGAGGATACACTGGTGAGCGGAGGGCGCCCGAGAGCAGCTTTCCTGTCAACATTACCTCCCGTCATCATGCCCGTTGCCCATCACACACGCCGCGACGCCTCGGGAAACCCGCTGAAATGTCCTGACTTGCCGAAGGGGTTTCCCGTTCAAGGTCCCGCCGCTCCTTTCGCGCGCGTCGGGGACGCGTCGGGCAGGGACCGCGCAAGCGCCGGGGAAGCGGAAGGCGCTGGGCCCGTTAGAGTGGTAAGGATTGGGCGCACATGGTTTGCCACGCGGCCAACGTGCGCTCCATGTGGCTTTCTCGTGGCTTTTTCGCGCCACATCGACCCCGACCTCCCATTCTTTTATGACGAGCATCGCAAACCCGTGGCTTCGCCACGGGTTTACGGGGCAATTTCTTCATTCTGTGCTTCATGTAACTTTTAAGATTTCATGCTTATGCAATGCCAGACCTGGGCTTCGCCTCAGGTCTGGCGGCGGTTCTTTCATTCTGTGCTTTGTGTTACTTTGAAGGTTATATGCTTGGGCATTGCCAACCCATGGCGGGTGATTTCTTCATTCTGTGCTTCATGTTACCTTTAAGATTTCATGCTTAGGCAATGCCAGACCTGGGCTTCGCCTCAGGTCTGGTGGCAGTTCTTTCATTCTGTGCTTTGTGTTACTTTGAAGGTTATATGTTTGGGCATTGCCAGCCCATGGCTTTGCCAGGGGCTGGCAGCATTCGTTCATTCAATGCTGTGTGTTAGTCTTCATGCTTCCCGGCCTGTGGTTCAGTGATATCTTTGTCTTGTTGAATATAATCTGACATTTCTTACTATTTCCTGATGCTGGTGTGATATTCCCTATTGTCCTGGTATTTATGTATCATTTTCCTGGTACTACTCAGATATCCTATTGCCCAGTACTGATTTCCCGGTGCTCACAATATGTTCAGTCTTGTGATTGCACTTTAATTGAATGTTTCCTGGCCTGTGGTACACATTCAGCAATTGTCTTCTTGAATATGATCTGATGTTTTGAATATCACCACTGTTTCATCCTATTATTTCCCGGTACTGATATTCCCTATTGCCCGGTACTGATGTGTCCTGTTTTTCCACTACCCTCAGTACTCACAGGTCCTATTTCCCGGTACTGAGTTGTCCTGCATTGCGCGCGGAAATCCCGCTCGGGGACAGCTCGGGCGGGGTCGCAGGCGCCGGGGAGGAGAAAGCGCCCGACCCGCCCGGCCGGTAGGTGGCTGAGGCCACGCGGCGAACGTGGACGCCATGTGCTTTCCATGTGCGTTACGCGCGCCACAGCAACACCGTCGTCCCATAATGTTATAGATATAGATACGGAGATACTTACGCCCATTGCTCTATATTTGCGAGTGCATGCAGCATAACTGCTCTGTTCTTGCGCTTGCCCACCTTGCCAGGGTCGACGGTATTTCGTGCGAAGGCTTCCTCTCGCGGTGGGATATCTGGCGGCCTTGGTGCACTAGAGGAGCGGTGCCCGATCGACTTCAGTTGTCCCGTTCGGAAGAGATGTACCGCATGCCGAGTGCGTTCAACCTAGAACGCCATCAGCACATTTACCACATGTCACGAATGTGGGTTGATCGGCCATACCTTCAGTTTCGGGTTTGCCGTGTTGAGAATGAGAACGGCCCATTGCATCAGCGTGGTCGGGGCCCCTTCTCTCGGTATTACGCTCTCCTCAACAACCGGAGACTGGGTGTTTTCATCCACAATAGTCATGCGCGAAAGATCCGGTGGCGGAGGCGGATCCGCAAATTCTGACCACCGTAAGCGCTAAGCAGAAGAGCAATCATCTCTAGACAGAACCAAGTACCTTCTGAGACGGGCCTGAGCTCGACTAGTCTCCAGTTTGTGCCGGTGTCTGGGGTTTCAACCCAAACCGTCTCGCCACCATTGTCGTCACAGCGCACGTCAACCACATAGGTACATGCCTTTAAACCGGTCTCGCTGGCGCCGGTGCGAAGATCGAAATCATACCTGGCATCGGATGAGTTACGTTTTGAACCAAGGCGTTGCACGGTGCAGTACCTATGCCAGGGGCAGACCGCAACGAGGCCGGTGTCGCACTCTTCTATCTCTGCGTGAGACATGTCTGCACCGAGATGAGGGCACGTCGCCTCCATGGCGTATATTTGTTGCTTGTCAATACGCTCGGTTTCTGCATCTTCCGGTGAAGCGTCTTCGTGGGTGGGGTTGGACGAGAGTCGGAACAGAATCAGAGAATGGTAATCTCCTTGCGCGGAACGAAGATTGAGAAAGAACCTCGAATGTGACAACAGTTCGCCTAGAGGGGACACCCTTCAATTCCTCCTACATCAGGTAGCAGTTTTCGCTGACTGAAATAGGACGCACAGGAGGTAACCGGGCGGCTCCGATGGCATACCTCAGGTTCTGCGGGTGTTGTTTCACTACAAATTTGGGTAGCGAACTGAAGTACTCTCGGCCAACCAACTGGTAAGTACTAGTAGTCCTGATAAGCACGCAGTTATTCGACACCACTTATAGGCTAGATAAATGCACCTTGGACTCGCGATATTCTCGTGCAGTACGCAAGCAGTAAGTATGATGTGAAGTAGTACTGTACTGAATTTGTCGGACTCACTGTCAGTGTCAGTATTCGTTGATGCTGACATAATGAGAAAGCACGTGCACCTGGATTGTCACTTCGGCGCTTATGCGATCAACTTCACGATTTTTAGCCAACAGGATCATCTTCCACATAATGGGCAACGATTCGCTTCAAGTATAAATATATAAGTACAGCTCATAATTTGGTAGTATCCAGTCGAAGTAGAGCCGAGAGACGAATTCGTCTCATTCGCGATCTTCGGACGTTGAACGTTCTGGGTGAGGCACGGCAAAGTCCGTTCGGTCAATGCCGACACTCACCGGGCACTGTGTCGCGCTTGGCTTATAGCGTTTCCTCTATCCAGGTTTCCTCGACTCTTCCACCGTCTTTCCCTCAGTTAAGTCACACCTGCTTGGCTTGCAAAGAAGAACAACCTAGGGGGACAGAGGTGCGGAAGTGAAGGCGCCGTCTCGCATATTGCAAGTTTACGTTACGGGGGCAAACGACTTCAAGTTTATCGCGATTGCGCATCGGCCCCGAACGCCTGAACATCGCATTCCATGGACATGACAGGCTTCCTCTTCGTTTCCCGTAAGTTCAAATCGTGACATATTGACATAATAGATACCCTCGCATGCCCGACTTGGCCCGGTGTCGTTGATTGGAGAAGTCCAGGATGCCGAATGAGGACCATACTTCCTCGCTTTCGACCCCGGGTCAAGGCTGCGACGCGTTGTCATTCAGTGGACTGGTAAGTGTAGGAGAAGTAACTCCATTCCATCAATAGTGCACCGTTTTTCGGATTCGGGACAATGTCAGCCGATCTACACGCCTTCACCAGGTATGGGTCTGATCAGGGTCTCATCCCGCGGAATATCTCTCAAATGAAAGGGTTATACAACATCCGTTGCATTGGTGACAGTCACAGTCCACATGCTTGTCATAATATTGGGTTGTCAGCCGGGTCTTGTCGTCCTAAACCGGCTCGAAGGCGGTGACCGTTGTGCGCGGGTGGTATTCCGCTGTTCAACAAACCTTCTCATTGGCGACTACCACGGACTTCCCACATCTGGATGGACCCCATCCTCGCCGTGCCGACGCATCGGCCTAGTATCGCCTGTCAAAGTAGCGAAGAGGTAAGGTTATGCAGTGTCTGGCTAGCTCTGTGGCGCGAGAGTTGGACCGTACACATCGTAGCGCCTGCTACTTCTCGCGAGGAGGTCGGACGGCCGCACCGATCTCTCGGATTGAGCATGGCTGTGACACAGGTGATACATTGACTAGATCTGATGCCTTCGCAGAGTTCATCCCCCAAGCATCCTGGACGGACCATATATCACGGCACATAGCTATAGGCAGAGCCTCGAGCCATGCTTCGTCGACGGCCGCTTAACATGCTGAACTCCTCAACGTTCAACCCTTTCTGGTCGCGGGCCCCGTCGGTAACTTACGCTTCGTACGTACATCGTCTGTACTGAACTTCGGCAAGAGGTGGAACAGCTCGCGACGGCGAGCCTTCCATGTTGTGTCAGCACCGTGCTTCGGTGACCACGTAAGTCCCACTTCATGTTGATCTACATTACAGATGTGGTCATACTCGATGCTTGTACTCCTACTAGTGCACCGGCGCGTGAGCCAACGTTCAGGCTGTGACCATGTTCTGGGACAGTCCTCCACCTGCATATACAGTATCCCCGTTGTCCGCGGACCACCCTCTCTTAAGAGGCCTGACGCTGAAACACGTGCAAGTAGTCCGTGTCGTAGCGCACGCAGGTGTGTCCTGGACTTGTGCGGCTGTGTTGCAGGAGACCGAAGTGACCAGGATACCACAGACGACCTTTGCATCGCCGCGGCCGACCACACTCTGCGCTGCTAACCGCATGGGATCCCTAGCAACCTTGTTAGGCTTCTCGAAACCTACATTTTCAGACATGATCCTTACAAGCCGGGCCTTGTGGGAAGCTCCAGGGTTTGGGCGAACACAGGTGGACTGCTAACGCGTATCAAGACCAATATCCAAGGAGTGTGCAGCCACTCGGGCCCCGGTCTGACGATCAGGCTTGCATCAGGATGTGCGCACTGCGCAGCGTTCCTACGAGCGAGATCGTCGCCTCGTCGTACGTTGTCTAACCTGTCGAATGTCATGTAATGTCATATTCATCCCCCTGTGATGTCGCTGTCGATACATTCCTGTTTGTCTCAATTCACTGCATACGAGATCGGGATGCGTTGTGGGTGCACCTGCTTTCAGGACAAAGATCGCTCGAGGCAGAGTTGATTGAGCGGCTAAGCCGGCAGGCGCCAGCGCTGGTGACCATATGGAGGAAGGATCAGAGACAGTTGACGAGGAAATCGACCTTCTCAGACAAATTGTCAGCAGTCATGAACAGCGTCAGATTGTCACGTCTCTGGTTGTCCGGACACTGCCAGGGAAATCGACATACTTGGGGCGAGTAGAAGTATCCGGCGGCTGTGCAGCGAGCGTACTTGCGCCCTCCTGCCATCTCCTGTCATCTCTTCCGGCGAATTTGGATATTTGCATAGCGGTTGTTCAGCGGTGCCACCCAGCGTCGACAGCGGACCCTGCATCGCCTGTTCGTGGCCGGCGCAAGCTTGCGCGGTGCGCAATAGCACGCTCGATGTCGCAGAGCCACCTCCATCCTCCCCGTCTCCCCGTTCGTATGTTCTCCACCATTTTGATCCTCGTCTGACGCTCCATCGCCATCAGACTCAGTCGCAGCAACCTAATCTGTCCACCGGGGGTGATAAACCCCGGACGCAGACAGGCGCAGGTGCGCACTCTCTTCATTCTGCCTCCGACCGCTGGACTTACCTCGTTTCCGACCGCCACCATCCCGCCCGACCCTGCAACGTCTACATCGTCGCCCGGTGTCATACTCTCGACATCTGCAGACTACCGCAACCAGGGTGTCGCGACCTGGGCGCCTGCAAGCAGTACGTCGTCCTCATCTCACCCGACACCAGAGCCCCCGATGTTCGGCGCGCCGCCCATGTTCTACGATCCCGCGCAGTCAGCGCAGCAGCAGGACCAGCGTGGCATGGCGGACTACGACGCGTGGGCTGAGAGCTTCGCCCAAGGCGGGCAGTACGCGAACGCCGGTGCTGCTGGCTACGCGCAGGCGGGCAGCGTGCCCCATCTCGAGTACGGGCAGCAGCAGCAGCCGATGCAGGGCATGGCCGTCCCGATGGACCAGGGACACGGCCAGTACGGATACCAGCAGTACGCGCCAGACACCCACGACCCCTTTAACCAGGCGTATTCCCAACAAACACCCATGAACACGTCCTCTGATCGCCCGCAACGTAGCCTCCCGCGCTCGTCGGGGCGTGGCGGCTACGCGAGCGTGACGCCTCCGAATATGTCGTCTATGCCCGACGGCACGGCTTTCTCTCAGCAGCAGCAGCCGCATCTCAACTTCCCCGCGCAGGACGAGTACCTGTTTCACCCGCAGCCGTCGCAGGCGCAGCCACAGGCACCCGCGCGACCGGGCATGCAGACGCGATCGTCCGCGCCATCGGTCCCGACCGTGGATTCCATCCCCCAGCAGCGCTTCCAGTTTGCAGAGTACCGCCATCCGGACCAGCTCGTCGCGCCCGCGCCCGTGCCGTCGTCGTACACCGCGACGGGCAGCACGCCGACGAGCGATATCAACAGCTTCTCGTCCTCGCCCGTTTCGTGGGGTGCAGACCAGAGCCAGAGCGAGCACACTACGTCACAAACGCAGAGCACGACGCGCAAGCAGGGGAGTGCGACGAAGCCGGCGAGCCAGAAGACGGCGTCTGCGCCGGACAAGGGCAAGAAGCGCGCGCGGGTGCCGAGGGATAGCGACAGCAGCGACGACGACGAGATGGGCAGCTTCGCCATCAATGTGAGCATGGCGCCATCAGGCGGGCACGGCGGCCCGACGCGACTGTAGGTGTCTCCATTCACATTCTCGTCTCTTACTGATCCTCTTCGCTCCTATTCTTGCTCTGTTCCATGCGCACGCGTGCTAATGCGTGTATCCGTGTTCACGCTGTCCGCTATGGCCACCCCCCGGCGCCGCAATTCCCCACGTCCGGCCACCCTGGCATCCGGTGCGGCCTTCGCTGCGATGCGCTACTGCGAACTAGTCCCGGGGCGTGCAAGCATTGCAAGAAGCTCAAGGTACGGACCCTCTGCCGTGTCCCTCGTGCTCTGCTTACGGCGTTCGTTCCCTCCATTGATGTGCTCGCCTGACCTTTTCTTCGGCGTGTGGCGCCCCCGGTCGCGTTTTTCGACACTCGGAATGACTTTCCGTGTCTAGATGAAATGCGACTTCCCCAAGGGCGACAACACGTGTCGGCGGTGCAAAGCCGGTGGGATCAGCTGCATAGTCGAAGGCCGCAAGCCTCGTAACGCACCCAAGTGAGTCTTCGTTGAGTTCTGTCATCGCTCTCTCTTGTGGCATACTTGCCGGGGCTTGCCCAAGTACCCAACGCTATGCCTGCATAGCCATCGGCTGGCGGTATCGCCGCATGTCTCGTGTCTCGCTGGCCACATCGAGAAAGGCGCGAATCATTCCAGCGCTCTGTCAGTGCGCACATTCGTTCACCTACGGTCTGTCTTTCACCCTTTCTCGTTTTGGTGCGCTCGGCGGGTGTCTCGCCGGTGTGGCTCAGTGACGATGTAGTGGTGGGTCGATGGCTGCAGCGAGGGGGCGGCGAACGTCCGGGCGAGCCTCAATCGCAGGTTCGTTCCTGCGTATATTATCGATTGCATCAGACGCGGAGGTTGAAAGGGTTAAAAGTATCGGAGGACATTGGCTGCCGAGGTACTTCGCGCTTGGCTGTGCGTCCAGCTATTAGCATTGATAGTGTCTGGGTGTTGGGTCGTTGCCTTTCCATCGCAATGGAGCCTTCGCCTTCTCCGTCTGCTTGTGACCCTCCTTGCGACGATAGCTCACCATCGCCTGGTTCACCCAGCAAACGCGAGTACCTGCTTGCGCAGATCCGCCAGAAAGACATCATCATCGAGAAGCTGCTCCGCGAGGTAAGTGCTACCTCTCACCTCCACGTGTGGACATCTGAGCGTCTGCTGACTTCCCGAACTTGCCCTTTTCTGTCCTCGGCGTGCATCCTCGCTGCCGTGGTGTAGCTGCACAACCCCTATGCGGCGACTCCGCTTTCGATCGCGTCCTACCGTATGGCGACGTCGCCTTCGGACCACAACAACCGCAATGTCATTGCATGGCTAGATAGGCTCGAAGAGAGCGTGCAGGCCGCGGGAAGGTCAGGCGGTACGGAAGCGTTCAAGATCGATTCTCGCCTCCGCCCTGGTACGGGCGACGGCGACGAGGAGTCAGACGATGAAGATGATACGGAACGTGGCAGTGCAAACGACGACGACGCGGAGGCGGAGGCGGAGGCGAAGCTGCAGGCCTTGCCAGACGCGACTGTTCCTCTCGGTCTGCTTGCTCACCTCTCGCTGGATAACCCGAAGACCAAGAAGGGCAAGAAACGGGCGGGTGCTGAGGGGAGCGAGAACGAGGAAGTGGGTGTGGCGAATGAGACATACTTCCTACCGGGTAAGTGTCACGGCTCAGTTGAGCTGATGTCCACAGAAGATTGATATGACCGTGCATACAGGACCTGCATTTGACCTGTCCATCCGTGCGTCGTTGATTGAGAACCACAGCCCCCCTGAGATCCTGGTCCATGGTTTGGTCACACCAGACGACGTGGATAAGCTCTTCGACATGTGCGTGCCAGACTTGTTTGCGTGTTCGTGTACTGAATCTGAGCGGTCTGTAGCTTTTACACCAGGTTGAATGTGAGTAACAGTAGTGATCCTCGACCGTGGTACGATGTGTACTCATGTCTGCATAGGTCCATGTCACACTACTTGATCGGGAAATCCACACTGTCCAGTCCACCTTCGCCCGTTGCCCGTTCCTCTTCACCGTCGGTACGGGCATTTCCTTTTATGGTATATGACCTACCATTTACGCACCTTTTCTGTAGTATGCGCCATCTCCTCCCGTTACTACAAGGACAAGTCGGAAATCTATCCGATTGCGATGCACTTCGCCCGGCGTGCTGCAGCGGATGGCCTGCTCAACGGCTGGAAGTCGGTCGAGCTTGCGCAAGCGTACATCCTCCTCAGCACCTATGCAGTCCCCGCACGAAGGTGGGAAGAGGATCGAAGCTGGCTGTACATCGGTCTGGCGATCCGGTGAGCAGCATAGTTACTGGGACTCCTGCTAGCGCGGCTGCTCACCGATTGGGTAGGATTGCGACCGACTTGAATCTCCACCAACTTTCGACTGTGAAGCCAAGGAACGACCAGCACAAGCGTGAGATACTCAACCAGGAGCGACTTTGGTTGATATGCCACAACCTCGATCGCTCAATGGCCACACAGTTCGGAAAGCCGTCGACGATTAGGGAGGACTAGTAAGTCTGGTGGCTTTGCGCTTGATTGGCTTGGTGTTGATTCCCGCAGTATCATCCGCAACTCCGAGAACTGGTACAAGAGATCGCCGTTGAACCATCAGGTAGGGAATTGTGGACATGTCGGGTATAGCGTGGTACTTATGCACGAGCAGTGGGACTGCGGTCTGTCATCTTATACACAGCTTCTGCGGATAATGGCCCGTTTCCATGAGGAGATATACTCAGACCCGAATTCGCCTACCGGGCTGAATCAGGTATATGTCGCCGGAGGTGGTGTGGTGTGCGCTAGAGTGGCTGATCGGTATGCCATAGAACCTCGACTTCCGCGAAATGTCCGTTCGGCATGATGAGAGCCTAACTCACTACTTCGAGGAATGGACTCGGCGGTTCAAAGATGACACTGACATGCAGGGTGAGCTCCAATGTGGTACAAGTTGGGATTTGCACACAGCTGACGCTATGACTAGACCCTGCGTGCGCGTTCCGAGCGTCACTGCTCCCCTTGTATGTTGACAATTTGTCTAGTGCATATCTGATTCTGACCAATGTCTTACATAGCCTCACGAGCTATTCGCGACTCGTCATGTACTCGTTTGGCTTCCAGCAAGCGTACAAGCGCGGCATTCAGCCTGAGGACCAGACTGTCCTAGATAACGTCTGCATCATTTTGCTACTGAGTGCGGAGAATAGTCGAGTGTTCATTTGCGTTCGCGTCAACAGTGTTTCCAGGCCGCGAAATCTGTGATCTTGTGCATGATCGATACGCTATGCCCGAGCGGGTATATGCGGTTCTCGCCGGACGGTACGTTTTCTGTTCATATGGCTCGAAGCCCCGGTGCCGGTGGTCATCTTCCGCAGCGCTAACTGAACCCGTGCAGGTCATTTTATTTTCGCGTCATTTGCATCTGCATTCCTTCTCAAGGTACGTTACGTCGAGTCATATCCCGGCCGCATAGCTCACACGCAATTTCCGGGGTGGTCTACTGCCGACACACGCACACAGTTGATGCGTCCCGAGTTCAAGTCGCTCATCACCTCCGCCCAAGAGTCTGAGATCTTCGACCTGATCGGCCGGCTCATCCAGACGCTAGGCAGCCCCGAGATTGCCATCGACGAGCGGCACACACCCAAGCTGCACGCGCGCTTCCTTGCGGGACTTCTAACCAAACACCGGAGGGATACCGCGACTGCTGGCCGCATCCAAACCCAACAGCAGCCGCCTCCCTCACAGGTCTCCCCGCACAGCCAGGTCAGCTCATCTGGGAGCACGCACACGTTCTCAGCTAGCGGGAGTGCTGGGACAAGCCCGGGTGACACTGCGTTCCCCGGCGGTAGCATGGGCTACGCTGGCGAGGGTCACCTCATACTTGGTTCGGGGCAGGGAGAGCCTGTCTACCAGGAGGACACCGCGTATGCTGCCGGTACGGGCCCGCTGGAGGTGTTCGACTTCGGTGCCGTGGCAGGACAGGGTATCGAGACGCTTGGTGCCTTGCAGGCTTTGCAGAACCCATCGTACTGGCGAGATATGATGATGCCTGGGTGAGTGTGCCTGCCGTGAGAAGACGAGGTCGAGGTGCTGAAGCGGGGGTGATGTTGCAGGTACTCCTGGCCGGAGAACAATGATTCTTATGGCTTGAATGGGAACATGGGCGGATTCGGCCAGAACTTCGGTGCGCTCCAGACTGCGGAAGTCGGTCTGTTCGGATAGATCCTCGGCGCGTGTCCGAGTCAAGGCCGAGCCGTTTCGGAGCGAAGATTCAGTCTCTCCGGCCAGTTTGCCCAGATGCATACATCAATTTCACGAACGTCGTCACACGTAGTAATCACTCACATCTCTCTATGGCTCGCATGATCTTGTCTCTTCTTGTAGATGGGTTAGTGCATGTCGTGCATCTGCACGCATCGTTCGCTATCCTGGGTTCCCTCTAGCATCGTACATTGTAGCTCTGATTTCATGCTATCTTCGCTGTCGGTTTGTACAGTAAATCCCTGTGTATACAATCGTGACTGGCAACCGTATCAGTGGGCGTCTCGACGCCTCACAGCCCATTTTTACGAGGATCAAAGCTTATGGGCGCAAGAACCGAGAACGTGATAAGCTGAACATACACTGGTAGCAGACTGCGTATCTGCTGTCGGTCATAAGCCAGTTCCTGGGGCGCCATGTCGTGCTTGCCAACGGCTTTGGTCCTCGACCTGGATTGATAGCGCGAGTGCCGTGTACCACTAAGGCTCAGCGGAGCCGCACCAATCTCGCTAGTTTACCGCTTCAGGCCTCAGGCCTCAGGAGTGAGCGGGACGCGACTCAAACGCGACTGAATGCAAAACCAATCTCGCATCAGCTGTGCAACATTGAGTTTCCATTTGTTAGTAGTGTTGCTACTCATTAGTAGTCTTGTACATGAGCGAAGAGATCGTGGTCAATTGACCCGTAATGGAGCTAGTAGTATATGTGCATTACAAGACGAGCGGCGGAGAGTGTGCTCACAGAAATACAAAGGTCTCATTGCACACTCTCGGGGGATCATGAACGTTGAACGCGCACCCGCACATGCACAACACGAGCAAGGTTAGCACGCCAGCACTGGCGGCACTTCGAGTGCAACAGTGAAATCTGGAAACGAAGCTTAACTAACGAGCGAGTTTAGCGCCTACAGTGGCCGTTAGAGCAAAAGAAGAGTGAAACGGCTTTGGTGACTCTGGTTCTCGACATCAATAAGCGGCTGAGCATGTAGAGTTCAGGAGGACATACCCTGACGAATAAACAACTCCTCAAACACGAAAACATAACGTAACAACAGTGCCGCGTCAGCGAAACCAGTTCCATAGTCCACAAACTTCTCGCAAATGAGAGGGAACTGGCATGTTCGCAGGACATAACCATAGACGTAGCTTTCCCACTGAATGTCGATCCAGTTTCCCCGTTTCAACACCATCTTCCCGCCTATAGGCATTCAACTGAATACAATCTAACGATGTACCCTGATGGCAGAAATGCACCGTCGACCTCCTCGATGACTTTCTCGTCTTTGGTCTGCAGAGAACAGCGCAAGATCACACATTACAGAATGATATAGGTTTATGCAGCTTACAGTCTAAAAACGAACCAAGATTGGTATATCCTGAAGTGAGAGTCGCCGATTTGGATCAAATGTTTCCGTGCGCTGGTAGCATGAACCTTCTGTACAAGGAACGGGTTCTCCGAATGTTCGAGTCATGTCCATTGCCAGGTTGACTCTGTCGTGTCAGGTGCTGAGACATAGGAGGTACACGGACTTCGTCAGTAGGCGTATCCTTGGAACAAACGGAGTGAAGCATGACCATACTGTCGAGGGATGAACGCATCCCAAGATTCAGAGGCATAATCTAATACACAAAACGCTGCTATAGGTGAGCACAGATGGTGACATGACATTGAAGCGGCTTCCTCACCGCAATGTGTAACCCAGCTCTTACTCCTCCTCATCATATCCGTCGCTTAGACCTCCTCCGTCTCCTTGAGCCTCTTTATCGTCGACAGCCATGGAGTCTTCAGGCTCCTCGTCACCCACCTCCTCGTCTTCCATGTCATCTTCTTCCTCTACCTCTTCCTCATCCGCCATCTCCTCGTCTTCATCCCCATCCACATCTCCATTGGCACCTTCTTCAGGCTCTTCTGGTTCGGTGTCCCGCCGTGACGGCTTCGTCTGCGTACGGCTGATCGTGATCGTCGGGCCCTTCTCCTTCGCATTCTGTTTCGCTTTCGCCGCTGACGCGGCGGAGACGGAATGTGGCTCGCCCTGCGACTCGCGACCCTTGCCCTTCGCGCCACCCGTACTTTTACGACCCTTGTCCGTCTTCTGTACCTCGCGGTACACTGAGATCGTAGTAGTTAGACGAGGCGCCGTTGCAGATGCGTATGACGGACCTTGGAGTTCCTGTTGGAGTTTGTGCACCATGTCACCCATCTCGACCAGCTCAAGTGCCTTCAGAACGTCTGTTGCGGATATACTTTTGTGCTGTTTAGAGGCTGCGACCTCGTGAGCCGTTGCAGCTGCACCTCGCGTCAGATCAAGGCAAAGAAAACATTCAGAGCTTTCAATACAACGCACCCAAGTAGTTGATGAACACGGTGGAAGCCTTTTGGAAGGACAGCACGACGTCTTTGGACATTTTGGTGTTTTCGGACATCTTCAGGTTGGTCAGAGGTGCCACAAGAGCAAAGCAGGTCAAGTCTCACCGCTGAACGCGCCAGCTTAGTTATTATACTTCGTGGCAACTCGAATGTCTCGATGCCTTCCGAAACGGCCTCTTGCTGGGCCTGAGCGGCGACGGCCGACGTAGTCGCTTCTTTGCTACCTCCTGCCATTGTATCCCAGTCTTGTTGTGGTGGGACGCAAGCAGGAGCACTTGAAAAGGTGATGAATGATATGGTGGCGGATGTTACAGAGGTCGTGGTCGTCGGTCGAAGCTGAGCCTGCGAATTCGCTCGCGCTCCCGCCACAAGCGCGTCGGACGCGACGGCGGAAATTCCCACGACCTCGCAGGTGGCTAAACGGACCCTCCTCCTCCTCCTTCTCACCGTGCTAAATGGGCCCCCATCCTCCTCCACACACACGCAGCGCTACTTTGAAGAGGCGCGTACCGTATTTACTTTGCCTGAATGCTTCTCGCACCATGACTCTGAGCAATCCTCAATTCAGACAGTGAATTGTTCATAGGCGGCATTTCTGAGTTACCCGCAGTTCGCAGTATGGAATTATACCATGCAATGAGCAATCAATATTGTCGAAGACGGAAAGCCATGGTCCGGATATGGCCTCATTGGACGTATACATCGACGACCATATGCATAGACAGGTACCTACTTCGCCATCGCGAGGATTTCTTTCACCTGCTCAATGGTCTCAAGCCTCACTGGGTTTGTCTTTCCCAAGACATCATTGAGCGATGCCTTCGCGACGGCGTCCCACTGGTCTTCACTGACATCAACATCCGTCAACATCGTTGGGAGACCCAAAGCCTTGACGAAAGTCTTGACAAGATCTCCTGCGTCAGCTCGCTCCCGGTCAAGTCCTGCCCGCGCGAGGGTTTCGGGGATAGACGACCAGAAGATCGCGCAAACCCGCTGTTGCAGCTGGGAATTGGACGGTGAGTGTGTGTCATTATACTTGAGCACCGGCGAGAGCATCACACAGGATGTTATGCCGTGCGGGACGCCGCAGAATGCCCCTAGCTGGACACATAGTCAGCGAAGGCGTTGGCTTCAACAGTGAATCTTGATTACTGTACCTGATGCCCAATCGCGTGGGACGCGCCCAGCGGAACTTTGTGCGCAATGACCCGCATCGCCTTCCACGCGCCGACCTGGCACTCTGCACGCGCAGAGGCGTCCTTCTCGTTCTGCTTGCACTTGAGCAGACCCTCCGTCAGGGCTCGCAACCCCTCCTCTGCCGACTGCTTGACATCGTCGCTGCTCCTCTCTGTGCACAGCGTCTCGACGCAGTGGTCAACAGCGCGGACCCCCGTGCTCAGCCATAGATCGAGCGGAGTCGTGAGCGCAAGCTGCGGGTCGAGCACGATGAGGTTAGGTGCACAAGCGGGGTGGGTGAAGTGTTGTTTCTTGTGCGTGGACGGGTTTGTGCAGCCGCTGTTTGCGTTCCACTCCGCGGCGGAGAGCGACGTGGGTACGCATATGAGCTTGAGAGTGGGTTCTTTGACGGTTGTGGGGACCGCCATGTCGCCCGTCTTTTCGTCGACGTTTCCTACGACGAGCGACTCCATGGACTCGATGTCCAGCTTGTCTGCCGGCAGAGAAGCGTGCGCGATCTGCATCAAATGTTTGTTCAGATACCGCATACATGCGAACATAATGTGACACCTACTAGGGCAGCTTTCGCCGCGTCGCTGTACGAACTGCTTCCCAGTGTGACAATGATATCGGCACCCCTCTCCTTCGTCTCCTTAGCGATCTGCAGTACTTCGTCGTACGGTGTGTGGCTCTTCACGCCGACCTTCTTCCCACACACTTTTCCGCCCAACTTTTGTTCCAGTCTCCCCACCACGTCTGTCTTCGTGTCCAAGCTCCTTGACACGACAAGGTATACTTTGGAACATGCAAGTCTGTCCACCTCTTCGGACACCGCACTGACGTAGTCCGCGCCGAAGATGGCATCGCGGCCTTTGCGGTCTGCACTGTCGAATTGCTGAGTACGGAAACGCCTCACCTCAGACATGATATGAGCATCGTAGAGAGAGACTTTAGTATGTATTAACTGCGCAGAGGAGGAGGACGGACTAGAAACCTGGGGTCCCCTATTCACACAACGATGTAACGCATGACGTCATACAATATCTCCTCACACTGCTAAGTAACGGGAGCATCGTAGCCTTTCGACCAAAGCAGTCGCCTCCTTGATCATCGATTGGCATTGACAAAGTGCATATAGACTCGATAGACTGCAGGCCGTCAGATATCGGCACTTGAACCACTCAGTCAATCAGATCGTCGACACAGTGCTATGCGAGACGAGGCAGCGCACCTTCCGGACTCCACATCATCATCACCTATCGCATATAGTTCAATACTAAGTTAACACCGTGGAAATCATGGGCCCATTCAAATTCACCTTCGACCATGATGTCGTAAGTTGACCCAGCACGTCCCTCGAGCACAGAGTTCTCGCGCACGTCACGTTCAGGGAGGTCTGACAAGGACGATAAAAATTCATGCACAGCGAAACCCGTTCTGAGATTAGAGCGCACCTATAGCGTGACCACGCTGCTCGAGTTCTACGTAATAGCAATAGATCAGACGAAGTCATGCTCGGGGCTTGACATGTATGAGCGCATACCATCCGCGTGAGCTACGTGAATGAGAAACAGTGCAGATACATCAGTATACCGGAGTGTTGTCGACCTAGGTATCAGGCGTACCTATGTCGCGTACATACTCAGCGACTGCGGAATCCCGTTCGTCGATGGTGGGTATGGCGGTGGAAACGGATACCAGAGCAAGGACGTAGACCAGGATTGCGCGGATGGATTTCATGGCGACAAGAGACAAGGCACTGAGCAAGATAGATGCGACACAACAGTATAAGTAGTCCCCGTGCACAGTTCCCTTCCGCCCTGAGACCGAAAACGCCAGCATCGAACGGCGACGGAAAGCTTGAGAATATGCCCTTATCTTCGTATTACAAGAGGTTCACTTGCTGACATACATCTGCCACACTGGTAAGTTCTGATGTCATGCGAAGGACGAGGGATCCTGTTCAGCAGATGTAAGGAGGTGTCAGTCGTCGATGGGAATTTGTATCGGCCTTGTAGATGTAGTTGAATAGATCAGGCGCTGAGACTCGGATAACATTCACGAACCACGGTGGGACCTCCGCACATCTAGTGATAATATCGAAGTCTGCACAAGAGAGAGCGCAAGTCAATGCCAGGAAGTCATCGGCAGGATGTAGATGATCGACGTACTGTAAGAGCACTCAAGGGTGTTCATGTAAGGTTCTCAGGATCGACAGCGGCGATCCGCGCAAAGAGTCTATTGCGTACTCAGGAACCTGAACGCCCAAACTATACATTCAGTGGGTACCAGACTCATATGTTGAGCTGAGCGTGGAATCAGGCGAGCCAGCGTGTCATGATCTCGGTGCATAGCGAACGGTGTGTCTCTTCGTAAGAACAGCCTATTGAAGAGACATATCAACGCCTATGTGTTACCTTGATCTATTGGAGCAGAGCTTACCATCAATCAACGGAGCGCAGCCTAGTGAGCTACACTACTATCTTGTTGGAGGCCGCCTTACTTGGCGCGAGGATGAGATCACGTCCGGGAGGGTTAACGAGCCTGCATACAAAGGCTGCGTCAACGGACACCTGAGCGGTGATAGAGAAAATGATGGGAGCAACATTCAATGAACAGAGCATGCATGCAGAGCGACTTCGGCGGCTAAAAATTGATTACTGAGAACGATGAACGCAGCCATTCCGGATCCGCCGTACCATCGCTGTCCGGAAGTGGAATATTACACACCGAGATGCCCGACATCGACTATCACCTTTATTGCTCTTCGTATACGTAGGCGGGTACTCCGTCATGCCACATGACCGCAGAGCACGGCCGTGCTCCGTCCTCGCGATGTACATGTGCCCAGTTCCTGTCGTTCTTGTTCTTCTTAGCGACGCGCGGGTCCTTCTCCTGCGGTTCCTATTCGCTTGAGGACTTCATGAAGGACTCGTCGAAGGTAGACATGCGGGATATCGGTCCGAGAGTGTAGATGGAGCCTCCTGGTCTGACATGGAAGTGGCCACGCCGTAGTACTAGCAGGGCACTCAATGACGCCGGAGGTAAGACTGAACGGCAGACTTGTGAAGCATATGAGATCATACTGCATTAGAAGACATATCTCTTACCCGCCGTAAGTACCAATCGAATCGCATAAGCGATGCGTAGCGACGGTATGTGTTCAGAACGCGGTTTCCATCCATGTGTCGTCTGTCGTCTGTGAATCGTGAGAACCTGCAGCTCTGACAGTGAGTAGCCTGCAGACATCCGAAGTGCTATGCAGTCACACCAGGTACGCACTCGTCAGGCACCTGTTAGGTAGGCCTAACGTCAAAGGGATTGCCTAAGTCGCGAAAGCCTGTCAAAGTGGTTAAGCGCTGACACGTGACTTACGGCGAAGACCTTCCTTTCCGGTACAAGTCCTTACTTACCCTTTAGAGTCAGTATCAGCTGATCCCGGAGATCGCTCGGGCGAGGGATCGACTTGTCTAGACTCGGCAAGGGCAACCGAACTAAAGCCGATCGGTTCGGTCTAAGAACAATGAGTATACGGGGTACTCGACCGAGGACATTGGAAAGGCTATTGTTCTCTTGTAGAATATTCTAGTACGTTTGGAATGTATTTAAACACTGTGGTAGTGACCAGACAAATAACACTCTCTTGAACTTCAATCTATCGGTGTGAGCCACTCGATCGTCCATAGCTCCGCGCTGGACATACTAAGGTCGATCGTACTTATAGCCGTGCGCTAAGTCGATCTACCTTGACCCCTTCAATAGTATAGCCTCGCGCTACTCTGAAGGGTTCGGTAAGAGTAAGCTTCATCGATCTACGGTTAGAGTCGGGTTCGTGTTTAGTGGCATCCTCAACTATTGTTGTAACGCTCTATTCACTAAAGTCGTAACCGACTTACTTTGCTCAACCAAGTTTCTTAGCTTCATTAAGAACGTAGGCACTACTGTGCCACTCCGGACTTAGTGCGTGAACTTGTTGAGCGAAATCGATTCTCGATCGACTAAACCTCATAAGTCGATCACTCAAATCGTTGTGTTAATCCTCTTCACAACGAGATAATCCTCAATTCATTTCTTAACTAAGGCGACTACGATTACGTAACTACCGACGGTTGTTACTAAGTAAGTACTCGGTAAGTTAGCAATCCCAGTCCATAACATTGGTGGACGTTGGGGGGTCCACTTTTATCAAACGAACATTCCGACTAACCTTTTTGCAAGCTCAAGATGGCTAACGCTAACGCTACTCCCGCAGGAAGCTCAGGCTTCGAGAATGTTGGAAATTCCGATGCATCGAAGCCAGACTCTGGTTCTCAATCGCCTGAGAAAGGCAAAGGGAAACAGAGACTCGACGAAGAACTATTCGCCGATCCGATTGTTTCGGGTCAACCGATCGACTTCTCCTCTTTGCCGGTCCACGAATTAATCGGTGGGCTTCCCCTCACCGAATTCGTTCCTTTTGCTGAAAAGATGAACTCTATTCACGCGCCGCTGACTGCCTCACCTTTATCCTACATGGAATCGCTCGATCTGGACATTGCGAAGAGGATTAAGGCTCGATCGATCGGTTTCTCTTACCTTCAGAGAGACTTGTACTCCCTACCAGCTCAGATTTCTATGGAAGGCTTCAAGCGAAAGGAAACTAGAGCTTGGAAAGAAATCTTTGATAAGCTGGATAGCTTCATTACGCTTCCTAGTGTTCTGTACAACGAGGATGGGCACGTCGTAGCTATCCGACCTGATGAGCACACTTACCTGTGGCTCAAACGAAAGCTCAGCAGTTACTTTTACAATGCTGCCGGACTTCTGAATGGTCAACTGTACGAAGTCCCGAACGTTCCCGTATTCGACAAAGACGGGCTCGATCCTAGTGTAGCATACACTCCGCATGACTACCAAATTCTCTGTGCATGCTACCGGGACGAGGTGGAGACCGTGCTAAAGTACTTCACTAGGATCGCAAAGATTTTCCCGTCTGGAGTCGAGGAGGAGGAAGAGGAAGCCCCTAAGCCTCCTGAACGACCTAAGGGAGCTGGTTCGTCGATTTCGCAAGCAGGAGGTGGTAAGAAAAGAGATCTACCGCCACACATTTCTAAATCGACTCGTCGCGACGAGCACAGTCGTGAAGCGGAGGAACGACGACCAGCTCGACCGACTCGACGGATGATCGACCCGATCACCAGAGTTCCAGGATTGCGATCACAGGCTCTCCCAAATCATGGCGACCAACGCCGGACTGGTCGCAGGTACACGGAATTATTCGGTCGCGAACCGTCTCCTCCACCCTCTGACCCTTCACATGATTCTTCGGACGACGAAGACGATCATCGCTCTCCTTCTCCCCCACGCCGACCTCATCACTCCCACCACCATGGAGGAGGCAGTGGCCGAGGCGGAGGAGGAGGTGGCCGAGGTAGACGACCGCGCCGAGGACACGGCGATCCAGACGACTCTGGTCCTGACGGAAACGATGACGGTCCGGAAACTCCAAGACGACCTCGCCGTAAACGCGATACTCGATCGTCGGGCGAGGAGGATACGGCGAACCTTCCAAGGTTCGATCTCAAGTTGAAGATCGACATCGTTCCAACTTGGGATGGTAACATCGACACGCTCGCGCGATGGATCATGAAAGTAAACCAGATCGCTAAGGAGTCAAGACTCATTGCAAAGCAACTCGGAGCAGTTGTTCCGCGTCGATTAAGAGCAGGAGCCGAAAACTGGTACTACTCCTTGCCGGAGTTCCAGCGTGACAGCCTCCAGAAGAACTGGTCTCTGTTGAAGGAAGCGATCGGTCATCACTACATGAACAAGACCTGGCTCGATAAGCAGAAGTCTAAGGCTAATCGCGCCAAGTATCGCGACTCTACGGCTCCAAGGGAGACTCCCTCCAATTACTATATTCGCAAACTTGAACTCCTCGAGTTTGTTTACGATTACTCGGATTCAGAACTTATTGGTGAGATTTTGGAAGGCTCTCCGATCGCCTGGAGTACCATTCTTCAGCCTCACTTGTACCAATCGGTCGTCGACCTTCAGAACGCTATCAGGTACTATGAGGATACGCTACTGAGGTTGGCATCCGATCGAGACGCTAGGGTCCGAGCGGTCGACGCTGAAGTTTACGCGGTCGACTCTCGGTCCAAGACTTCCGACTCGCGCAACCGACCTACCGATCGGAAAGCACCCTTTCCACGCGATGATTCGGTTAAGTCGAAGCGTAAGACGCCTCAGGAACTCGGCAAGCGACCATGCCGACACTGCTCTAGTCCTTTCCACTGGGACGATGAGTGTCCTCACTCAAGGAAAGGCCGTAGAGAAGCTAGAGTTAACTTCGCTAGCATGTCCGTTGAAGAACTGGCTGAAGAGGACGACTATGTGAATACATACTACGCTCTCGACAGTGAGACTGAGTCGGGTTTTGAGCAACCCCTCCAGTCTACCTCCTCTGAATCGGACCCGGTAATGCTGACCGAGGTCACCAACGATCAGACTGAGGCCCTGGAGGGGGAAACCGGTTCGGCAACGGTAAATGAAGTTTCAGCGACGGCATTTGTCGGACAAGTCGATCAGTCCTCGACTAACTGCAAGAGCCGCCGATCGATCGCGAAGTACTGGGAGAAGAATGTGGGCTCGACCAAAGACGAATCTAAGAACGACCGGGTACTCGCCTTACCCAAGTTCATGTCACGACCGCCTGGTTGTTCGTTCCTGGGATCATCCGCTACTAAGGCTCAGGGTTTTCTAGGACCCAAGGAGAAGAATCCGACTGAGATAATCATCGACTCAGGCTCGGATATTACTCTAATTTCGACCAAAGCTCTAGAAGCTATGGACTCACCTCCTAAACTCAAGAGCGGTCAGAGAATTAACCTCGTACAAGTCATCGGTAATGCTAAGATATCAGGGTTTGTGCCCATCGACTTGCATTTCAAAACCGATCAGGGGTTGGTTCGCATGACGGTCGAGGCCTATGTAGTGAAAGGAATGACTACTCCCTTCATCCTCGGTAATGACTTTGCCGATCAATACTCTTTGTCTATTATTCGGCAGGAGGGGAATAGTACGGTGCAATTCGGATCCTCTGGTCGCAGCATTC